AGAGACCATTGATCGATATTAGAAACACATGGGCCGATAAGTTTGTTAAAGTTAGAAGTAGGCAAGTTTAGTTATTAATTTAGTACTTAGTTTAGTAGTTAGTTTAGTAGTTAGTTTAGTTAGTTTACTAGTTAGTTTATTAGTTAGATTAGTAGTTAGTGTATTTGGTAGATAAGTAGTTGGATACACTATAATTTTGGATACAATTTTATTTTTGGATGCACATTCAATTGTTTATATCTTGTACATTGTCTCGCCTGGGTTGTATTCAAATTTGCAGGTATGTATATATACAAACATTGGGTACCTCGTATAAACAAAGCGTCCATTTAAAAAAAAATAGACTTTCTACGCTCTGGCTCATACCATAACCGACGTAGTAAACACGTACTCGCTGAGCGACGAGTGTACTCGGCTGAGCGACGAAAGCTTCAAACAAAGGGGACTCTCTGGTTCCATCTCGCTTGAGCGACGAGTGTACTCGCTTAAGCGACGAAAGCTTCAAACAAAGGGGACTCTCGGGTTCCATTTCGCTTGAGTGACGAGTGTACTCGCTTGAGCGACGAGTATACACTTTTCAACGTCGGGTATGAATAACCGACGTTGAAAGCCTAAACTTTCAACGTCGGTTATCTATACCCGACGTTGAAAGTGTACACTTTCAACGTCGCCTGATACAACGTCGGTTGTATAACCGACGTTGAAAGCCTTATATAACCGACGTTGAAAGGCATATCTGTAGTAGTGATATAATCCATATCATCGTTCAAATTCACCGTATAAGTTTCTCTTTGGATGAGTTAGCGAATTTGACTAGTCGTTCTTACACCGGACTCAGTGACACGATCAACACTCAATAGTTCCTCCATTTAATTATAGTATCTGATTGGGGATACTTTCCACTTAGCAACAAAGAGTTTGCCTACAAATAAGGAACACACATAATATATAAGAAATTGTAAATGTTTGAATGTTTATTATAATAAACCAAGCCATATAGAACACCTATATTAGGTTATCCCAAACTTCTTGTTCAACCTCGAATAATCTTGTGGATTCACTCCATGCAAAGCCATTGAACCCAACAAAAAGGTCATGAACCTCTTGCCACTTGTCCTTGAGGCTCTTCTATCTATTTTTGACATTATTTTTCGTGATAACCAAAAAGTGGAATTGTCATAGGGATTTTATAATGTTATTATAGTTTGTGTGGTCCAGCTACCATTAACTTGATTGTCCAAACGGGTCTCATCAACCATGGTTGTTAATAGTCGTAAGTCCATATCCGTTGTCTGTTTAGTAAACTCTTTGATTCCTGCAGATGACTCAAGAACATTACTCTTGCCTTTATTCATTATTTACCTATTTAAAACACAACTTCTCCAAAAATTTTAAAAGATCATGTAAAAATATGGTTAAAAAAGAAGTTACTTAGTAAGTCGATCCAACACAACATATTTATACATTAAAGTAACTAGTACAATATCTTAATTATTTTTATAGTCTCTTGATATATTATTTGCGATAAAATATCTAAGATTTTATCATAGTTTATAATCATCATCATCTCAATCATGAGTGTCGGATGAGGGAACCTCTTATTCCTTCTACTCTCGATCAACCTCAGCCTATCAATGAGTCATCTACTACTAGAATTTCTCATATTTCATAGGAATATTTTTAGAAAATTTTTGTAAAAATTGCAAGAAATAAGTTTCTTATAAATTTAAATAATTTTTTACAAGAAAATTTGCAAAAAATAACTAATTTCCTAGTAGTGATCGTTGTCCACTTCATAGAGATTGTTATGAAGAATACAATATGTTAAGATAATTTTTGTTATCGACTCCAATGAGTAATGTGATTCACTACTTCCACTAGTTATGATCATAAATCATTTCTTTAAAATACCAAATATCCTTTTAATAACATTTTTAAGTGATGCATGATAAATATTGAACAACTCTCTTAGATTTTTGAATCTTTTCGAATATACTCTTTTAAGTGATATTTGACGCCATGATACAATGTTATTATATTTGACTTTAACATAAACTAAGGTAGTATTTTCTTTTCTATAATCATTGTACTTAACATTATAAGAAATAAGTTCTAAGTAATCACAAATCAAGTTCACCAAATTCTATACACTGACCTTATGTAATAATCAATGAATTCTCTCAAATAAGGACATCCTTTAAAATTCGTGAATCAGATGCATCTCCTTTCCACTCGACTAAAACATATGTAAATTTCATGTTAAATTTACAAGCTACAAATACGATTTGCATTGTCCAATCTTTTCTTCCCCGAAACTATAAACATCTACTTATGGAACCCTAACACATACATAATACCATTTATTGCCCCTAAACAAGTCTAAATGGTAAAAAATTGCAAGTGTGAATAACAAGTAATACATTATGTATGTCAAGTGACATTGAACTTTGGGCTATATTTACCTTGAAGTATGAGTAAAATCGACTATTGTTTAGAACATGAACTTTGACTTTATTCTCATATAGTTGAATTAATAATTTAATCTCCAACATTAATATTGTATTCAACACGTTATGAAAGTGTCTAGAAACAGTTTCTCCAAACTGATGAAAAAAGAATAAAACATCTTTATTCTTCACGTTATGCTTAATAATATGAAGAAATTGTTTACTTGTTCTTTTACCGTAGATTGAAATACATCTTTTACCAACTAGTTGTCTTTAATCATTTGCATAATGTAATGAATGTTTGAGTTCCCATGCGAATAATGTCACATGATTATTCTATGCACACCAAGTATACCAACAACTCTTGTTGACAATACTCTTTTGAAAAACAAACTCAAAAATATTCATATTTAAGAGACGTAACACATTTAATGCATATAAACAACAATATCAAAGATAATCTCTGTTGATATTTTGGTATTTTGGTATGAAGTTTTATTTGTTATTACATATATTGAATTAAGTTAAAATCCTTGCTAAAAACATTATTATCAATATCTTTATTAGTAAAAAAAAAACTCTTACCAATATATCATTTTACAAGTCTTTTAAAAAATATATCTTTGAAAACTTATTATTAACTATATTTACATTAACCATAAAAACAAATTCTCAACTATAATTTTATAATTCAGTGAATATAATATTTTATGCATCACATTATAATCCTAATTAAAATAATTTAATATTAAATTAATGTTAAATGATAAATTAATATTATACTCTATTTTAAAAATAAAAATTTAAATATTTCATAATATTTTTATTCCTAAATTATTATACATTATTAATAATTTTAAATTTAATTCCATTATCTAATTTATTATATTATTAACAAACTTAAATTTTATAACTTAAATTTTATTTGATTATATTATTTTAATATAATGTTTTAATATTTAATAATTGGAAAACCAAAATTTATTAAATAACGAAATATATTAAATGGAGTAATTTGGCTTTTAGTTTATCATAATGATAATTTTTGAAAATAAAAAAAGATATATTTTTGTAAGTCCAGCTTAAAACCATAATTTTATGAAACAAATTTGATTTAAATATATTAAAATATCTCTCTAAACATAATTTATATGAAATATTTTTTATTTTAAAAATATAAAATAATTATATCATGTCATATTTAAATAATTTATAGTTGATTTTGTTGGAATAGAAAATTTTAAAAACCATCATTCTCTATTTTTATTTATTTATTTTTGTTAACTTTGAAATAACTTACATTCTTAAACTGGAAAATTATTTCAAATCATTAATATTTTATTTAAATATTTTAATAAACAACTTTTAAATATACTTGCCAAACAGTAAAGAACTTATATTATATATAGTAAAATTAATTGCTGCACCATTCAATACCCGTTGAATAAGTTCAGTCTAACAATTACCTAAACAAATAGCCTTAATAAACATGTCTTGAAGCCAATCACGTTTTTCATATTTATAATTTATTTATTATATAAAGAAAAGCAGAAGTCAAACGAATAAAAGACGCATCCCAAATCAAAGGAAGCGCGTTGGCCCAAATTCTCTCAACCTCCGACCCACGTGTTTAAGCTAAAAAAGTAAATAAAAATTACATCGTATTTAACATCAATAATTTGTATAATTTAAAACACTTTTATATGCGTTAAAATTATAATAATTTAATTAACATACACTAATAGAAAAAAAGGGTTTTATGCTATTATTCATTCACATACATCATTGATAATAAGTTTATTATTTCATATAATATTCACTTAAAAAGATCACATCAACAATATTATTAATTCATCAATAATTTTATAGTTGTGAACATACTTTTAAAACATTTTTCTATTTCTTTATATATGAATAATTCTTTTTAGAAAAATAAACATTATTCTAACTTTACCATTTGTTTAATTATTAGATGATTATAAAATTAATAAAAATCATATTAGTAAATTAAAAACAAATTTAAACAGAAGAGAAGGATGTATATGTCCTTAAAAACTGTGTTTCTGTGTTGGAACATGCAGAGATAAAGATTAATTTTAAATATATATACATATATATATATATATATATATATATATTTTTTTAAATGCAAGTTACTTAAATGAATTTCAACCTTTAAAAAGTTTCTTATTTAATATTTGTAGAGAGACAGTCTAAGCTAATTTAAAAAATAAAAAATAAAATATAAAGTTATATTTATAGTAATATTTATATGTGAAAATAATAAATAGTGGAGTGTGGAGTCTCTCCCTGGTCCATCATCTCCTTCCACCAACTTATTGATAATCCACGTTGTCTCCATTTTGAGGCCATAAATCTAGCTTCCAATTTTCTCGATCATAAACACAACAAACACACTCTTTCTTTTTCTTATATTTCATGGCACTTTACACTTTCATTGTTCTCCATAATCCCAAGCTTTCAAGGTTGCATTGATTCACCACCTTCAAATTTAAATTCATTCATGTTTTGCATCGACCATGCCCCTTATCGATGATTATCCAACACGCTTCTTCAATCTCTCACTTCTCTTCACTCTCCCCTTCTCTCTGTCCCTGTAACGCCGCATTCCCCTTCTCCAGAAGAACCAGAAAGCGCTTATTCGCCAATTACGGTTCCCGCAAATTCCGCAGAAAACGCACCCTTCGCTTCTGCGCTCTCCCCTCCTCCGACGCTTCCAATCCCAACTGGAATTCCGAATTCGCTAACTCCGCGCGGAGAACCGCCACCACCATCGTTCTCAAACGAATTTCCAATAAACTACACGCTGATAATAATGACAACAACAACGATGTTGGTGATGCTGAGTTTCACGATTCAACTTCACCGTCGTCGTCGTCGTCGTTGTCTCCGCCGCCGTCGGTCCAATTAGGTTCAAACTTCACCGGTTTCCGCGAGGATCCTATTGTGGATAAGCTGAGGACGCAGCTAGGGGTGATTCACCCGATTCCATCCCCTCCGATTAACCGCAACGTCGTTGGCTTATTCGTCGTCTTCTTCTTCGTCGGCGTCGTGTTCGATAAGCTGTGGACTTCGCGGAGGCGGAGCAAGAACGGCGGTGAGGACGGGTTTCGCGGCGTGTGGCCGCAGGTGCCGACGAGCTTCTCGCTGTTTCTGGAGAAGGATTTGCAGAGGAAGGAGTCGGTGGAGTGGGTGAACATGGTGTTGGGAAAGTTGTGGAAGGTGTATAGAGGTGGAATTGAGAACTGGATTATAGGGTTGCTTCAACCTGTGATTGATAACTTGAAGAAGCCTGATTACGTTCAGAGGGTTGAGATTAAGCAGTTCTCGTTAGGAGATGAACCCTTGTCTGTTAGGAATGTTGAGCGCAGGACTTCCCGCAGGGTCAACGATTTGCAGTAAGTTTCATTGGGTTCTCATGTGTGTGTTGTGTATGTGCTTGCTTTATTATGCTCATGTTTAAATAATTTCTTCATGAGCTCTTGTAGAGCAGAAATTGAGAAGGTAAAATGAATTATGCTTCTTTTCTGAATTAAAACCGAATTATAAGCCTCACCTTTTAGGGAAGTTTGATGAAGGGATTTTATAAAAGCTAAGTGCATAAGTTGATTTTAACTTTACAGAAATTGAAATTCTGTTGGAGCATCTGAACTATTTTCGGAGAAGAACTCTTTTGTATCCTGTACTTCTCGAAGCGTTATAGCTGTATCCCAAGCATGCATATGCTGTTCGTTTGGAAGGAAATCTCTAAGTTTTCAATCTTGACACTTCTCATCTGGTCTTGGGAAGCGGAAAGCTAAAACTATGTTACTGGGATCCTCCCCGGCAACATCCTATGGCTCCTTAGTCGTTGATTAGTTATTGTTCAGCCATTGAGGAAGAGAGAGAACATGATAGATGGCCAGGTTATTCGTGGCAGAGAAAATTCTGCTAGGGATGTAGGCGAGGGTCCAGGTTCATTAATGTGTTAAGCATAGATTAGAATTTGTTGGTCGGTGGTCTAATGCAAGTGAAAAATAGTAACTGCTCACAAATATTATGCTTAGAGTAAATTAGCAATGAAATTTTGAACCCTGGTATTTGGGAAGTTATAGCTCAATTTTAAGGTTTAACTGAATTTGAATTGCTGTTTTGTTAATATTTCTGGGAATGTCTTTTGTAGTAACAACCAGTTTGGACTTTGGAGCATAACCAAGGCTATAAATGTGTTTTTGGTTCTGATTTTGTTCATGAAATTAAGTAATTTGTCTTTGTTTAATCTAGGTACCAAATAGGCCTTAGGTATACAGGTGGTGCTCGCATGCTGTTGATGCTTTCTCTGAAATTTGGCCTCATTCCAATTATTGTACCTGTTGGTGTTCGAGATTTTGACATTGATGGCGAACTTTGGGTAAAATTACGGCTAATACCAACAGAACCTTGGGTTGGAGCTGTTTCATGGGCTTTTGTTTCACTTCCAAAGATCAAGTTTGAACTATCTCCATTCCGTCTGTTCAATTTAATGGGTAGGTCTTGCTTTTTTGGATATGAGAAGTTATACTCCTTTAAATTACTTGGATCTGAATGACTTGGTAACCAATTCAAGTAAAGTTACAGTTTTATGGAACCCAGATTTATTATTAATGATTCGGGAGTGATGAAAAGATAGAAAGAAGCTCTGGTTCTATTGTATAGAACTGTTCAAGAACCAAATTGAACTGAATCAAATTAAAAGATGTAAAAATTCTCCTACTTCCAATATCAGTTAGAAAGATAGATTGGTTCAGTTAGGTTGAAAACATAATTCAATTTGAAATTTGATGGACAGTTTGCTGGACCAATGTACAGTTCAGTTCGGACGAACTGTTTTTCAGTTCACTTTGGGCAAGCTCTTTTTCCATTTTGGTTCAGTTCTCAAGCAGTTGAGTTCAGTTCAACTTTTTTGAACACCTCTCTTCAATATTCCCATTTCAACACTAACTTTGTCAAGAACCAACTCTTCCCAAAACTTGTCCTGAAATTCTAATTTTTTTGAAAGAATGTGGGCACCAAAAATATATTTATGGATCACTAGTTTATAGAAGATTTAAGAACATGTCAAGAACCAACTCTGTCATCTTACACTAATAGGTGAATGCTCTGTTATTTCTACTAACTGTCATTTTAATTTTAATAATGAATAAATTTCAGTTCAATTCATTATTTTTCGTAGGTTAAGGGTAACATAGACTCTCTTCGCTTATCAAATATGCTTGTATATTTTTAAATTGTCTTACATGTATTGTTCCTGACATCTATGTTATTTTTCTCATGTGCATTGTTGGGCATGGTCAGCAATTCCAGTTCTCTCTATGTAAGTTTCATTTATCTTCTTAATGTTATTAGTTCAATGCATTTTATGCTTATGAAGCTATATGTGTGTGCACTTGTTTGGATGCATTTTCATAGTGATACTATTTATAAATTATTAGGCATGTATCTGATTTTGATGTTACTAACTGTGGAAAGGTACACCACTTTTGAAACTTTAATTACTCCAGATTAAGTATTTATTTCAGTTAACTGTTAGTAGTTTCATTTTTTTCTGTTGTGCTTTCCTTTGTTTCTCTTCAATAATAGTTGTTCTTTCAAAAATTTATGTTGTCAATGATTATTTAAAACATTATTTTCTCTTCTTAAATTCCTAGCTATCTTTTCAAGTTTATGGATTTGTTATCCTGAGATTGTGAGAATGGTGTTTTTTGGCGTTTTCCTGTAAGTTTTATAAGGTAATTATTCTGGCTTTTCTCTTGTAGGTTTTTGACTAAACTTCTCACTGAAGATTTACCCAAACTGTTTGTACGCCCAAAGAAAATAGTTTTAGATTTTCAAAAAGGAAAAGCTGTTGGTCCAGTTGCTGACGATGTTAAATCTGGAGAAATGCAAGAAGGAAGCAAAGATTCTGTGGGTGAACTATCTGTTACACTGGTGGATGCTCGAAAGCTTTCTTATCTTTTCTATGGTAAAACTCTATTGTGTTGTATTTGCTTTTACATGATTTTTTTAACTATTATTTTTCAGACTTGATTGGTCTATTCTTTTATCTCTAGTAGATTTTTATTAGCAGTCTAACTCTTATTTATGTTTGTTCCGTGCACATATTTTTTTGTTTTGTCCTCTTTTAGTCATGGGTTCATGTTGGATATCAGTTTCAATTAACCTATGTTGTTCACTTAATCTTGGACGTATTAATCCTGAATTTAAGCTGGGTAAAGATTAAATATGACCAATATTCTGTATAGATGAGGTAAAAGAAAGGGACAAAGAGAAAGTCTAACTAAGCTTTCTGGTATAATTTCCTGCAAAAAACTAGTGTTAAAGTAGTTTGTATTTGTCCTAGAATGCAAAAAACAACAATTACTGAAGTAAATGATGAAGTGGGATGTTAAGTCAGTTTTCAGTTAAACTTAAACATATACACTTTTATATCAAAGTAAACAAAATTTAGATTTCCCTGGAACTTCACTTTTATTGCCTTGACAAGGAAACGTAGTTGATGAGCATTATGTTATTTTTCTCTAACAATGACAAAGTTTAAACATAACTGCAATATTGCAGAGTTTTGGCTTTTTTTTTTCCGTCTGGTCATGTTAGTATTTTTTGGTAATTGTATTAGTAGTATATGTAAGTGTGTAGGTTTAGCTCATATATTGAGCCATTCTGATTTGTGAATATTTAGTGAAATATTGTATTCTCGCAATGTTTCTTTTCTCCTTTCTTCACTCTGCTTATTTATACAACTGTCTTGTTATCAAACATATTGGATATGGATAATGATTATAGTTAGCTGACCATACAAGTAGAATTGGACAATGTGTACTTCATTTTTCCCTATTTGTGTTTTCTTTTCTTTTCCTGTTTTAGTTTCAGCAGCAAGTAGAGTTATGAATGGTGTGCAATATATATGCTCTAATACCAACCACAATATCTACTCTACATCTTTTCCAGGCAAAACTGATCCTTATGTTGTTCTTAGCCTTGGTAATCAAGTTATACGCAGCAAAAAGAACAGTCAAACAACTGTAATTGGACCCCCAGGAATGCCAATTTGGAATCAGGTGTCATTTTTTGGTTTCCCAATTCATCTTTATTATGCCATTTTTTTTTTCTTTTATCATACTAATGAGTTCCGGCTCTACAGGATTTTCATATGCTTGTTTCCAACCCTAGAAAACAGAAGTTATTCATCCAAGTAAAGGACGCTCTAGGATTTGCAGATTTGACTATTGGTGCAGGAGAGGTTCGTATCATGCACATCATTTGTATTTTAGTGATTTATTCCCCTGTTTCTCTTTTTAATAGGTTTATTTTATACTTCTTTCACAGTTTAGCTTCAGTTTTTCTTTTTGGGATTTTGTTGCTTACCTTCGAAGGTTTCATTTTATACTGCTTCTTGCTAGCATTCTAATATTAAGGACATGTCTTTTGTGATCGCACTTTTAAATATTTTCTTACTATATGGCATGCTTCATGTCGTTTGTCCAAGTCATTATTATTGCAGTTGAAGTCCTTATCTTGAGCAATGAACTGAATGACATGCTTGTACTCCCTCTTTTCTTATTATTGGCCTTGAGTTGTTTCTCATTGATTTACTTTCCTGATTTTAATTATAAATCCAGTAGCATACATACTACTTCTTCCGTCCCAGAATACTTGTCATGTATAAGAAAAAGTATGTCCAAAAATAAATGTCATTTCAGTTTCACAACGGAATATCGATTACTCTTCTCCATTTATACCCCTAATAATATTAATGATGGACAGCAGTAACAAAAAATGAATTAATGATAATAAGGTCAATTTTGTAAAATTGCTACTTCCTTTCATTCATTTATTAGTTTTTCTTGTTCTTTGTAACAAAACCTAGGATGATAACTATTATGGGATGGAGGGAGTAGCTTTGATCAGCAGAGACTGTCTTGTGCTAATGGATTTTTGAGTTGGGCTGAAATTGGAAGAAGTTTATTAACTTAACAGGGTTTAGTTGAACAAACAAATCTCATTAGAAGTGCTGATAGTGAATGATATTACTTTTAGAAAGGATTGGTAGATTCCCTATATTTTGTGTTGAATATAGAAGAAATAGAGTTTGGGATTAATCTCCCTTGTGTATAAATCACACATAGGGTAGTCTATTTATAGTAGAAAGATACAACTAAAAGAGTAACTGAAAGTAACAGAATAAACAGAAGATATTGTTTGATATTATGGTTAATATCTAACAATATCTTAACAATATTAAATAATATCTAAACAATATCTAACACTCCCCTTCAAGCTCGGAGCATACAAATCGTATGTGTCAAGCTTGTTACAAATATAATCAATTCTAGGACCCCGTAAAGATTTAGTAAAAATATCTCGCTAACCGATCACTTGAGTTAACAAACTCAGCCTTGATGTCTCCGACATAATCTTTTCTCGAATGAAATGACAATCAATCTCAATGTGTTTGGTCCTCTCATGAAAGACTGGATTAGAACTAATATGAAGAAGTGACTTGATTGTCACACACAAGTGACATTTGAGTGACATCTCCAAATTGTAACTCTCTAAGCAATTGCTTGAGCCAAACAAGTTCACAAGCAGCTGAGGCCATAACTCTATATTCCGCTTCGCACTAGATATTGCCACAACACTTTGTTTCTTACTTTTCCATGAGACCAAGTTACCACCAATGGAGACACAATATCCGGATGTAGATCTTCTATCCGAAGGAGATCCCGCCCAATCGCGATCTCGAGTAGCAAACAACTCTTGTATGGTTATTAGAATCATATAACAATCCTTTTCCAAGAGATCCTTTAATATACTTTAAGATACGAATGACCGCATTCCAATGATCTTCACATGGGGAATTAAGAAATTGGCTTACCACACCGATCGCAAAGGAAATGTCGGGACGAGTAACTCGTAAGATAATTCAATTTTCCAACCAATCTTCTATACTCGCTCAGGATCGGTATAAGCTCCCCCGATTTGGTAAAAGTTTAGTATTGGGATCCATGGGCGTATCAACAGTACTTTGAATTCATCAACCCAGCTTCCTCTAAAATATCCATGGCATACTTCCTCCGAGATATAACAATACCATCATTGGACCGTGCCACCTCAATATCCAAGAAATATCTAAGTTTGCCAAGATCTTTGGTCTGAAAATGGTGACGGAGATGTTTCAACTGAGAGATGTCATGATTGTCACTACCTGTAAAAACGATGTCATCAACATATACTATCAAGTAAACACATCCAGCACTTGAGTGTCGATAAAAGACAGAGTGATCTGCTTCACACCGAGTCATACCAAATTGTTGAACAACCTTGCTAAACTTTTCAAATCAGGCCCTAGGAGACTGTTTTAGGCCATATAGGGATTTGCGAAGACGACATACCATCCCAGAAGACTCCCCCTGAGCAAAAAACCCAGGAGGTTGCTCCATATAAATTTCTTCTTGCAAATCACCATTGAGGAAAGCATTTTTAACATCTAGTTGATAAAGAGGCCATTGTTGAAGAGCGGCCATGGTGATAAATAAACGAACAGAAGTCATCTTTGTCACAGGGGAAAAGGTATCTCCATAATCCAACCCAAAAATTTGAGTATAACCTTTGACCACAAGAGGAGCTTTGAGGCGATCAATAGTACCATCAGGTCCAACTTTGATAGCAAACACCCACCTGCAACCAACAACAGATTTCCCAGACGGTAACGAGACCAATTCCCAAGTTCCACTATTATGAAGAACACTTAGTTCATCTAACATGGCCTGGCGCCAACCAGGATGAGCTAAAGCTTCACGGACAGTTTTTGGAATGGTCACAGAAGAAAGAGAGGAAAGACATGTATAAAAAGGTAATGACAGTCGATGATAACTCAAACCAATATAATGAGGAGAGAGATTACGTGTAGAACGGATACCTTTTCGGAGGGCAATAGGAAGGTCAGACTCAGGTCTCACATCCGGAGGAGACAGAGTAGTTGACACTTGAGTAGAGTCACATGGTGGTGGTTGTGATTGGTTTCAGCAACTATAAACCTGAAGAGGCAGTGAAGAAGAAGCTGACTGCGGAGTAGAATCTAATGGTGAAGAAGACACAGTTAGAGGGTCACAAACAACAGGAACATTAAATGTACTAGGAGTGTTGACAAGATTGGATGGAGACAAAGGTGAAGATTGACTTTTAAAATAAAAAGAGAACTCATCAAAGGTGACATCTGCAGACACAAAATAACAGTTAAAAGAAGGAGAAAATCATTTGTATCCTTTTTGTGATCTTGTAAACCCTAAGAAAACACATTTATGTGATCTAGGAGAAAGCTTGTCAAGACTAGAACTAAAATTATGAACAAAACATGTAGACCCGAAAACTTTTAGAGGTAAGGGATGAAGTGGTTCATGAGGGAATAAAATGGAATGAGGTATTTTATTATCTAGAACCGAAGATGGCATGCGATTAACAAGATAACATGCAGTAAGAAGAGCATCACCCCAAAAATGTTGAAGAACCTCTCCATGAATTAAAAGAGTGCGAGTTGTTTCAATAAGATGTCTATTTCTACGTTCAGCTACACCATTTTGTTGAGGTGTATAAGCACAAGTAGTTTGATGCAAAATACCATGAGAAGCCATGAATTGTTTAAAAAAATGAGAAAGATATTCACGACCATTATCACTGCGCAAAACTCTAATAGAAACACCGAACTGAGTTTGAATTTCATTGAAAAAAGTTTGAAAGATATGAAATAATTCAGAACGATTTTTCATAAAAAATAACCAAGTGCATCTGGAATAATCATCAATGAAAGTAACAAAGTATTGAAAACCTAAAGTAGACTTAACGCGGCTAGGTCCCCAAATGTCAGAGTGAACCACAACAAAGGGGGACAAAGCACCACGTGTGACACTACGAGGAAAGGAAGTACGACTATGCTTGCCTAATTGACACGACTCACATGCCAAACTAGACAATTTAGATATGGCAGAGACAAGTTGTTGTAACTTGGCAAGACTTGGATGACCTAACTGAGCATGGAGAAGAGAGGGAGACTCTATAACTGCACCAACATGTGTAAAGGGACGAAGATGATAAAGACCATGAGACTCACATCTTGTGCCAATCACCCGTTTCGAACTCCGATCCCGTAAACACACAGTAATTGTTGGTAAAAGAAACAACACAATCAAGAGAACGAGTTAGACGACCGATGGATAACAGAGTTAAAAGGAGACCCAGGGACATAAAGAACATTATCAATGGTTAAAGAAGGGAAAAGTTTAACAGCTTCCAACACCATGAGATGATACTCTAGAGCCATCAGCTAGTGTAACAAAAGGTAAAGGATCATGAGAGGATAAAGAGGAGAACAAAGATTTGTTACCAAGTAATATGATCAAGTGGCTCCCGAATCAAAAACCCAAGGACCGAAGAAGATTGGGTCGACCAAGCAAAAGATGTACCGTGTGTGTGACAGCACACAGTGGAACTAGAAGACTGTTGATCCTTATACCATTTGAGAAATTTGTTGAACATATCGGTGTGTCTCGATGAAATAGAAGGAGGATCCTTAGCAGATAAAGGTGGGGAAAGATCAGTCTGAGTAACTGCAGTAAATCGAGTAGGACGACCATGTAATGCATAACACTTGTCAATCTTGTGACCTAGTTTGCCACAATGTTCACACTCATGTAATGCATAACACTGGTCAATCTTGTGACCTAGCTTGCCACAATGTTCACACTTAGGACGCCCTTTTCCCTGTTTGGGAGGGCGAGTTCGATCATCACAGTGAGATACCAATGCGTAAGAATCATTAACGTAGCAGTGTGTGTCGTGGTTGGGTTTTGCTGGTATACGCAAAAGAGTGGAGCAGGTCGATGTCAAGGTGGGCATGAAAAACTTTGATCGTTGTCCTATCTCGGTGGCAGGGTCGGGGGAAGGAGGCAATAACTCATTGAACTCATGAAAAAGAGCATGAATTTTGCCCATATAATCAGTCATAGAATCTTGATGTTTAGAGGCAATAACATCTACAAATTTAGAACAGACATCATAGAGACGTTGAGTATTATTGGTGTATAATAACTTGGCATGTTCCCAGATTTTGGCACATGTTTCGTAGGAACGAAAAATTTGTTTTAATGAAGGATCAAGAGTACCCTTGAGAACCACGCATAATTGAGCATCAATGGTGTCCCAACGGTCTTCCTCACCAGGAGTGAGAGTAGGTGCTTTCGGGGCAAGATGATCAAGATACTTCCGACTCTTAAGCCATAATCCGACGTCCGATGACCATGTGGCATAATTAGGGCCAGCTTAACTTGTCAATGGATAAGTGCACATTAACATAGTTAGTGTAGATGGAAGGATCGGACGCAAGATCGACGTAATTGGAAGTACTAAAAGGAGCGGAAGAACTCATAAAGGGCGGAGGTGATAGTGACAACGGCGTGAACCGAGTACACCGGTAAGTTCCCAGGAAAGAGAGGTGGGTCACTAATGGATACGCTTAAATACCAAGTCTTTCCTTGTCATAACTTTCCTAGACATGCACTTTCACACTACCAAATAACTGACAGCGATAGCGGCGGTGGTGGCTGCTTCAATAGTGGTCAAAGACGAAAAAAAAAAATCAAAATAACCTTAAGCTCTAGATACCATGTTGAATATAGAAGAAATAGAGTTTGAAATTAATCTCCCTTGTGTATAAATCACACATAGGGTAATCTATTTATAGTAGAGAGATATAACTAAAAGAGTAACTGAAAGTAACAGAATAAACAGAAGATATTGTTTGATATTATGGTTAATATCTAACAATATCTTAACAATATTAAATAATATCTAAACAATATCTAACATTTTGTAGTTTGACTGACTTCTCCAGTGGTAGGTACCCTGAATGTTTTGGTGCAAGAAAATTGGATTCGTATTTGGAATGATTTTTATAAAATCATGCGCTATTTTATAACAGAAAGAACTGAAGCCTATATATTAAGAAGCCGACTTGACGGATGTTATAGAATTAAGAGAAACAAATTAACATTTGTCTGTCATTTCCCTTCACTCTGCTGGGCTTTGTCGTCACCATTTTTTACTGTTGCAGTTGTCAGGCAGCCATGACGTGAGGATTGTTGAAGTTCCCTGCTGATATTCACTATTCACATAACACAGAAAAAGATAGTATTTTATATATTTCTGAATGGTTTTGTGCCTGTGTGTGCATGTGTTTATGTATATGTATATAGGGAAGTTATTGCAAAATAAATTCTATCCTCCCACACCCCTGCATCGAAGTTTGATATATGTTGTCCAATATAATTTAGTGTTTTCAAGGTAGTTTACTTTTAAAAAGAAATTTCTTTTTCCATTTTTGTTATTTAAGATTGTAAAGAAAAATTCATGTCGTATTGGATTTGTGTTGAAAGCTACATTAAAAAGTACATGTCTTTACGTTTTTTATTAACTGAAAATATTTTCAGGTTGATTTGGGATCTCTTAAAGACACTGTACCAACAGACAAAATTGTGGTTTTACAAGGAGGTTGGGGATTTTTAGGAAAGCGCTCCTGTGGGGAGATATTACTTCGGCTAACATATAAAGCATATGTGGAGGATGAGGAAGATGATAAAATTGAGATGGACTCCATTTATACTGATGTTTCTGATGACGAATTGTCTGATTCAGAAGCAAATGTCACTGACGAGAGGGATGAAAGAAATTCTGTGTATGAAATAGATAAAGAGTCATTTATGGATGTTTTAGCAGCATTAATTGTTAGCGAAGAATTTCAGGGGATAGTAGCATCTGAAACAGGGTTTGGCAAAGTTTTGGATAATGGCTCATCTGCTGGATCCAAAGCGTCAAAGTCTACGATTCCCAAGGCTGAACCAATTCCTTCTAGTTCTGATAATTCTGAAGGCTCTGGAGGTATCATTATTGAAACTTGTATAATATTTATTATTGTGTTATCTGAAGGTTTATAAGATTTAAAAACAGTGTGTTCATGTTGGTGACAAATGCAACTTCCAATTGCAGGGTCAGCATTACTTTGGCTTGCTGTGATTGCTAGCATATCACTACTAATTGCTTTGAATGTTGGGGGATCCAGTCTTTTCAATCCTTAAGGTGGCGTTCTGTTGCTTGGAATTTATCCTTTTTCTTATATTGCTTTTCATTGCTTACTAACTTTGTCTTTCGTTATTACCAAAAATTCATTATTTATCCTTTGTATTAATGATAATTTTTTATGTCTTTTGTTATGTCTAACTGTATTATATATATCATGACTAATGTCAAAGTTTTTCTCTATAGGTAGAACATTTTGTTAATACATGGTTTTGCAAGTCGTCCTCGAAATATGTTTTTTTTGGGGGGAAATAAAACAGTTTGCTCTAAAGAGCTTCTACATCGCTGCAAATACTGTCAATATTTGTATGCATAGGGGATAATGGGGGTAATATGGTTGCTTGGAAATAATGTCAGTTGGTTCTGCAACGTTGACAACTTCCAATGTAAATGTCCAAATTGCTTGCATGTTTTGTTCATACTTTTCGCTTAGATGGTTTGTTCTTAGAGATGCTAATTCCATTTTGTTTATTTTTTTCTATTGGCAGGTTGGGCAGTAGATAACGTTAGATTGTTTTTCTTTTATCCATTGTTATAGCGTGTGTATATTCGTGACTGCTTCTGACGGAGGAAAGCATCTACCGGCGGCGCATATTTTTGGCTTCTTTTTGTGAGAGCCACAATTTTTATTTCTGATTAAATCTGTAATATTACTTGTCTATATGCAACCATTTTGTTTTATACTCTCGGAAATAATAAAATAGAATAACAGGTTCAGAGACTTTTTCTTCTTTTTATGTAAAGCTAACCATTCCAATACAGGACCAAAATAGTCTCATTTTATTACTTATTGCTTTTGGTATTTGAGAGTTCAAATTTCTTTTCTTCCATTGTTGTGGCCGAACAATTCATATTTATTAAGACAGTTAGTTAATATAATTAATAATATTAAATTTATTTATAATCTTAATTTTAATGTTCGGAGAAAGAACTATAGTAGTGATGTTTTAATTTTGATACTTATATATTTTCTTAATTTCGATTCGGTTTGATTTAATTCTTGAACGTAAAACTGAAAACTAAATCAACCTAATCGATTTAAAAATTTTCAATTCAGAAAATTATAAAAAATATATTTTTAATTGATTTTCAACTTTTTAGATTAATTTTCAATTTTATTTTTGGATTAATTTAGTTTTTAACACTCTAAACTGATCAATTGCTGTAATGTATAATTTGAGAAAAAAATATAAATATAATAATAATAATGAGGTGTGAATTAGATTTTACATAAAAAATTTAAATAACATTTTCGTGGGGAGATTAAAATAAACATTATTTAGATTTTATAGGTATTAAATTAATAAAAAAGCTATAATAAATATTTTAATAAATTAAGATATTTTACTAGATAAAAAGAAAAAAAACATTTTTCTTAAGCAAAATGTTAAATAATCATATATTATCTCCGTCCTCACATCAATATAATTTTAAAATTAACAGAAAAATCATATATTTATATTTGAATAAGGCTAAACTAGTATAACTTTTTAATATATAAAACATTTTACAAATTAAAAACATATTTTACCGTACCTAATGTTATACGTTATTAATTCAAAAGAGATCCTTAAAAAGTTTTTTTAAATAATTTCGAAGGTGGTGGTGGTGCGCAATGGTCCGACGAAGGAAGGTAGCAAGCCCTAACTCCAAAATACACACATACACATTCACATAACCATACCCATTTTCTTTTCTTTCAACTCAAAACAAAGCACTCCCTCACTCCTCTTTTCGCTCTCAACTGCTTCCGTCCAAATTCTCCCTCTTGTTCTTCCTTCTCCATACTATCCCACTGGTTCGTTATCATCCTCTCTCTCTCTCTCTCTCTCTCTGCATGCTTTTTCTCTTCATTCTTAGCTTTCTTTGCATCGAATTTTGCAGACCTATGCCTCTCGCTTTCCGATTTACGATTCGCCTCTGCGAAAATTATCGTTCGTCGCTATGTTTCCATCGTCTAATGTAACACTGATTGTTCTGAACGCAGATCGGTTTCAATGACTTCGTCGGCGTGGTTGCCGCAGGAGGCGCAGCCACATGTGTCCGGAGAAAAGTCTCTTCCTATGGCTTCTTCCACCTCTAGTTCCGCTACTGCTACTCCTTCCACCGGTAAACCTACTACACCTTTACGCTTTCGATTCATCGGATGTTATTTCTACTGATTTAATTCGAGCAACGGCTCATGCAAAATTACTTAATGCAACTGCGTTTGTAGCTCCGGCATCAGCACCGGCACCTCCATTCCCTTACGGCGTGCTTCAGTATGCCAACACTTCGGGGAGTTCTCAACAGTCATCGACAAATAATGTTAGTGTAGTAGCGAGTTATTTGCTTTTAGTGTTAGTTTCATTATTGAATGGGGTTATGGTGATGTAATGATGTATGTCAATCACAGGCGCTTGTTCTTACCCTCTACTCTGTTGGTTACATTTGTTATTTTTTTTTTTTTTTAATTTAGGTGATAAAACCCAATTCGACAGTGAATCCTGTAGTTTTTCAAGCTCCAGTTTCTGGTGTCTCGTCGCATTCTGCTCCTTCATTTTCGTACAATATTCCCCAGAGTGGTGCCGCTTTTTCCAGCAACCAGCAGCATACTCAATCTAGCTCTGTAAGGCCTTTACCGTACTATTTACTTTAAACTGTAGAGTGCAAGTTGAAAGATAGATTAGAAAGGAGGGAATGAGTTTGGGTGAATCCTTATTTTAGGGAAATTTGTGAAGATCACTTGACACTTGATCAGTTTGACAACAATATGGGACAGTTGAAAGTGGTGGAGTGCTACTCCTTTATTCCCTTCTACCATGAAACTGAATCGAAAGTGAGATTTTCCTCCTGCTACCAACAAACGAGTTTCTAGTGAATATTTAAACCACTTAATCCGTCACTTCATTTGTACCTCCCTTGCCATTTTACTTTAAATTTTCAACATACTTAAACATGAATGATAATGACCTTTAAGTGTTCACAGTGAACTAAGTCTCCATTGACCAAAGGTGGGCCTAGCTTGGACAGCATATGTGCTCAAGTGAAATGAAATGTGTTTGAAGTGTAGGATGCGATTAACTTTAATATACACTAGACTTCAATGATATAATATAGAAAAAGTTTTGTTGGTAGCATAGTGCATCGTGATGTATGTATAATAGCACATGGGGGTCTATCTGATCTGCTTCTGCGTTAGGTTTTTATGCAATTGTCGATTACAAAGAAAAGTTGTTGCTTTCAAATGTATGATATGAGTACACTCTATCAATCCAAAATGAATAATGGATACCATTTAGTGTGTGGCAATGAGGACTAGCATCAAGTAATTGTTACACCAATAATTTTACAGGAAAATTCTCAACAATAATTATTTCCTTGTGCATCTACTTGCTTATTGCAGAATGTATCGGATTCTGTTGCACAGGATGTTACTAAATTGTCATCTGTGTCAAGTATCCCTCATTCTGCTCATACATCTACATCGATAATGCCTCCCTCTGACCCTAATTATCTTCCAAGTACTTCATGGATGCCCACTGCAATGTCTTTTCCCTTGCATCCTGTAATGCCTACTCCAGGAAATCCTGGCCCTCCTGGATTAGCATCATCTTCGGTAGTGTCCATCAATCCTGCTGTTCCATCCACTGGAATAGATTCTTCCTCAGCTGCCTTACTGAGACCAAACATGCCAATTTCAGCCATTGCATCAGATCCTACTACCCCTCATAAAGGTTTACCCTATCCATCCATGCCTTCAATGGCTGCTCCCCCTCAGGGATTTTGGGTACAACCCCCACATTTGAGTGGTGTCTTTAGGCCACCGTATCTTCAATACCCTGCTCCTTTTCCTGTCTCCTTTCCATTTCCAGCACGCAGTGTTACTCTTCCTGCTGTTCCAATACCTGATTCTCAACCTCCCGGTGTTACACCTGTGAGTGGTGGTGGTGGCACTTCTACACCTGCTTCCAGCAATCATCTGAGGGGAACAATGGCTTCGCAAACTGAAGTTATTTCAGGGCCAGCTGGTATGCACAAATCAATGCTACTGCACCTCTGAAATGTATTTTATCATTGTCATGCTTTGAAAATAGAAATCTTATTCCTGAAATTTGTTTGTCTTGTGGTTGCAGATGATAATAAGAAATTAAATGCTGTCATCACCCAACATGAGGATGCTGCTAATAATGAACAATTAGAGGCCTGGACAGCCCACAAGACTGAAGCAGGAATTATATACTATTACAATGCCGTGACTGGAGTATCAACATATGATAAACCTTCTGGATTTAAAGGGGAGGTACTGATACTTAGTACCCATGTTCTTAGCAGATCTTCTACATTATTGTGTCCTTCATCACTGAATATTCTTTTCATGTACCTTTAATTTATATATAGTTTATATTGTTGTGGATAATTCAATTAGTATTGTCTGTTGGTTAGGAGTAAGTGTGCTGTTAACTAATTGCTTGTTATTATACTGTAAATAGTAGTGTTGTATTGTGAGTGATATATAGTTGTGTGAGGTGAAATTTCAGATTCAGTACTAGCATCTATCATCTCAAAAATTCTTTAATATTCTTTATTTATTAGTATCTAATATTTAATTATTTTAGATAAGGATATTGAATACCCTTACTAATGGGGAAAACCTCAGATACATGATATTTGTTGTCTAAAACTGTAACTTCTAACTTAAGAAAATTATATTAGATACTATCTGAAACATCCTACTATCATTTGTTGTAGTGTTTATGATCCTATATATATATACATATTATTTTTAATTCAGTTTATTGATATTTTGGATTTGTCTGCAGCCTCACCAAGTTTCTGCTCAGCCCACTCCAGTTTCAATGTAAGTTCATTGCTTATATTCTGGTGGCAACATCTTATTGTACAAGTCATTTTGTATTTCATTTCACTAACTCTGAATATATGCTGGGTTGTTTATATGTATTTTTCTGCTTACGTGTTCTATTTTAATTTTATTAGTTGTGTAGTAAGGAAGAGGATGGAGGTAAGGTGGTAAAACTATATGGTTTGGGGGGGGGGGGATAAATGATGCTCCCCTTGGTCCCCTCTTCGGATGTTTAAAATGAAGGAAGGGAATGACAGGGAAGGTTATATAATAACTATTTTACTTTATTATTTCTTGTTAAAACGTGGGTGCTAAACTTTAACCCCTCATTTGGATTGGATGAGAGGAAAGAAAATTTCACAATTTGACTTGGAGGTAAAAATTTGATTTTTTGGTATTTCTTCCTTTTTTTTTTCTTCAATGAAATTAAAAATCTCAAATTTCAATGTTTTCTCTCTCCATCCAAACAGGGTAAATCTGATTATGACTAGACAATTATTTTCCTGAAGAAGTGAGTTCACTGCCAACAATATTCCTATGATAGTTTCATGCCTTATATAGAGATATTGATTGATTGATTTGTGTGGAAGGGTTCTATGGGTACTGTAGACAAATCAATATGATTCAAAGGAATTTTCCGTATCAATACTGTTCGACTGCAAAGAAATCATAATTGCTAACAGTTCAGGGTATTATGAGATTCTTTGTTCACGGGTTAGGTGACCTTTATGTATTTCACTTAGATTATAATTTCAAGTGGACACGATGTATATGCATGTTGTTGTCTAGAAAGTTTATTTGTAACCAAAGATTTACAATTTTACCTTTTCATCTTTTATCATTTTTAATTTGAATAGGATGGACTTGCCTGGTACTGATTGGCTGTTGGTCTCTACTAGTGATGGGAAAAAATATTACTACAATAATCGAACCAAGGTATGGTTCCTACATTCACAAATCTATCAACTTTATTATCTTAGTTTGTATTGTTTCGCTGCCAGTCGCCTTCAGTTCTTGTCTTTCTGGGATGAACTACCTTATTACATTCTAACATAATGTTGTCTGTGCCATGTTTGTAATTATATTTCTAAATAGATTAAGCTTTCTAAATTGTTTTTTATGACATTTTGTTCTATGTTAGACTAGCTGCTGGCAAATCCCAAATGAGGTGGCTGAATTGAAAAAGAAACAAGATGGTGATGTTACAAAAGATCAGTTAATGTCAGTTCCAAATACTAATGTATTGTCTGATAGAGGGTCTGGAATGGTTTCTCTGAATGCTCCTGCTATTAATACTGGTGGTCGTGATGCTGCAGCTCTTAAACCCTCTAGTATACAGAGCTCATCTTCGGCGTTGGATTTAATCAAGAAGAAATTGCAGGACTCAGGAACACCTGTTACTTCCTCTTCTATTCCTGTGCCATCAGGACAAACAGGATCTGAAACAAATGGTTCAAAAGCAGTTGAATCTACAGCTAAGGGCATGCAAGCAGATAATAACAAAGATAAACAAAAAGATAGTAATGGTGCTGCTAATGTTTCAGATACATCCTCAGATTCTGAAGATGAAGATAGTGGACCTTCAAAGGAGGAGTGCATAATTCAATTTAAGGTTGGTATATTTGTCTCTTTGTTTGAGTTGATGTGGTTCATTCCTGTTTTCTGTTTGTGTTATGAGAAATCCTGATCCTCCGGCAATTTGATTGAAAACTAAGCTAAATATCATGTAAAATATACATCTCTCTTCCCCTTTTGCATTTTTTTCTCCCTATGTTTGTAATTCATTGATATTTTTGTCGTGATGTTATTTGCATTTTTGTTGTGATTATGTTGTTTTTTAAAATTTTTAATCATGAAAATAGTTTATGGAAGACTGTTATATTTGTATTTAATTCAATTCTCTATTGTTCCATTTCTGTGGAAAATTAAAATTAAAATATTACCTACCAGGGTAAAAATTGCAAAATCTCAAATATCACCTACAACATTTTTACGTTTCTGTTGAAAGTCCTACATCGCCTACCTCATGTCATTTGGTATGGTTTAAATACATGTTAGGCTACTCCACATATTGCCAATTGGTTTTATGTTGGAACCTTGACATGGTATCAGAGCCAAAACCTAATATCTTTCCGGTTATTGTCATGAGTCAAAAAGTTGCCCTTTAGTTGGGTCAAAAGTATCTTTTGCCTGGTTCGGCAGACTTTGTTGGAAGGGACGTGTTGAAAGTCCCACATCGCCTACCTCATGTCATTTGGTATGGTTTAAATACATGTTAGGCTACTCCACATATTGCCAATTAGTTTTATGTTGGAACCTTAACAGTTTCTATAAAATCTACTAAATTTTATCTAAAACAAAATTTGCTGAATAAATTTTGTGTTTATGCCTTGCTAAACCCCGTTTTGTGTAAGCAATGCATCATGAAGTCATGAACCATGATGCACTCTCTCGCCTTAGTTCTTACAAAATAATTTCTGTTTATTTGTTCCTGTTAAATTTTGTAGGAGATGCTTAAGGAGAGAGGAGTGGCACCATTCTCAAAGTGGGAGAAAGAATTGCCAAAGATAGTGTTTGATCCACGTTTTAAGGTATTTTGAAACTAAATAATTTTTAATATTTGATTGGGAACCAGTGGCCTTTCCTTCAACTGGGACTCTTTAAATAATTTTTAATATTTGATTGGGAACCAGTGGCCTTTACATCAACTGGGACTCTTTCAATAATTAGTTGTGCACTTACAGTCTTGTTCAATGCTGGAATTTCTATCAACTTTGTCTTAATTCTTTCTCGTGGTGTGACGTCTGGAATGGTATCCATGTTTCATCCCCTTTTTAAGGTATTATGACTAGAAATAATTTTTAATATTTTGAATGGGAACCAGTGAACTTTCCTTCAACTGGTACTCCTTTAATAATTAGTTGTGCACCTACAGTCTTGTTCAATGCTGGAATTTCTATCATCTTTGTGTTAATTCCATCATGTGGTGGGATGTCTGGAATGGTATTCATGGATTTCATGTGACACTTGATCAAATTGTCAAAAAGTAAAATGTTCTGTGGAATTAAGTCTAATTTTTTGTACAACACATGATCGAGTGTAATTGATTAAAGAGAGTAAGTTCTACACTTTATCCATGTATATCAATTTTTCATCTTAGGAGTCATATTAATATTATATCTACTTTCAATTTTAAAGGATTTTCTGCTTCCCCCACTACCTAGTGTTTTTTGGGTCAAAGAAAGGTAAAAATTGGGGCGTCTTATTAGGGACTTTTTTCTGATGGACATGCAAAGGGGCTGGAATTTTTTTTTTCAAGACAATGTGGCTAGCTTTAGAATGATCTATTTTTTGGAAACTGTCTTACTCCCAACATTATATTTTCTTGTATCTTAATTTTTTTAACACATTTTGGCTTGTTTATGATTTTTACATACTTTTTATTATATATAATCTGTGTCATTGCAGGCCATCCCAAGTTATTCTGCTAGGAGATCCTTGTTTGAGCATTATGTTAAAACTCGTGCTGAAGAAGAACGCAAAGAAAAGCGTGCTGCACAGAAGGCAGCAATTGAAGGATTTAAGCAATTGCTGGATGAAGCCTCAGAGGTTAATATTGGGTGATTTTGATGCTCATTCATACTAATTATTGTTCCACTGTAAAATCTATCTGCCTTCAATCTGTGGAACTACTAAATGCTTGTACAATATATTTTTTCAGGATATTAATAGCAGTACTGATTATCAAACTTTTCGGAAGAAATGGGGAAATGATCCACGGTTTGAGGCATTGGACCGCAAGGAGCAAGAGCATCTATTGAATGAAAGGTGCCACTTCACATTTTAATAGGAAATTCCATTTACCTTTCCGTCAATTTTTTGCATGTGATATTTTCACATTAGCAGCATCCTTTCCATCATATTTCTTATTTGATTTGTTAATTTTTACATTAGTCATGCTTTTGGATCTCCTAACCTGTCAGCCGAGTTGGTCTGTCATATCAAATAATCATACACTTCTTATGATGCTTTTGTGGAGTTTGTGTCTGGAAGTCTCTATTTCTATCTGTCGTTCTTAACATGGAAATCAAATAGGTCATTTTCTTTTTAATTTATTGAATTTTCTGATCATTCATCATGTATGTTGGGCACACAAAACAGAGCAGGTCCAATTTTGTTAATTTCTCTTATTAAGCATGTTTCTGAACTGAATAATGGTAGTAGTGCATCCTTCACTGGCAAACAAGATTTTGGGCTCTAGTACTCAACCTGGGAAGTGATTGAATTATCTACAAAGTAGTCACTGTTTGATACAGTATCAATATCATTTTGCGGATCGCAACAATTTTGGCAAATGCCAATCCATTGACGTAGAAATATCAAAGATAATGCTGAGAGAGTCACTAGTCTGAATATCAATAGGTTGATTAACAAGCTCAAAATGGTGACGTTTGATGACAATTCAAAGTTGTGCCATGCATCTTAATGTCTTGATTTAAATTAAGCACTCATCCAGGAACTAGGATTTATTTATTTACCCGCTGTGAACTCGTGGGATCCATGATACTGAATAGAATGAGTTTTGATTGGTGCTATTCTGCTTTCTATGGCCTTCAAGTTGATAGTTTTAAAAGGAAATTGTTAAGGTTGTTCAGCTTATATTAGTTGAGAATGTGAGATGCAATTAATCAATCATATACTTTCTTGGTAGTAGGGCTGTTCACTGGTATGGTACCCACAAGCTCAAACCAATCCAATCCATTAATATAATATATATTTATAATTTAATTTATTATTTGTGTATGTTTTATAATAAATAAAGATTTAGAAAATCATATATTAAACATGATTTACACATTTGAGCCTTAGCCGCATCTTCACTTTTTCCTTCTTGTCTAGGGTTCCTTTCTCGCCTTAACCTCCTTACCCAAGGATTCCTTACATCTACTCACCTCTATATCAGTTTCATGCTTATTAATTTAAGTTTTAATTTAATTTATTTGAATACATTATTTAATCAAAATGCGTATACAATATAATTCAGTTATATTGAAATGCAATGGTAAAGTAATTTTTTTTAATCTGAAAATTTTATTTTTATATTTTATGTACCCATTGATCTGATCCAATATTGATCGGGTTGATGTAGTTCAGATGTGGTAGAGAAATGACACCATTCCCACCCTCTTGACCCTACAAGTTTTACTAGTTATCTGGCAGTGCAAATGCAGTATTTCCTTTGATAACCCTCTTTACATTCTCTTCCAAAAAAGTTGGCCCAACAGAGGGGAATATATTTTAATATAGCTAGGTTTCTTTATGACAAATAGTGTATGAAGACGTAAGAATCAAGACATGTTTGTCACATGTTGGTCTCTCTCTCTTTTTATTTTTTTTTAACCCACCGGCATCAGCACATTTGTTGTATGCAGGATTTGTTCAAAATGAATGCAATCTTTCTGCCCAATCCTTTTATTCTTTTTATTCAAAATTTGGTACATCCAACTGGGAGAAGTTCTTACATTTGTGTGTATATGTACTGCTTTGGTTTGGACCCTCAATTGCATTAATATTGAACTTTTTCCTAGACAGAAATGATTTCTATTGTAATCCTTGAAAGCAACATGAGTCAGCAGGTAGTAGGCTAATGACAGACTCTCGGATTCACTGTGGGTGTGTCCTTATGCCCTCTGAACTATTTTTAATTTGCATGGTAGATGTTTTTTTTTATCAAATGCGGTGTGTACAGAATGCTGGTTGATGGGGTTCTTATGTTTGTTTCAGAGTGCTTCCTTTGAAAAAAGCCGCCGAAGAAAAGTCGCAAGCAATGCGTGCAGCTGCTGCCACCTGTTTTAAGTCAATGCTTAAGGAGCAAGGAGATATATCTTTTAACTCACGTTGGTCAAGGGTATGTGTGTTGTAAGTTAGTGCTGACATTTTTTTGTCTGTTATTTAGATGCAGGTTTTGAAACGAATTTAAGTGCTAAGAGATAAATAATTTCGTGTCTATTTTCCATATATTCAAATTATTAGCCCAAGTCTTGGGTTACCTACTATTGGATGAATTCTCTTGAGGGTTTTGTTATTTGGCATAAGAACTCAATTCTTACATTTCTCAAAACAATAGCAAAATTATAAATAATAAAAACTGAATTTTCTGGGACTTGTTTAATAATGAAAAGGGAGCATTATTGTAAACAGCATGATCAGCAAATGTAGAATATTTTGATGCTCAAATACATATATTATTTGGCATATTTCTAGAAGAAATTAAAACTGTTAAGGTTCCAACATAAAACCAATTGACAATATGTGGAGTAGTCTAACATGTATTTAAGTCATACCAAATGACATGAGACAGACAATATGAGACTTTCAACACGTCCCTTCCAACGAAGTCTGTGGGACTAGGCAAAGGTACTTTTGACCCACAACGAAAGGATAACTCTTGGTCCAAGACAATAATCAGAAAGATGTTAGACTTTGGCTCTAATACCCTGTTAAGGTTTCAACATAAAACAAATTGACAATAATGTGGAGTAGCCTAACATGTATTTAAGCCTACCTCATGTCATTTGGTATGGTTTAAATACATGTTAGGCGATATGAGACTTTCAACAAAAACCATAATTAGTAGTTTTCATTTTAGATTACAAACATACGATCTTGCTTATTTTTTTAGTTTTGTCTCCCTATGAGTTATTTCGTGACTTGTACATGTTATTTTCGCCATTAGTTTTCTCCACGAGGGAGAAGAAATTAAGTCTTACTTCACAATGGCGGGGTTTTTATTGGATTTGAATGAAATGTTTTAGGCTATGTGATTGCTGGATAAAAAGATTGTTTTAGATGTTACTGAGAATGATATTAGCTGCACAAAATAAAGTGTTTGATCTTCTCAATAATCTTTATATATTTAAATGTTACCCTTTCACACATACAGTGGTTTAAAATATTGGTACTTGTTTTTAGGGGTATATTAGCAAGTTATTGTGATGCTCTCAAGGTACGACTAGCTAATATGCTTTTTTTGAATGAACCTTTCTAATATATGTTCCTTTTAAACTACAAGTAGGATATGTTGGTAAGTGCTGGAAATAGGAATATTTTAGGAGAATAAGAGCTTCTTTCATGTTTATTTTTCCAAGTAGATTAGATACATGATATAGCTAGTATTAATGAATCTTAGGTAATAGTGATATCTTAAATTCTTTGGCATTAATTATTTTGTAATGCTCCTGAATGTAAACTAGTCCATCCTGCTGGGTGAAAAAAAAATTTCAAGCACATTTAGAAAATTTTCCTTTCGGATTTTCTCACAGGCTTCATCTTTGTATTTGTTAATATAATCCCAAGGATATTGTTTATTAGTTAACTCGTTTTAGAAACAAGTGAGAGTATGCATGTACATGTAAGTGTAACTTTTGAATGTGGCATATGTATTACTCACTTTTTCCATGGCTTGTACTTCCTAATCTATAATCTTCTGTTGATACAGGTTAAAGAAAATTTAAGGGATGACCCAAGATATAAATCTGTGAGGCATGAGGACAGGGAAGTTTTGTTCAATGAGTATATATCTGAATTGAAAGCTGCTGAACATGCAGCAGAAAGAGAGGCTAAAGCTAGAAGGGAGGAGCAGGTATCATCTGGTTAATATACAATGAAACGAGAATAACTGTCATCTACTCTTTTTTCCTGTTATTATTGTTGTTGCTGCTTTGACATGCTGCTTCTGTATGTTCCTGGTGGGTAGAGGCTGTTGAACTACTGCACATTTTTAGCTCATTGGAAGTGTACTTTTGTTGTAGTGACTGTTATGGGTATTGAAAGTGTATTTTGTTCATGACATTTTCTGTTTTATAATGGTCTGCACTATGGTATTATTTGAATTTGTTTATTATTTAGGTTAAGTGATATTTTCAATCCTTAGAAGTGTATATTTTTTCTAGTTAGTCCATGGGTGTTAATAAATAAATAAAAATTCATAAATAAGTTTAGTCTTTCATCTCCATATTTTGTTTATGTTTGACAGGGACGTTGTTATGTTAAGTATTATTTGCAGCAAACAACAACAATAGGATCGATTGTGTGGAATTGACTTATGTGCTCTGATAGAAATTGATGAAAACATTCAAAGTAAAATCATCCTAGCAAGAACATAACCACAGATAAATGAAAAATTAATGTTAATATATTTATTTTAGTAAAATGGATTAACCAAATTAACCATTTTACATATTTATGTGTATAGATATGATTTTTTAGCAACTCATTTTCATTAATTTTAGGATGTAAGGACCTACCTGAAATAAAAGATGAATATAAGATATGAAAGTTACTTTTAAGGATTTTATTTTAATTTATTTAAATTCTAGGACTAAAATAAAACCTCTATATACTTTCAAGACCAAATTGACCATTTTGCATATTTATATTTGTATAGATGTGCTCCTTTAGCAACCATTTTCGTTATTTTTTATTATGTATTTAATATGAAGCAAATTACTTGAAGTTGAAACTATTTCACAGGACAAGCTCAGGGAAAGAGAACGAGAGCTGCGCAAAAGGAAGGAAAGAGAAGAACAGGAAATGGAGAGGGTGCGATTAAAAATTCGAAGAAAGGAGGCAGTTACTTCTTTTCAAGCTTTACTGGTGGAGACAATCAAAGATCCTCTGGTATAGATTTCTTTTTTGTGGTAGGGTTACGGATATTGTTTTCAAAATCTTTAATAATCAACTTAAGTTCTAGTATCCCCAATCTTAAAGTATTAGAATGTATGTAGTCCCTCCGGATTTACTTCACTTTTGTAGAAGGTTTTGATTTAAAAATAAAAAAGAACAAGATAATGCGATGCGAATGAGATTTTCTGACGCATGATTGCGTTAAGATTGCTTGCTTGTAATTTTTTTTTTACTAATAACTTAAGCGGATATTGATGTTACATTTTATCCCTATTTCTACCATTAATTTAAAATGAATGGCATTTGTGTACTGATGATGTTCGTAGGCATCATGGACGGAATCCAAGCCTAAATTAGAAAAGGATCCTCAAGGACGTGCAACTAATCCTGAACTCGATTCTTCTGACACGGAAAAGTTGTTTCGGGAACACGTGAAGATGCTTCAGGAGGTAAGTGACCATATATGATATTCATGGGTTGTATGGCATTCTCTTTTTTATATTATTGCCTGGTTATGTAGTTTTGATGTGTGATATGCATACATATAACCCGTGGCCATTGATTTGACCAGCGATGTGCTCACGAGTTTAGAGTACTCTTATCTGAAGTATTGACTTCTGATGCTGCAACTCAAGAAAGTGACGATGGAAAAACAGTGCTTAATTCTTGGTCTACAGCAAAGCGTGTTCTAAAATCTGATCCAAGATATAGCAAAGTTCAAAGAAAAGAAAGAGAAGCATTGTGGCGCCGGTATGCAGAGGATATACTGCGGCGGCAAAAGGCATCTCATTCTCATGATTCCAGGGACGAGAAACATACTGATGCTAAAGCTAGGAATTCTCTAGAATCTTCCAAACATCCATTGGAATCTGGGAGATCGCACGACCGAAGATAATTCTTTTTCTGATTCTTGTCTTACTCTTCTCAATTCTCCTTTAGTTTGAAGTTAGAACAGGATATATATTACTTTTAAAAGTTCTTAATACTGTGTGTATACTACTATCACATATAACCTTTTTTCAATTTTCAGATCATTTTCTTCCCTCATTGAAACCAGATGCATAATGATTCCTGTATCCCCTCCACGCAATTCATCGATGATAAAGTATATGGATGGAGAAGTACAAAAATGAAAACTCCTATTATATTTTATATCGCTTTAACTATTCATTTGACTTCAATTATAACATAATTTACTTATAAATTAATTTGAATTGAAGTATTTAGTTAATATATAATTTGTTTATTTTATTAATTTAAATATTCAAATATTCAAAATAATGTTTATCGTATTTATGAATTAAAATTTATGTAAATTATTTATATTTTGGCGATATAAACGAAAGTATAGGAAGTATTTGTCAGTTGCAAATCTCATCTACATATTTTTTTTCAACAATATGTATACAATTACTTTTTCCATATGATTTACTTACAATTATTCAATAATATCATATTAATAAACATAAAAAATTTAATTTTTTATCATTATTATAATATTAAAGTAGGTTGTTTAGTGATGTTTAGTTTGAAAGAGTTGTTAATATATAATTTTCTTATTTATGAAAAACAATTAATAGATATGTATATCTATATATATATATATATATTATGAAAAAAAATTCACTTGTTTTAAAAATAAAAATTTATTTTAATTATTAAATTTATGTATACTTAAGAATAATTTTTGTTTGTATATAATTTTGTTTCGATATATATTTCTTAAAAAAACTTCAAAAAATGAGTTTAATATGTCTTCGTCGTAAGTGTAAGTTTTGCACAGTTTATTCTAAAAAATATTAACATCAAATATGTTTCTGTTACAATGAAAAAATTGTTATTTTTTGTCTTATCAAAGTTAGTCTTTTTAAATGTATGACATTAATGGATCATAGTTGTCATCTTGATTTTCTTTTAATATTTGAAACAATTGTGTGTGCTTGTTTTTACAGAATTAAGTACGGAGTACTAGTTAATTTACTTGTGATCGTATTCGTAATTATATTCGGTCTTGATTTTTATTTTTATTTTGCTGACATATTAAGTATTTATTTATTATAGCACATGTGGTTCAATCTCTTTTTTAAGTATTAAGCTTTGTAGCTTTAATTATCGAATATGAATCTTTGATTTTTCAATCAAAACACTTTACTACGATGATAAACGTTTTTTTTTTTTTTTTACTTTTTATCTTTTATCCTATTAAACGAGTATGATATATAGACAACAATTTGCATTTTAGAGTATTTGACGCAATCTTTACTGGTTATGATACAACTTTAAGGAATAAGTACAATTTATATTAATTTTTATCTAAGTATGATTTCAGAGAAAACTTTTTTCAGTGTGAAATTATTAAGAAAAGTATTAATAATAATACTATTTATGCTGCCGTGTTATCCTAAGAAATGAAATAACAGTTAATTATTATTTTTCAAAAATAGTTTATTCAATCCTGAACAGTAGTCATTCTAAAGAAAATATATATAAAGATTATAGAAAATCTCAATCCCATGAACCTGCACTGGTGAATCAATTTTGTGCTTGTTCGAAACATTACTGCTCCAAATCTAACACTATTTTCTTTAGTTTTACCAATTATATTTTAATAACTCCATATACTCTACATTCATCAAACAATCAACTTTAATGATATAATAATACATATATTATTATATTGTTAAACTTAGTTGGGATATATACATATAGTTATCAAAATATTTTTTTTTAGTTTTTTCCTTTATCTCTATTTATTGAAAAAAAAATAATTCCACTTGAATTCTAGACTAATATCATTAAAAAATTTGAAACAGGTAATTTTTCAAAATTATTTATGAATCTATAAATTCTTTAATGGGAGAATTTGGTTTTGAAAAGAGTAAAGTTCGACTAGTAAAATACATCTGTGTTCAAGTTAGTGTTTTTGGCAAAAGATAATATATTTAAGAATAAATAAAAAATTTGAGATTTATCTATGAGTCTCTTATACAGAACACAAAAATAATACGTTCAAAAAATAATAATAAATATAAAATATTATAAATAATAATAATAATAAATAAAAGATAATTAAAAATATATTATGTAATAAGATTAAATAAATAAAATAATTTTAATAGATTTGGAACAAGTATCTCATATATTTTCTACCTTACTACTTTGAAAATTTTTCTAAAAATGTTATTCCAGAATTTTTAATTCAATGGAACAATATTGTGTTTTTCTAATATGAATAGGATTCACAAAAAATTATAAGATTTCAAGAAGAAAGTACCGTCATAAAACTACAATTTGCCAAAGCTGATACTTTAACAGAGGTACGAATAATACAATAGGAGAGACTTTTATGGGAAAAGAAGAAATTCAAGTATTCATTTCGTACACTCATCAAATTTTATTTTTAACGATAAAATTAAAGATAATTTATATATTTTTTTCTTTTAATAACAAACATCTTTTAAATATTAAATTATAACAAATAATTTTTTTAAAATAAATAATCAACAAAAAAATTTAAAATAGATAATATCTAAAAATAGAATTTTATCGTAAAGTTGTTAGAATATGAAGTTTTTTTTTTTTTTTTTTTTTAATGAAACTGTATTATGTACTGCCAATGAGTTTCTTACACGAAATAGGAATATTACTGTAAGAAGAGCGATAATTACAGAACAACAAATATGAATAGAAAAAAAATCAGAATTAAACCTAAGAGAGGAAGCTTTTGCACAGTTCTTTTTTTCTCCCCTTTCTCTCTCCACACATCCATACTCTTGTGCTAATCTTTTAATCATATATTAGTTATTTTGTGTCGTGAGTTTTTTCTTACGTTTTCATCACTTATATTAGCTTTCAGGTGTTTATGAGTTGTCCCATATTCTCATCGTTTGTCTTTTTTATAATTGGTTTCATCGCAGATACCCACAAAATTTGAGTTTAAGCATCCAAAACACACTCCAAAAAGAAAAAGGTTCAATTAAGAAAAAAGTTCAATTAAGGGTAGTGTATTACTTAAGAATAGGAGTGTAAATAGCAAGGACGTTTAAAATACCTGGGCCGGTTGTTTGTTAGGCCTATAACTTTGGCGCGTGATTTGCACGTGCTGTTGATTTCCTTATTTGCTTTTCCGTTATTAAAACCCCCACCGTCTCTTTCTGTGTTAAGCAAAATTGTTTCCCCTCTCGCCGACTCTTCCTGTTTCCCGAAGCTTCCATTGTCTGGTGTTGCTGTTTGCTATTGGTTTTGCTTCCCATCGGAATGGTTCGTTCTTCTTCTTCGATTTTAGTTTGGTTTGCCTTCTTCGATTCCTAGGTCTACTTTACGTTCACACTTCCTCTTCCCACGCGCAAATTCCCCTTACAATATCATTCTTTTTAGTTTTCCATCTAACGAGATCAATTTCGATACTTCAAAAACTATAATTGCAGTGTTCGGATATTTGAAATTATGCTAAATTATGCCGCCTTCTTTTTTAATTTCTCGTTCTTGCTAAATTCTTTGGTTATCTTAGTGTCTTTTGGGATAGAAAGAGGTGGACATCTTTAACTTGCATCATTTTAAATATTAGTCTTGATTATTCCAGGACTGTGCAAAGACGCATGGTGCTGTGCTGGCTTGCACAGATGGAGCAGTTCTTCCCGTCAGTCAAGTCTTTGAGGCAATTAGAGAACTTGGCAATGAAGGGGTTCAGCAATCGGATCCTCTAGTTCTTACATCCGCCTCACTCTTAAGTAATTCTCCTGATTATTTATTTGCATATCTTCATACACCCCTTCAGTTTAATAACTTATGCTGGTTTCGCTTAGAATATGTCTTATGGGAGCAGAAAATAAGAAGGTAAAATGTAATTGTGGGTAACACCAAATCGAGCCGTTGTCTTGAATCAGTTTTAAATCCTAGAGAGTTTAAAAATTATAGCTCTATGACTCATTCGATCTCTATAGTTGGACAAACTTTATCTTTTAGTCCTATATTCTACAATATCTCAGTTTAGTTCTTACTTATACCATTTTTAATCCTTCTAGTCATCACTGAAGGGCCTAAAAATGGATTATAATGACATGTATAGAGACTTAGGGTGGTTAAAAATTATGTGATGCTACTAAAATGAGATGCTTTCAAGCATTAATACTAAAAGGTAAATTTATTATAATTATAGGAACCAAATGAGTAATTAATCCTAAATTATAATTTGACAAAGTAGTTTCGTTTCTGGTAAACTAGTTACCCCTGTTTTGAATGTCAAACTGGTTGAAAATTGAAACCAGTTTTTAATTTTTTTCTATTTTATAAAATCTGTTTTTCAAATCAGATTAGATCATGTACTTTTCCATTCCTGTATAAGTAGTTGGGTGCAAAAGCTTCACTCCCCATGTCATCCCAGGTTAGATTTTATCATTCCAATGCACCAACCAAAATAGCACTATTGAAAGCAAAGGCTACAACATGCAATTAAGAGAGAACCTGTGGATCCTTGTATGAATTTCCACAAGGACATATTTTATGTTGTCATAATCATACGTTGTGTTTCCTCCCAATGAATCAGATCATAAAAGTACCTAAATGTTAAGTTCTCATTGTTTAGGAAGATATAATAATATAATCATAGTCCGTAGTTCCTTTGTTAATCAATTATGACATTTTAGTTTAGATTTGGCAGAGCATGTCAACTAGGGGGTGAGCATTTGTAATAGCTCCTGTTGGTGTTTCCTTTTACTACTTTCTGTCCATACATTTTCTCCCCCTATAATCATTAACTTGTCGCTAGTGGTTTATACTACAAGAAGTTCGCTAACAGTTCGACTCCCTGAGGCAGAATGACAACCATTTTCATTATTTCCCCTTCTTGTAACAGTGAAAAATAAAGTAGTTATATTCAAAACAAAGTGAACCGTCCAATTTTTTCATTATTAAATATTGAATCAGGTCAGTAGACTGTAGTTTATTGATCACATGTTTCTGTATATTCTCTAGTGGAATGAAACCATATTCTGAATCTCTTTTGTCATCGAACAGCTTGAGATGCATTAGGGTAGTAAAATTAAGCAGACCCAGAAGTTGACATACTTTGTATTTCTGGTTTGCCTGCTGTCATTTCTGAGGAATAGCTCTGAATTGATGGGTATTCAGAATGTGTTCCTGTTCTCTCAGATGAAAAAAATCAAATTCCTTTGTAGGCTCATTGAATTTTCATAGCTTGTTTCTGGAATGGTCCCTGCCGTTCAAGCACGACAAGTATTTAGAACACAAATCCAAATAAATGACAAGAATAATAATTTCAATTCAACCATCAACAATGTTTACAAAACTTTGTTTACATTGCAACTTGATTGTCATTATAATGAAGTTTATTGTTTATCAAAACATACAAACACATACTGACATGCTTTTAGGTTAGACTTTTTTGACTCAGAATATGCTATACGCAAGTCCAAATATGTTAATAACAGCTAAGATAATAAGAACCAGCCTCCAAGTATCTTTATTGATGCGATAAGAAGCAAAAAGACACAAAATGATGCTTAGTTCAGTCAATTGGCAACAAAAAACAAGTGTTTACCACTTGAAACATGCTTGAGGAAGATTGAATTTGGGTTTGGAAAGGGAAAATCTTACTGCCACGTCTATGAAATATAAAAAGAGAACAATTCCCCGCTTAGTCAAAATGAAGGTGAGCTGTGGTGGGTTGTTCTCTCCTGTTATGGTAATATTGGCTTCTTTGTTTCATAGTTTATCTGCAACAGTAATTGCGGACAAATTTCAATATTTAATCGAGCAACCTCATCTTTGGATCTTCAACAGATCAGATAACCTTTAGTTTTGGCAATGAAAAGCCTGAAGGAGAAAACTGGAAATAGCCAGTCCTTCCTGTATTTTGTCCATTTCCTTTAAATATGTCTTCTTTCTTGGAAGAAGTTGGTTGGAAGTTCTCATGTCCATTGCAAATGTACAATTTCCATTCAAGTGTATATAATTTTTTATTTTTAATTTTGGTATTGTAGCTAAAGAAATCATTTTTTATCACCTATTATTGCAAATTTCAGGTAACTTGCCGGTGGAGTCCTCCTCTGTTGATTCTGTGATTTTAATTTGGCTGTCAATTGATTGTCCTGTGGACAAACTGATTCAAGAAATTCTTAGAGTGTTAAAAGTAGGTGGTATAATTCTTATTCACAAGTCATCTCAGTCTGTCGTGGGTTCATTTGATAAGGTAATAACAACTTAGATTATGCCTGGATGAATTGATTTTATTCTGCTGCAGGATCTGACTATTTTCCCCATTTTCCTTGCAGATAATATCTGATCTTCAGAGCAAGTTACTGTTGGCAGGGTTTTCAGAAACACAAATTTTACAATCAACTGGGGTAAGTTTCATTAACTGAAATCTTCCTATGCCACCTCTATTCATCAATTTCTTTTTGTTTTCTTGTGTTTGATGTTGTACTGCCGAATACAATAGGCTGACAAGTGTCTGAAAAGCAGTCTATTGTTATTAGCAACTATTGTTGCGAGGTTAATGGTTTTTCTGTTTTAGCATAATTATTTATTTCCACTGGTTTATTTTTCTTTTAATCATGATCTTCCACCTCATTCTGGCAAATTTGTCTTCCTATTGTATGATGAGTGGAATATAGGCCACGAGTCATCAGTTATTCATGCTCTTCTTTCCTAATTAATTGTTGTGGCCCTCTTACAAATTCTAAAAATCAACATGCTTTGTATGCATATAGATAAAAGCTAAAAAGCCTTCATGGAAAGTTGGTTCATCTTTTGCCTTAAAGAAGGTGATACAGAGTTCACCTAAAGTGCAAATTGATGTTGATTCAGATCTGATAGATGAAGACAGTCTTTTAACTGAAGAGGATTTAAAGAAACCCCAGCTACCACCTGGTAAAGAACACTTTTTAAGTTTCTGTTCCCCAACTAGTATTTTGTGTGATATTAGGCTCTTACCTGGCATGTTATGCAATAGGTGATTGTGAAATTGGGAGTACAAGAAAAGCCTGCAAAAATTGCACTTGTGGGAGGGCTGAAGAAGAGGAAAAAGTATTGAAGTTAGGATTGACAACAGAACAGATTAATAATCCTCAGTCAGCTTGTGGCAGTGTATGTGTTTGTTATTTTCCTTTTGCAATATGTAGTTTGTTTATGCTTTCTAAAGCTGTGTGTTCAACAAGAATTCATTTTTACTTTCTGCAGATTTTAGGTATCAAAGTTCTGACCTGTTTAATAGCTTCAATTTAGGTAGCTTTTTTTGTATTAGTTCAGATGATTTATAGAAAGCAAAGAAGTGTAAATCAACCCCTCTTTCCAATTCATGGAAGCTAACTTAAATATCATGAAATGTGGATTCAGAAGTTTATGGATGCAAGAAATGAAAATGTCCTTTTGAAAGCTTGCCGAGTTTCCGGCTTTAAAGTAAGATTCTAAATTCACGTAGCCAAGCTCACCAAGTAAAAGAGGAGTTTTGTTTGGGTAATAAATCCACTTGTATCTTCATATCTTGCACTTGTCGTAAGAGCTACAATTCTATCGCAGATTTTATGATATATTCTGTGAAAAGTTACATTCTGTATTGTGTAAATTTATCCTCTATTAATAAATATTTCTGAAAATTTTTCCCCATAATTGCATTGCTTTGAATGATATGCAGTGTGGGCTGGGAGATGCATTCAGGTGCAGTACTTGCCCTTACAAGGGATTGCCTCCGTTCAAATTGGGCGAGAAGGTACTTTCTCTCCCTACCTTCAATTGTTTGGTGTCAATTACTTTTGGTATGAGTTCAATTTATTTTGCAACTCGTTCGTTTTTGTCATGCAGGTAGCACTGTCCGGTAACTTTCTGGCGGCAGACATATAAATGGATAAAGTTGCAGTACGATTTGTTATGGGAATGGTATTATCGATTTTTTTTTTTTTATGTAGTTTGGAATTGTCATGACTCATGAGTTATGTTAATGTTAGCAAAACCATTCATCCGAGTAGTTTGATACTTTACGTATGAAATACGAGAGATTCAAGTATTTGTCTCTTTCTATCTGACTCGTAAGCTTGCAGACAGTGTGGAGCTCCCACTGTGTATGCTGCTACAAAACATGCTCGCTCTTTTAAGGTACCGAAAGCCATGCAACAAACAAGATAATTGCATCAAGATATAATATTTTCTGTTAATTCAAATTGTAACATCCAATAGATCAACATCACATTTTAATAGCACAGTGAAACCGTTTACACACAATGTGATCAAGTTCTTTGACTCGGTTTACTGGTTCAAGTTGGATTAAGTTTTTACAGAACTTGAAAATCAATCCTAATTGGTCTGATAGAGTCACAAGCGTTGATCCGAATACCAAAATTTCAAACGTGGTTTTGGTTTTATGAACATGTACTCTTTCAAAGAGTGAGTTTATAAGGGTTGTTAATCAATTATTAAGTTGACTTAATTCAAGATAAATACATCGTGTTAAATTTTTTATCATTAAGTTAAATATAAATTTGATTTGGCCTAATTTTAATGAAATGAATGATGGATTTTACATGTTTAATTTGATACTATGTCTAATTTAATTTAATCAAAATTATAAATTATAGTTAATGATATTATTGTTATTATTATTCAATTTATTTAATTATTTTATTAATTAAATATTTTTGGATGTTAACTAATCAAATATATTTAATAGTCTATTAATAAAGTTGTTTTAAAGAAATTGAAATTAAAATTTAAAAGTATATATTTGTAAAAAATTTGATCTAATTTACTTAATTTAATTCAATCTAATTATGTGAGTTGGTTCAATTAAATAAAAAAAATTATTAATAATTTTGATTAAATATTATCCATTCTAATCCATTTATCCCTAATTTCATCAATGTGTTAAAAAAAGTCCAGTAATATTCAGCACGAATTAAAGACTCAGTAATTTTAATTTAAATTTCAATATCAGGAATGTTGGTGCGGTTGAGGGTTTAGGTTATATAGTGTAGATATTAAAGGCAATGGTGAAAGAAAAGAATAATTGTGAAGAGTTAGTTTTTAAACTGGTAAGAACAGTTGATTTTGAAAATACTAATAGAAGTTAATAAATTCATTACACTTAACAAGTTGTATCAAAGAAAATTATGAAAATTCTTTGCTTCCTCAATTATAGATTTGAGACATTTAGTACAGTTGAAGTAGGAAAGTTTTTGTTTTTACAATTCAAATATCTTGATCTACAATTTTCTGTGATTTCCCAATGGGAGGCACGTTATTTTAGTGGAAAAAAATAAAAATGGTTTTATTTTGGCACAATATAAGTTCAAATATCTAACAAAGAAAAATTACATTAAATTTAATCACTATGTATTGTCATAAAACAATTTCGAATGTTCAGCAATTAAAATTATATTTAATCCGAAAATAAATACATGATTATTTTTAAATTAGGATCTTATTATACAAAATATTTATTAATTGGTTGATAATATTTAAAGATAAAAGTTAAATCAAGTATGATAGTGTAGAAATAACATATTTGTGGGGGAATATTTAATAGTCAGTAGATATCAATTAAATTAAAATAAAATAATGTGAGCTTTATATATATATATATTAAATTGAACCTAACTAAGGTACGGAAGAGAAAGTGTTAGAGGAGGGTGGAACGTAGCTGAAACTGAAGAAGAAGAGGCGGAAACAGGTCATAAATAGCAGATCGACCACCTCCGATTTCGATTACGGGTTTTCGTTCGCATTTGGTATTTGTTTTCTTTCTCCAATGGTTTTGTCCTACGAACCCCGCTTTCGGTTTTCTTAAACGATTCCTTTTTGTTTTCGTTTTCTGTCTCTGTATGAAGAAGATTGTTGCTGAATGTCTCAATTCCCTCTTCAATTGTCTATCAAAACCACGTGACAGACAGACACACACACACACACACACACACATATATATATATATATATATATTATATATATATATATATATCTTCGATTAATTTTGTGTTGCTTAATTAATACTGTTATCGTTTGGAATTTATATAGTTGATTTGATATTTTTGCTTCTCAACTTTGTATTCTGTGATTGGGATATAGTTTGAACTCGGCCATTGTTTTTGCTTTATCCACATTTTGGATTATTTGGAGGCTCTCTATGGTGGAAGTTTAAATTTTTTATTAAGACTTCTGAGTTTTTCTGGTTTCTTCGAACAATTTAGCTCAAGGTTGAATAAACTTTTTTATTTACCCTATAAGTTAAGTTTACTTAGAATATAAATTAATGAGTAGGATGGTATTATTGATTTTTCTTTAAAGAATCTTTAACCCCATTAGTAAAAGTAAGATTGTGACGGTACTAACAGAACAAAAATAATATGTTTAAACCAGTACTAATTTGATCTTTAATTCATATGAAAAATGAATACCACTCTCAGTTTTCATATGGAAACTTGTAGTGACAGTGAGATACTGGCACGGATGGTAGGAACATATTCACACATAAGGTGCGTGCTTCAGCACCTTTGTTTCATTTTGGAACTAAAATAAGTTCTGACCATTATGGCCAAAGCAGGCTTTCACTCTCACTTTGCTTTCACTGTCAAGTTAGTGCCTGTAGTGAAAGAAGGCCGTAAACATGTATAACCTGCGATGTAAGTCTTGAATATTGCAGCGTGGTGTTGTGCTGACATGTATAAATTGATTTTAGTTTATAGAAAAAGTTACAACGCATTTTAACCTTTTTAATTTCTTCTTCTAAAAGTACTATGTTTTGAGAAATTACAATGGAGTTTTAATAGCATTTATTTAAAATACACTCCAAACACTGATTCAATTGGATTCTATTGATTTGTTCCAAGCAAGAGATTTTGTGATATATGGTTTAAGGCTTAAAGTATTGCATTTTATTAGATTTGTACTTTTTGTGATATTACTATGGCTGCTTGCTTGTTTCTGATGTTTATCTGTTGAATGCAGATAACCTTTCACTCCTGTGGTTTGAGCTCAACAACATAAAATATGCTTCTGGTTAAGAATGCTATTCAGGAAACCCATTATGAAGTTCTCAATGTCAAAGAAGATGCAAATTACGAAGAAATTCGTGCTAGTTACCGCAGTGCTGTACTCAGCTTACATCCTGATAAGCTGTTGAAGACGTCAGAGACATGCAGTAGTAATCAAATAGATGCAGAGAGATTTCTCAAGGTACAGAAGGCATGGGAAATTCTAGGTGATTCAGGGTCTCGCTCGTTTTATGATACTGAGCTGCGAAGCACAAGGCAGGATTTCTTGGCTGCCGAAGTTGCTGAAGATTTGAGCATAGACGATATGATGCTTGAAGATGGTGGAGAAGCATTGGAACTGTTCCATCAATGTCGATGTGGTGATTACTTCTCTGTAGACTCATTGGAATTGAAGAAAATGGGATATACCTTATTGAGGGAGGGAAGTGAGATATCTATGCTCAATGATGATACTTTACCAGGATCAGTGATTCTTCCATGTGGATCTTGCTCGTTAAAAGCTCGTCTGCTAATCAATATTTTATGAATACTGTCAATTGAGATTGTTAACATTTTTTGTATGCAGGTCGCATTTACAGCTGCCTGTCAGTCATTGGGAAATTTTTTTGGGGAGAAATCTATAATTTTCATTTTTCAATTTTTATTTGGGTGATATTTGTTTCAGATTAGTTATACCAACTCACTTATTCCAGATGTTGTAAAATTTTATCTTCTTTTTATCATCAAAGGGAAGTTAAATCCTTCATTCTAAACAACTTTCAGATAGGACTTTAAATCCATGGCTAAAGCTATAAGAATCTCGCTTGTATTTGGGAGTCTAAAGCGCTGAACTTCTTTCATCAACCATATTGTGCAGTGTACGCAGAAGTATACAAAATGGCAGTGCAGGAATAAGTATAACAAATTATCCAAACATTCATCATTAATGGTATGCCTATCAGAAAGGAGGACATTATTCATCTGTACAGTATGCATGCAATCTATTTGCAAACTGACGATTATTCTATACATGAAACTTCTTAGTTTATGCTATAATTTTATAAATCATAAATTTGCTTTCTTCAGTGTCAATAGTCTAGACCACCTTTTATCAACAGAGGCCTGACTTTGTCCAGTCATATCTGAAAAAAACATTAGAATAGTAATCAATGACAACCTCATTGGTCACTTTGAAATTTACAAATAATAAAAAAAAAAAAAATGCTTACATTGTATTGTACCCTCGGTTTTCTCGCATAATTCCGAGCAAGAGTCCTGCAAAGTTGAAAATAAATATAAAATTCGGAATTTCCAAATTTCAAAATTTTGAATCCAACCTGTAAAAACATGATATGCAATACTGCTAAATATACTTTTACTGCGGAGTTTAGCCGGATGGCATCTTGTACAAGAGAATCAAGATCAACTTCGTGTCCAGGTCTAACATATATCACCTGTGTTGAATGAGTAGCTGTGTTAGATTGCCCTTAATTATTTTGGCAACAGTATTGCTTTGAAATCATCTCGTGACTAAAAATTTGTAGGTATTGCCACTAAGAAGAGCTGTATCCATTGAAATATTGCTTTTAATGTCAGTTCTAAAATTCAATTTACAACACAGAAAATATCTGGAAATACATCTTTTGAGCTAACACATTTTTAGTCTCAAATTTTAACATTTAGAACTGACTAATATTTCTGTTGCTAAACCGCAAAACATTTACCATCGCCAGCCTCATCTGACAGGCCTCCTTTTTATGACTAATAGTATGTTGAGGAATTATTTGAAGTGAGAAAATGAGTATATTAACTCTTAATTTGTATCAAAGTACCTCGTAGACTTAACACACTTTACATCAAAAGTGAATCTAATATACTTCTAGTTTTATATCCAAATTAAATTCTAATTAAACTCAACTGTACAAGGGAGAAAACTCAGGATTTCAATCTTATGCGAGGGATTCCACTTCTATTTCTTGCACGTTTGAAAAACTTAATACTTAATTCAACTTCATAAGAATTTGTAGTAAACTTTTTTTTTTCCTTAGAAAAATTATGAGAAAATTTCTAGAAATTAATTTATAAAAACTAATTTTAATTAATGAAGAAGTCAAGTTCATTATTTCTCCTCTCCTAAAAATCATTATCAAGAAACTTTTCAAACCTTAAAGCCGAAAAGAATACAATCAGAAAGCCTTTTGAAATACTTCAAAAAATTGCAACAAAATTTGCCCGTGAGAGTTGCAGGGGTGAAAGTTTTTAAATTGATGTTAATTTAGAGCAACACCGGAAAAGAAGAGATACAAACGAATGAAATGATTTGGGTTAAAGAGAGTTACATTAGGGTCACCTCCAATATCAAGTAATGGTATCTTGCGATCATCTTTAGGTGCTATGAGAACCCATACGTTAAATTTTGCATCAATCTGTAACCATTAGTAAAGACAGAGTCAACCATAGAATATGTATAACAGAATCAGCATTTGAAAATGTAGATGACATATCTTCAAGACATCAATTGCAACACCATCATGCATAACACATTTTAGTTCCAAGAATTTTGTAGGAATATGATGTATTTGTGCACTTAATTGTCCCCAAATCAGACACATTGCTAAAGAAACCTGAGGCTTTGTAGGTAGAAAAAGAGGAAAGCAAAACTAAACTAAGCGTGAGGTTTTTATTGAATAGTTGTTTTTCTCTTGTCAAAATTCTCTTACACATTAACCACTAAAAAATATTCACTTAATATAAGAGGCCTTACGAATCTGAAAAAAGAAAACGAAAGAGAATGGGTATAGATCAAATTCATAATAAGATATCACGATCAATACATATCAATTCATGGTATTTGAATAAAAAACAGAACATATGCATTGCCCAGGCATGGAACAAATCTCAAACCAAGAAAAATTAGTTAGTACATATTCGTGATGGAAGGAAATACCTGTCGGCAATAGGGAGTAGAACAGTTGCTGCACTTTCTAGTGAAGGATGTGGTGACTCTTCCATCCACCGATAAACCAAAGCTAGCATGCTGCCATTACCATGTACAAGTGTTAAGAATTAAACAACGAACATCAAAATTTGGGAATATTGGTTCTAGTCACCAATGAAGATAGAAAATAAAATACAATTGAAAATGATGTCATTAACACAGAAAGGGGAAATCATGTTTAAAAATGAAATTGAAATAGTATGGACACATTTTGGTATAGTAATCAGTTTCAATCACAACTTTAATAAAAAAAAAATCCATTGACATATGAAAATGACATGTTTTGAAGCACCTTTTGGACGGAAAGGTTGATGAAAACTTGTGCATTCTTATGTGAGTTATCATCATCTTCAATCAAATCCTGTAAGTCTAGGTCGTGTAAAGAGACGAGATAATCACTTGTCCAATCCCCTTGATATCTTCCATCACCTGGTGATATTGTGATCAAACGGCGAGCAGCCCTGCTGGTGTTCTTCCCAATCTACGTTTTACAACATTAAGTAAGGAGTAAATCCCTAGCAGCATCTTGGTCCTAAGAATATACAATTTCCCCCTAATAGTGTGAAAAGAAAGCCTAACTCCAAGAAGAAGTTGTTTAAGAATACTGACGTTAAATTTTTTACCTTTGTCTTAGGATTAGTCAATTCTATTTCTCAATGGAGGCATGGGAAGGTATATAACTTAGCGTAGAGTGTCACCTTGACATGGTAGAAGTTATCGAGAGCCTGATTATCCCTAAACCCAATGTAAATATATATATAATGACACTAATAGTATTGCATGATTTACTATGTATGTGTGTTGTAAGAATTAACCCAACTTGTTAGTATATAATTGATTAAACTTCAGTTTTGAAAACAAATTAGAGAAATAAAGGAAGTACCAAAGGAGAGTTGAAGTCATCCTTTCTTTTGGAAGAAGCAGTGACAGTGAGAGTGACATTATTATTGTAAGAGTGAATTCGAGAGAGCAACCTGAAGGTGTTGAGCTTATCTGTGGAGTGGTGTGGTTTGAATATTGGATTGAAGCTCCTTGGGTATACCAAATTTCCTGCATTGGCCATAACTCTCGTTTCAGTATAATCTAAGACGTGATGATGGGATATTTCACGTTTCTATAATTGGTGTAACCTTATCTTGACGCATGACTGGTGCTTATGCATCGTATGCAAAATTGCAAATGTAGTTTTCGAGGGGATACAATAGACTTTTCTGACAAATCTTGCTTTTATCATTTCAGTCTTGAAGGGAATTCTCATTTTTATTTTCACCTCATTGCTTCATCATTTTGGAATCATTGAAATGTAAAATTCATTTAATTAGAAATGAAATTTATATTTAGAAATATATACTTCCAATTTATTTGGAAATCAAAATTCTTGCTTAAAAACAATATGATAAATGAATTGAAAGAAAAAAACTGGTTTCTTTACTGCCTTTATTCTGAATGGATAAACTTTGATTAGCAAAATCAACAATGCAAACAATCAAAATATATTAAATATGTATTCAAATTCAATCAAATTTAAATAGACTTTTAAATTTACTTGAATAAAAAACAAGACAATTCACTTCCTTCTGTAATATTCCAAAAAAAAAATTATAAATCAAATCTAGAATTTGTTTTCCGAACACAGAAAACGCGATAAACGACACATTGACAATTAAATATAAACTATTTTTATTTTAGGGTTAATTTTTTTAATTATATATATATATATATATATATATATATATAAATTTAATCTTATAGTCAACTTTCTAATAATAAAAAAGTTACTAAATATCAAAATTAAGTAAAACGAATAATTAAAAATGACATTTATTCATTTTATAAATTTGTTAAAAGAAAACTATAATTAAGTATTAAATTTAAATATAAAAATAATTAAAATCATACATTTTTAAAAATTAAAAAACTAAATTAATTTACAATGGTTATCATCACACGCAGTGACATATTTGAACTTTTTTTTTTTCCAACAGATTATTTTTTTACGTTGTTTAAATTAGTGGACCGTCCCATTAGCAGATATATGCTTCATGCAGACAACTCAACTTACTTGTTCATTTTCTCCACCAAACGGGCATCATCTATAGCTTAAAAGACAACTAAACACCCCATATGTGGTTTAGGTAACTATTTCTAAAGAAAATTTAGGATGACTTACCCCAGCACACATTATCCTAATTCTACGGCCCCAAGACTTCGTCTAATGAATCACGGATGTGGATGTTATTTTCTACGTTGTAACTAATTCTATCATTGACAAGTACATCAGAAATGTTATTAGTACAGCAAAGATGGTCAATAAATGGGAATCACGGCCAATTTAAATGTATCGTTGCATCCTCACTCAAGTTCCAAGCTCCTTCTGCCATCTCATCATACAACTGTTTCCATCCCCAACTTGAATACCCCAAGAAAAACCAGTAATCCCCGACTGGTTGGTTTGCTGATTTCAGCTCCTCAATTTTACGAATTGTCCTTACTTGATCAAGGAAGTAAATTCCAGGAAGGATTTCAGGTAAATGATTTCCGGAAACTGTTCTAGTTAAGGATAAAAGAGGCATTCCAGTCTTCATTACAGGACCCCCAAGGGAGAGAGGAGCCTCTTTCAATTTTTCCAATTCTTCTTCCAATTTAGGCAGAAAACTCCATTCTATATGTTTGTTGAGGATAAGACCTTGAAATCCTGTTACTTGATTGGCTGCAACAATGAGAATCTTTGATCCATCAAATGGATGAACCCCCAAAAGCTTTTCCGTGGCAATTAGCACTGAACCAATCACCACGTGAGGCAATGCTACGGTAGAACTCATTGGGATAGGTCTGACCACCTGGTCTAGCATTCTGTCATGAACTGGGGCTCCATGATATTTGTTGTGTGATTCAACTGATTCTGGGTTGAGATCAGTTTGCAAAGCATCATATAAGTTTTGATTTTTGCCTGCTCTTTCAGATAGCCACAGAACTGCCACTGGAGATAGGAAATGAGGATGTAGTGGTGAATCAATCATCATCAGTATGCCATCAAAGTTCGACACCAACAGTGACTGATTCAGATGCTTTTTGATGAGTTATATATACAACAATAATATATCACAAATGAATGTTTACCTTTGTCTCTTATAAGATTATGAAAGTTACTTCCGTGCTCAGCCACAAATTTCATAACATCAATTACAGCCATATCTCCTTCGTAAAGAAGAGGTTTTTTTTTCTCTGCTGGAAATAAAATCAGAGCAGGATAAACTTCCCTCTGCATATATAAGTACAAGAGTCAACATTAACCAGACACTATAAAAAGATGACTAATATAATATCTAATATTTCCAAGGGTATAAAATTTCAAATCGGCAGGCCATAGAATTATTTATTAACATACAATGTTATTTCAAATAAATCATAGCTAAGATTCATCATATTTCTTCATTGTATCATTTAAAAAAATTACACAACTATGCAATGCAACGTAATCCCATCTCAAAATTTATAAATGCTTTTCTCCCTCAAATGAGCAGCAGTTGTACATGAAAATTATTGCTACAATATTTGTTAAATAAGCGGAAAAAACTTTTCAAAAAGACATTGATTCCTTTTAATGCTTAAAGATGTCCAAGGCAAAAACGATTGACCTGACGACATTGATTACTGGATTTCCTATTTGGTCTTTTGAACTCCACAAGATCAGTTGGAGTTTCCATTTTTAGACTTCAGATTCAAGTTCAAAAATAACTGTTTGCCTAATTCAAGCTTCACCAATTCATTAAGAAGTTTCTTCCACGAGTGGTGTGAGGCAGGGGGTTCTAGAACCAGCATCATCATTCTTAAAGTTCATCATAGAAGTACTCATCAACAAGTCATCATCTTCATTTGACCCAACAATAACGAATTAATGATAGAGATGAGCAATACATTGCTGAACAAGTACAAGCCACTAACAAACTCAAAATGCTCACTAAAGTTTGCTAATAATGCATAATAAAAATAAGGTTAAACATATAATTTAGCACACATTCGAGTAGTGAATTCTCAATTTGGTCCTTAAGATAAAAACTTATTAAATCAGTCCCTATATGCTTAAAACATTACAAATTTGGTCCCTGCGACCATTAATCCTTCATGCATTCTTAGTTTGGTCCTCATACGTGTAGCACCTGCTTAATTTGGTCACAATACATGTAGCATGTTCTTAATTTGGCCTCTTAAATGTAGGGACAAAATTATGAACGTGCTACACATGTAAGAGTTGTATTAAGAATGTGTTACACGAATAAGATCAAATTAAAAATGCACTACATGCATAGGAACCATATTAAGAATGCAAATGGGACCTAAAGATGGCAGGAAACAAATTTGTAACCTGTGTGTGGACCAATTTAATAAGTTTTTGCATGGATGGACCAAACTGATAAATTTGCAACATGTGGAGGGACCAATTTAACCTTATTATAAAAACATGACAAGGACCAAAAATATAGCTTAACAAGTACCTGATCTACTGACTTCAGTATCAAATCACAGTCATTCAATGTACAATCCAACAAGTAGATTACCGGAAGCTTCATTGTGACATGGTCCAAATTTTCTGCAACATAATGATCAATTGTCAAACTCTTAAAGATTATGCCTTCCATAAGCCAATTTAAATAACATCTCCAACATGAATAAGTCCACCAAACAAAGCAGGATAAGAACCAGTGGGATTCATGTTAAGATCAGAGGTGCAGAATCAAAATCAATCACAAATCTCAAGTGAAAAATTAAAATTCCGTAATTTAGTAATGCATAGTTTGATAGTGTCATGCGGTTGGTAGAACAACATGCACAACAGATTCCAGACCATGCTGACATAGAAGCTACTGACCACTTTACTAAGGACGAAACCACAAGCTTCTCAAATTTTATCATAAGACCGAAACACAGCAAAACTTGCTGAAAACAAATACTCTAAGGGAGCATCTTTATCTGAATGAAATATGTGGTGGCAGAGTGCAGAGACAAACAGAAATACACACAGTCTTACCATGATCAGATATACCTTCAACATTCTGAGATCCCCTGTTTAACATATCCACATAGCCCTTGATGGCCCGATATACTTCACGGACAACCATTTCCATTCTCTGGCAGAATGAACACCAGCTATTGCTAAACAGGACCAAGACATCTTTATTCCATGCATTGGAAGTATTTTCTTTGTTTGAAAGATTAAAACCAATGACAAGTTCAGAGAAACTGTGAGCCGTGATTTGAGGAATAGAATCTATCTCATGAAAATCCAAATTAACAAATGGAGGATGGATGGACCCCTTTTGACCTCGAAGTACATGTTCTGACCGCTGATATGGATGTAGGGTTCCATTAAGAAACTCGGAAAGAAAATCATACAGTGAAGAAAAGTTGAAACTTTTCTCATTGGGGTAAACATAATGTTGCTGCTGAATGGGATCAACTATAACCAAAGATGGAACTCCACAACCACCAGAGAGTCTTTTAAGTAATTGATAATTACCATCAGAATAGAAAAATGAACCATTAAAACCAAGAAAATGAGTCTGTCCTTCCGCATACTTGTTTCCACCTGAAGAATCATCCGTTTCTGGTCTCACAAATTTGGCAGTAGAAAGTTCATATTCTGAAACAGATTCCTCCGACATCACAGATTTTTTCTCTTCATGTGTGACAATAGAAGGTCCATTTTCCTCTAGCTCTCCAGCAGATCTATATGGATCTCCATTCAGCATCACAGTATATGTATGGCCATGTTGAGAGGTTTCTGATGGAATTTGATTTGACTGAACTTCTGAATGTGATTGTTGTGTATTAGCTAATCTGATATCAATATCATCAGATAAAAGTTGGAAGCCTAAATCCTTTGCTAGGGAGCTTAATTTTCTATCATTCTTTCGCTGGAGGAGATAAGCCAATATCTCATTCAAAGAACTCCCTTGAAGGTCAGAAGGTACATTGTCCAAACTAACTCGCTTACCCTCATTTACAATCATGATGGAAGAAATCTTCTCCTTTAGTTTAATCCTCTGAGCTGGCATAGACAACTTTAACCTAGGATGTTCAGATGTACTCCTGAAACCATGATGATAATCTCGGACAGAAAATTTATCATGACTGTCATTATTCTTTTTACCTGCTTGATTCACACTATGATAGTACTGTGCCAATTCTCTAAAAGCTTCAAGAGCCTCCTTACTTTTACCTCTAGTTTCTGAAGATTCAGATGATCTATCAACAAATAGAAGTACAGATGGCTTATTTGCTGGTAGAATGGGTTCTTGATCATGTCCATTAGCTTCCAGCTAAATACAAACACAACAGGATAAGTTCCAAAAATGGATTAATTAATGGATAGAAGAATTTAACATATTGCTAGAGTATCTTTATTAGTTAATGGAGCTAGAATATAAATTATGGGAGATACACTTCAACGTATAGAACAAAGATACAAAGGTTTTAATCACCTCTTTGACACAATAATTATTCATCTGCAGAACATAGTTTAAGTCATCCTCTTCCTTAAGAATATTTGAATAGTTTGAACATCCAGCTTGGTACTGAACTGCAAACCATGGGCCATAATCACCAACACCCAGGGATGAAAGCATAGACCTATTTGAAACCAAACCAAATCTGTTTCGCTCCGGAGGCAAAAAGAATTCTCTCACAGCAGTCATGAATTTCAAGTAAAAGGAATGAAAATGCTCAAATTCTTCAGAAGAACAAGAATGTAGAACATGATGATTCCTATCCTTGGAGCCCTCCAAAGGACCATAATTTAACAAGGTAAACTCCCCTAGCCAAGGAGCTTTACAAAACCCTTTATCAAAGCCAAGTTCAGCCTTGCACGTGTCCTCCACTGATGATTTGACAACAAAAAAAAAAAAAAAAAGAACAGAATGTCATGAAATGATGAATTTACTCATTAACCTCAAGATTTTTTCATTGACAAGCTCTTAAATAATACCATCCACCTTCTTGTTAGTCTTCCCCCTTGACATTGGCATTCTACTATTCCCTCTGCTAAGACCCATTCCATGGCGATTCCCTGCAAGGAAAACGCACACACACTGACAGTGACTCACCTTCCAAGTAACATATACATACTTACTAAAAGAGAAACACTACATACATACTAATACATATCCAGATTCCCTGCAGTCAAGGAATAATCAGGGAATCCACGCAGTCAATGAATACAGATAAATATCACACAACTCAAAATATAGATAAAATATAACCATATGATTTGAGTTGTTTGACTTAAAACATGCATAAAAAAAGATATATCATTCGACCTTGATCAAACGGTGCTAGTTGACAAATATGCAAATGCAAAAAATCTATTTCCATACTAATATGAAATTTCATGTTAGTAATCTACATCATTTTTCTAATGCGAGCCTTTTACCAAAGTGAAGCTCTAACTCTAATAAAATAACCATTCAAACAACATTTATTGATCTGTATATAAATTTTGTCCTACCAATACTACCTACGATTATTAATGTCATAGATATTGTGTCTGAATTAGGCAAATGTTAAGATACGGATTAGTGACATCAAATTCATTTACTAACACTCACCAAGCACGGTGAAACCATTTTGCGTTCCGTTATTTTTGGTACTTTTGGCCAGCAACTTGGGCGTCCATCCACAAAAGTCAACGAGAACAAAAGCTTTGTCCGTGGAATCGAGGAATGATCTTAAATCCAGAGGAGTGTTGAGAGTCGTGAGAGGAACCTCCTCAGGCGCAAGGGATATGTAAGGAGACAACGAGAACAGAATATTCTGAGCTCTAAGTCTTCCACGGTATTTATAAGACAAGGAAAAGTGGAAATAAACTAGTGTTATCTCATCGGTAGCACCTATGGAATCCGCTAAAACCTTCTCGATGTTTCTATGCATGAGCATGAGTTTGAGAGAGGTGAACTCTTTAGGCTTAGCGGAAAGTGCGAGTGAAACGTGGTTCATGAGAGATCGAGCCTCGCCGGACCCTGCGGTTCAAAATCGAAATCAATTCATCAAACACGTTAAGAGCAGAAGAGCGCAACGCAACACGTAATCGTGTTGGTTGAATGAAGAGTGTAGGTGTGTAGAATGCAGTACAAGGAAGCGTGATGAGGAGGAGGATGTGAGGATGGAGACGTATCTGTGAAGAGAAATTGTGTTTCGTGAGGATCTGCCATTGGAATTGGGATTGGGAAGATGAGGAACATGGATATTGGGGAACAATGGATAACGATACTATTGCAACAACAAACACGGTCAATAAGGGCAACTTCATTGTTAATTCTCTCTTTCTCTCTGTTGAAGCTGCTATGCTACCACATCTTCAGTGAGGTGAGTACTCGGTGCAGCCACTGGCACCAGTGTCTCGCACTTCACAAGCCGGTGAGCTACCACTCTATGTGGACCGGGTCGGGTCAACTCAGATCCTATCCATGCTCCATCCAAGTATATGTATATATATATATATATATATATATATATATATATATATATATATATATATATTATAATATTGTGTAATTGAAAAAAATAAATTAAAGTACATTATTTTAAAAAATAACTATTGTTATTTATATGTAAAAATAAAAAAAAATAAGAGAAAAATTGATACTTAATTAATATATATATATATATATATATATAAAAAATATAACATTTAAAATAACATTTTAAACGAATTAATCATAAAAAATGTTTCCATTAATATTATATAATCTTTCTAAGTAAGTTTCTCACATTATTTGTAATATTAAATTATTATTATTAATTTTTTTATCTTATATTATTATTAATATTAATTTGTTTTTTTAACTAAATATTAATATAATGCATTCATATAATTATATTTATTATCATTATCATATTTATTAATATATATCCATGTGTCAATTAACATACAAGAATAATATAGATAAAAGAATAATCTTAATTTTAAAAAATATTAAAAATAATAATAAAATGAATTTTAAAAAAATAATAAGAGGAAAAATATATTTTTTAATAATACGTGATTATGATAATAATATTAAATATTTATATTGTTAACTTGATTTTACAGTGCAATATTATGCTCATGTGATAATTATCAAAGTTATTTGGACAAATGTTTTAAATTAAAATATCATTATAAGATTTAGGGGTTATGGTTAAGTATATTATTCTTAAAGAATTATAAATATTTTTTCACTTATTAAATAATGAATTATTTTAAAAGTATTTATTTAAAATATTTAATTAAAGTTAAAATAAATTGGACAAAATAATAATTTAAATTCGTATAAGATTTCTAAATTTGGAGATGGATTCCTATGATAAAAACATATTTCTTAGTATTAAAATGATGTTAAATTCTTAATATAGCAAAATGAAGATTCGTTAGAATTTATATTGAGAATAAATTGATTGTGACCTGTAGTTATAAAATTTTGATAGAACTATTACATGTAAATAAGTTTTAGATAAAGTTAAATGTTTAATTTTAAAATTTAGAAGAAACAGTCAGGATTAATTCTATTATATATCTCTATTAATCACATTTTTTGTATTAATAAAAACAACTTCTAAAACAATTGAAAAAATTGTCAGTTTTTATCTTGTTTCTTATGAAAGTATTCCTTCTCTTTTCACTTATTTTTGTTTTTCAAACACTACAAGATTACATAAATATAATAACACAGTAAAATTAGTTATTATCATAATTTCAGGAGCAAAATTATATATAAAAAAATGCATACACTATAAAAATGATAATATGTCTTAGATAATTATTATATATAATGTATAATTAAATTAAATTGTCACTTGTAACAATTTTGGATACATACACCTCTTCGCTGTTTTAAATAATTAGACTACTCAATTTAATCTAGGGTTAGATTTTATTTATTTTTTGGATCAAATCTAATTTAATATAATCTAATTGAAAGTTATATATATATATATATATATATATATATATATATATATAATATTCATTAAATTAAAATTATTATATAATATTAATATTAATAATATAATTATATCTTTTAATAAAATTTAACGTCACTTAAGATCAGGATCCCAATAAAACTGACACCTTTAATTATCAAAGGACTCGATATGATTATTATTTAATTTAGCTAGTTATTTTATTTATCAAATTAAATATTTAAAATATATTAAATTATGAAATTATTTAAATATTGAATAATATAGTTTATTTTTAAAAATATTATATTTTCTTAAAAACTTTTAATTTAAATTATTTTATTTAATCGACAAAATCTAATTCAATCATAGAAAAATAAAAATTGAATCCAATCCAAAATTAAGTAATAGATTTAACTAAACTCTATCCAACCCGTGGATCCTTACACTGATTTGCAAGTAATAAATATTTTTGCAATGTGACAGTAAAATAAAGTCCAAAAATCTTCACAGATAGCAGAATAAATAAATTTGCATCATATCATCTCCAAAAGCTCGGGCAGGCCGGCAAAAATGGGTCAGTAGAAGAAGTGGTTGACCGAACAAAAAGGGCCCAATAATAATTTCATAAAAAATACTTATTAGTGCATAACATAGGAGAAGTGGACTAATTCGTCCGTTTCATACCTCTAGCATAAAAATAACCAAGACACAAATCGATGAGTGAATGAAAAGAGGATTTGGTGTTAGAGCTTTGCTCATTTCCTTTCGAAACTCTACCCCTCTCTCGCCGCCACTCTCTACCCCCTTTCGCGCCGCCAGATCTCTTCACTCTGCCTCGTCTTCCGCCGCAGCCATGCCCGGAGCTGAGACTCACGATGTGGAGTGGCCGGCGAAGCGCGTGAGGGACACTTACCTGAGCTTTTTCCAAAACAAGAATCACGTCAACTGGAAGTCCAGCCCCGTTGTCCCCTTCAATGACCCCACTCTTCTCTTCGCCAACGCTGGTACGTTCACGATGAGTGTTTCGGCGTATGGATTTTTGAAATTCTTCTTCATGTGTCTTTGTGTACCATGCTATATTTGAAATTGGAAATGGTCGTCGTAGTGGTATGGGTTTTAGTAGATATATAGATATAGATGTTCCGTGTTGGTGACGATAATAAGTTAATATATGGCACTCACTGGGTTTGTTTGTGATGTGATAGGTATGAACCAGTTCAAGCCAATTTTTTTAGGAACTGCGGATCCCAACACTGCCTTGAGCAAACTCTCTCGTGCTTGCAACACGCAGAAGTGCATTCGAGCGGGTGGTAAACACAACGATCTTGATGATGTAGGGAAGGATACCTACCATCACACCTTCTTTGAGATGTTGGGCAATTGGTCCTTTGGGGATTACTTTAAAGCAGAAGCCATCAGCTGGGCGTGGGAGCTTCTAACCAATGTATGCTTTATTGGTTGGAGTTTCACATTTTGCATCTTGAATTATGAGCCCCCTTTGTTGTAAACAATGGTATTTTAATGTTAGATGACCATGCAAAGTGTTTTGTGCTTGAGAATGGTATCTAAGCACTAGTAGCTAGCTAGTAATTAACTTCAGCTACCCCTCCTGTGCCATTTAGGTTGGTTTGTGTTATTGGTTTTTGTTTGTTGCTTAAATTTTGCGTTGCATATGGTGGTAAGTTGGTCTTCTGTTGTCCAGTTATACTTTCATTTAGCAATTTCAACATCAGTGTCACCAGTACTTCCAACTTCAACTCCATCAATTGCCACTACTGATGGATTGAGTGTGTTTTTTCTCTCGAGGAAGAATGATGTTCTGTGACTTAAATATTATGAGGGATTTTTTTAGTGTTCTATTGTCAAAATCACATTGGCTATCACATTGAATGGCCTCTACTACTTGATAATTATGGATAAATTAATAATCACATCCTATGAAAAAAAACAAAGTTAGAATAGAATGCCTAACTTGTCTGTATGGTAATATGCTACATTGCAAAATTTAGAAGTTATGGTCATTTAATTTCTCAATTTATATAATGCGTAAGTTTTGCTCTCAGTATGTTTAAATCATTAATTTCTTTCTTGTGCTTCAGGTTTACAAGTTACCATCAGATCGCATATATGCCACATATTTTGGTGGTGATGATAAGGCTGGTCTTGGCCCTGATTTAGAGGCTAGAGATATATGGCTAAAGTTTTTACCTCCTGAACGTGTGCTTCCTTTTGGCTGTAAAGTATGCCCTCACTACGTCTTATATTAAAATGTGAAACATAATATTTTGTCAAGAGATGCAAAATATATTTAATATTGTAGTTAACGGTATGCATTATTTTATCTAGTACTAGCGCAAAGTGCATGGATGGATGTTATTTCACAGACAGCTTGTTGCTCTATTCTGATTATGTGATGATAAATTATTTTTAATACTTGGTGGGTAACAATGTAGCTTCAGATAGTTATCTGTGAGTAATAACTGAAATTGTGGTTAATTAAAAGATTATTTGGGCTTCTCAAATGAGTGCTGCCACCATATCACCTTTCCTTTAAGTAAAAACATTAAATACAACTTTTTTTTCCCAAGAATCTTAAGGCATGCAAAATCTAAAGTTAGTATTGTATTGTAAATTCTTTTTGAACTGATTCTGCATATCTTACTAACTTTGTTTTCTTTGGATAGGACAATTTCTGGGAAATGGGTGATACCGGTCCTTGCGGACCTTGCACTGAAATACATTTTGACAGAATTGGTAACCGTGATGCTTCATCGTTGGTTAATTATGATGATCCTACTTGCATTGAGATATGGAATCTTGTCTTTATTCAGGTATTAAAATGATTTATAGAGTGCCTTACTGCCAATCTTTTTTCTCCCTTAATTCATGTACTTTGATAAGTTGGTACTATAATCCATTTTAGCATTCAGTCTTATTCTATCACCATGAATCTGTATGTGACTATATGTTTACCTGGTAACAGTTCAATAGGGAGGCTGATGGCTCTCTTAAACCCCTTCCAGCAAAGCATGTTGATACAGGCTTGGGTTTTGAACGATTGACCTCTATACTACAGGAAAAAATGAGCAATTATGACACTGATGTCTTCTTGCCAATCTTTGATGGTATTCAGCGGGTATGTTGGTGAAGGCATTAAAGTTTATATATTTCCCTTGTGTTTGCAGTACAATAGTAAATTCAGTCCTGTATTTTGTTATATTTGAAATTTAAATTTGTATGACATAGTATCACTTATCACTTCTATAGAAGAATGTATTCACATGGTGTAGAGAGGAGAGAGAATTGCCTAACCTATCTGGACCCTTAATTATACATTTTCATCAAGAAGTTCTATTAGAATGCTTAAATATGTAATTGTTGCAAGTCTTGTGAATGTTTTACAGCCTTTGCCTACGATGAATGTAAACACATAATTCACTGTAAGTTAAATCAAATTAAATTGTGTTTTTTTTTTTTTTTTTTTCTTGTTTTCTGTTCTTGCACCTTGTGTTGGTACTATCTAGGTCATTTAAATAAACCAACTTTGTTCGTCAAGCTGCCTGGTTACCTACTACCATTGGACAACTCTTTTATTTCAAGTATCTATTTCAATAAATACATTTTTCAATATTTTAAGGTAATCTACATTTGCAAATTGTTATGGCATGCATTTCCATGTGCTAATTTGAAATCCTGTGAATGATTGTATGGATTACATTTAAGATTTTGCATGTGTTTTTCGAATTTCTTAGTGAGTGATTCCTCTTGTTAATGTCTTATTGTTTTCTTCGAGTACTTTAATTTAATGTTTGTGATTCTAAACTGCTTGATATGTAATTTTACTTTTGTATTACGTATTTACAGGCAACTGGTGCCAGACCTTATTCTGGGAAAGTTGGACCAGATGATGTTGATAAAGTTGATATGGCATACAGGGTTGTTGCAGATCACATAAGAACTCTTTCATTTGCCATTGCTGATGGGTCTCGTCCTGGTATGATGTTGTAGACCCTGGTATTTTCCCAGACATCTTTTTCCTCACGAAATGGCAACTTTGAATGTCATGAAATTTGTTACCTTTTCCTTTTCAGACTTTGAGGGTGGCTTGTTTTTCATTGGACTCTGTCTAAGAAAAATAAATTCAATGAACCAATCTATTTAGGCTTTTGACTCTTTGATTATTATATATCTATAGTACTAGCTCTAAAACATTTATCTGTGCGGGCATCATGTAGCTTCCTCTCTCCTTTAAAAATAAGGAATTCCATATTTTGACTGGTTTGCATTTTCTTAAGGTAATGATGGTCGTGAGTATGTTCTAAGACGAATACTCCGTCGAGCTGTTCGTTATGGACGTGAAGTGTTAAAAGCTAAAGAGGGATTTTTCAACGGGTATGTATAATGGTTAGCAACTTTAAGCTATTGCCTGAATCCTGATCTAAAACTTTGTTGCCAGATTTTGCATCCTGGTACCATATGGATAATAAAACATATATTTATGTGTGTTTGAGTAGTTATGTTAGGATTCAATTGCAAGGCTATGGACTTGATTTGAGTCCCACATTGGAAGTATGAGATTCTAGTGTTGGGTTTACTAGGCCTTGGACTCTAAAACCACAACAGCTAGCTTTTGTGTTGGCATCGTAATGTTAGCATCGTAATGTTAGCCTGAGACAAGTCAATGTGGCAGTGCATAGCAAGCCTACTGTGGCTGTGGAGCATGGTGATATGCTCGGATTCAATTGCAATTTATGGGGCTTAAGATCCACATTGGAAGTATGAGATTCTAGAGTGAGTTATAAGGCTATGGTCACTACAACTACAACAGCTAGTTTTTGTGGTGTGGTTCTCTCCCTAGGTTCCTATCAAGTTAGGTTGGCTTATAGTTCTGTTGTACTGCATGTTTAACCTTCAATGACATCCTGACAGGTTGTCATAACTACCAGCTGTTGGTTTTTCTGTTAAATTGTTAGGAAATGCACAATTAATGATGCGTATTTGTAAACCTTTTAGTTGTAAATTATTTTTGTAATCAATGTAGTTAGTAGTCAACTTGTATATTCTCTATTAGCTCTCTTTTCTCTACTGTGTTTTTCGTTCATTTTATATAACTTTCTTAATTGAAGTCTGTCAACTTTTTTTTTTTTTTAATTTCCAAATCGTGTGTACTTTCTTTTAAGAATTGTTACTAGAGTCCATCCACCAGTGATTCCATGTTTGTATAAATATGTGAACATACATTCTGTTTGTAATATTTTTTTTTTCTGTCCTCATTTTCATTGAATCCAGGCTTGTAAGTGTGGTGGTGAATGTCATGGGTGATGTTTTCCCTGAGCTAAAACAACAGGAAACACACATTCGGAATGTAATTGAAGAGGAGGAGGAAAGTTTTGGAAGAACCTTAATTAAGGTGATAATAGTCATATACACATGTATCTTTATGGGTTATCACTTATCAATCTTAGTGACATTATGATGGCCATTTCTCAAATTAGTTTTGTTTCTTGTGAACTTTATTCATTGCCTAGATGTTTTTTGTCATTTTCTTTTTTCATGTTATATGTATAAAGAGTTGAAGAAAACTTGATGATTTTGCTTCTCCAGGGTATTGAGAAATTTGAGACAGCTGTTCGACATGTTCAGGGAAAGATACTGAGTGGGGAGGCAAGTAGAACCTGCTATCATATTTGCTTTAATGCAAGAATACATGAGTGTTGAGCTGTTGATTTTATAATGCAATATATTATTTCCAAGTTGTTTTCCAAAAGGCCTGAGATATTTCTCATGCATCTGTATCTTTATTATAGGAAGCATTTATCTTGTGGGATACTTACGGATTCCCATTAGATCTCACTCAGGTAGGTGGATTGCTTTACTTTAATCTGTATGGAACTGTAAGTCTATATTATGCCTTATGTTTTTTATTTCCTAACATTTTTCTATTGTATCAGCTGATGGCTGAAGAAAAGGGATTAGTTGTTGATGTTAAAGGTTTTGATAGTGCCATGGAGACTGCAAGAGAGAGATCGAGAAGTGCTCAAACAAAGGTATCTTATATACTTGAATGTCTCTTTTCTGTTCGTATGTTATTTATTTAAAAAACACCCAATATATTTAAAGGATAAACTACTCTCAACTAATATTAACACATTTTTTCTTTTTCTGCTTCTCCCACAACTTTCTGTTGTTATTGTTAGCAAGCTGGTGGTGCCATTGTTATGGATGCTGATGCTACCTCAGCATTGCACAAAAGGGGCATTGCCCCAACAGATGATAGCTTCAAATATGCTTGGTTCAAGGTAATTTTGTTATGACTAACTACTGAATAGAGGAGTTTGTACTGTTTGCTCTCTTGCCCTCACCCCTTTGTCATTGATCAAACTTGATATTTTAATGGCTTGCATATTTTCAGCTTACAAAATGGAAGGAGACATAATGAAAAAGACATTTTGTTTATTGGTTGAGCAGTTGTATTAGACTTTTTCAGGCTGTATATACACTTGATATTCTATTGGAATCAGCTTCCATTGATTTCTATTCTTCATCATTTCTTATCATAGGACCATGAGAGTGTGGTAAAAGCAATATATACTGGTTCTGAGTTTGTTGATGCTGTTAATACCGGTGATGATATTGGTTTAGTCCTGGAATCTACAAGCTTCTATGCCGAGCAAGGTGGTCAGGTATCCAGCCTAATAAATAATTTAATCTATGTTATTAATTGTTTCAAAAGGGGAATGATTATTATTTATGTGTTTAAGTGAGTTCACTTTTGGCCGATAAATACAATCAAGTTGCTAGAATATTTTTCTTCACTTTTTTAAGTATCAGTTTCTTCAATTTTTGTTTATAAATATGTATTTGCAATTCAACATGCTTTCAATGCCACCTTCTGCTCATATTATCAGTCAAGAGGGTTTACACACATATGCATAGATTAGAGTTTTGTAAACTCGTGATTTGTATTGTAAACAGTTACTTAACTGTTGGTTAGTTGGACTGAGTTAGTCCAGTTAGTTAGGATGCATATTCAGATATAAATTGCTGAATCTATTGTCATTGTAACTTTGCTTTTGAGAAATACAATTTACACTTTCATCACTTCTGTTTCTCTCTGAATTGTACTTTTACACAAACAAGAAACAAATCGAATGCACATCAAATTCTTGAATGCTATAGGTTTGGTTGTCAATCTTTTTAACTTCCTCATTCATTTTAACTTTTATGTGTGATCAAGAAAATGCATAGCATTGTGCTTTCTTATTATCCCTCTAGAGTCAAATATAAGCAAAAAGTTTTTCATGAATTGTGGACCAAAAATTTTTCACCATATTTAATGATATCATCCTAAAAATGCACTTCAATTAATAGAGATTCTATTTTCAGTAAATATTTATTTTTGATATCATATTCCATTGAAGGGCACCTTGGAAAAAAAAGTATTAAGAAATAGTGCTTACTGTATGGGTGTGCATTAAAGTAGTGAAACTATAAGCGAATAATGGTGATGTGATTACAGGACATTTTAACATTAATGCCTATTGAGTATGAACCATTAGGGTACAACTGGTCTGAATTATAATGTACAGAACATGAGATTTTGGTGTATTTTTTGCCAACTGGAATTATAAAAAATAAATACGCCTAGAATTGGCCAACCAACATGAAAACAGGGACAATAAAATATTCTACCAGTTGAATTTGTTCGTTCTATGCAAGTGATTCACTATCATTTTTCTTACATATGCAGATTTTTGATACTGGATTGCTTGAGGGTCCACATGGTTCATTTCAAGTGTGTAACACTCAAGTTTATGGAGGCTTTGTTCTTCACATTGGCAATGGGACCGGTGTATCTGTTGGTGACCATGTAGTATGCAAGGTATTTTTTTGTTTGTTTTACTTTTATTGTTTACTTCTGCAGTCCAAATTCTCCTTGATTTACTTGTTCAAGTTTCCCTGATATACTTCAAATACCTCTATGTTTTTCTGGTTATATTTCAGTACATTTTCTTCATTGTATTCCCCATTGGTTATTTTGTATATTTCATTTCTTTTGTAGGTTGACTATGGTAGACGTGCCCTTATAGCCCCTAACCATACCTGCACGCACATGTTAAACTTTGCTCTTCGGGTATGTTTATAATGCTACTGAATGAAGATTTATTCATTCCCCTTACTTGTCTGTGTGTTTATTGAAACTTCCTGTGATGAATGCAGGAAGTACTTGGTGATCATGTTGACCAGAAAGGATCCATTGTTCTACCTGAAAAATTGAGATTTGACTTTTCTCATGGTAAAGTTTGTTCAATCGGACTGTTAGAATAATATTAGGTTAAAAAGTTATCATTTACTATGCTCTAATGAATAGGCAAGCCTGTTGATGCTGACAATTTAAGGAGAATTGAGTCAATTGTTAATGAGCAAATTAAAGCTGAACTGGATGTAAGTGCAAAGGAGGCAACCCTTGCGGAAGCCAAACGTATTAATGGTTTAAGAGCTGTTTTTGGAGAAGTAAGTAAACAAATTTCACAGTTTTTGCTTGTCTTATTCTGGATCATGTTCCTCAATATTCTGCCTTGATGTAGGTCTATCCTGATCCTGTTAGAGTTGTGTCTATTGGACAAAAAGTTGAGGATATTCTCGCTGACCCTGAGAATGAAAAATGGTTATCTATTTCATCAGAACTATGTGGAGGTGAATATTGTAGCTCATGTTTCCTTTGAAGCTTTCTTTCTGTGCTATTATTCGAGGTTCTTAATTTTACTTGATGATCTAGGCACCCATATTTCAAACACACGAGAGGCAAAAGCTTTTGCGCTTTTATCCGAGGAGGGCATTGCAAAAGGCATACGCAGAATAACAGCTGTCACAACTGATCGTGCTTATGATGCAATGAAAGCGGCAGATGAATTTGAGCAGCAAGTAGATGATGCAGCTAAGTTAGAAGGAAGTTTGCTAGAAGAGGTTGGTGTTTGGGTTTCTGCAATAACTTTTTCTACAAAATTAGGCTTGTGGTTTATTCCTTTTCTATTTTAGTCCGTTGGTGAGTTCAACAGGTTGAAATGTCTGCCTCCGTAACAGCCTATGACTGTAGATGGATAAAACAGAAGTAACATGAAACTGGCCGAACCAGCTGCCAACTTGGGCTGTATTATTGCTTGTTTTAAGGATGGTTATCAAACTAACTGTTGGGCATAAAAAAATTCCCTGTTTTGAACCTAATATCAAGGCCTAATGGAGCCTATTCAGTATATTGGAAAGTATGGAAATACTTGTGATTGTAAACATGAAATCTTATTTGTATTAATAAACTAATAGAACAACTGATAAATGCATTTCTTATGCATTGAAAGTTTGTTTCTTTTTATCCTTGAGGAAGATGGAAATTTGTGCTGCTAAAATGGACACTGACTGGGTTTTCATGTATTCTAATAAGTTTGCTTTATTTTTGTCTCCTTTTAGGCACTAGAATTTTTGTATATTGATATGTCTTTGTTGATCCCCCGACATGCTATTGCACTTTATATTATCTGAATATATAAGTACCATAGCTGGAAGCCTAACAGCTGAAGTTAGTGCGTACCCATTTTCACATGATTTTCTCTTGATCTCCTTTTTTCTTTCTTTATTATCAACAACGATTTTCCTAGCAGATAGATTATAAATATAGAGCTTACATATTGTGTAGTCAGTTGATTTTGTGTTTCCCTTAACAGAAAGTTTCATCATTGAAAAGCAATATTGAAACACTATCAATTCCTGCTGCGAAGAAAGCTGAAATCAAGACTAAGATAGCTCGACTTCAGGTATTATATATATGTAGAATAAATTTGCAGACTTTGTTTTTTCCCCTGTTTTCACTATTGCTTTTTATTTGTTGTCCTTCAATTAGGTCATGCATTTAGTCATATATTGTAATAATATCACATTTCGTGTAGGATCAAGTGAGGAAAGCACAAAAGCAGGTTGCTGAGGAAAACAAACGTAAAGCTGTAATCATTACAGCTGAGAAAGCTGAGCTTGCTGCTTCTAATGGGAAAACATTTTGCATATCTCGTGTTGACGTTGGTCTGGATGTAGCTGCAGTACGTGAGGCTGTTACAAAAGTCATGGACCAGAAGGTAATTGTTGATTTTAATTTATTAAGAATCTTTTTGGGTCTCTGGCCTCCCATATTTTATTTAATGGCCTCTTTCTGTGTTGAATGTGAGGTAGATTATGCTTCTGGCGCCAATTTGGAAGTTGTCATCATATGGATTACATGTTCCTATCATTTACGTTTTCTTTTGCCTCACTAATTTTTTCCGATGCTGGCTGATATACAGGGATTATCTGTGATGGTTTTTAGCACGGATGAATCCACAAACAAGGCTGTAATTTGTGCTGGGGTGCCAGAGAAAGGAGATAAAGGTAAGCTGGATGTGACAGAGTGGCTGAGTAATTCGTTGGGGCCTCTAAAAGGGAGATGTGGTAAAGGAAAAGGTGGTCTTGCAACGGGTCAGGTTAGTTATTGACTAATTACTTTAATCTCTGTCCAGAATGTTGGAGATACCTTGGAATTTAATCTTTTATTGTTTAATTTACGACCAATGGCAGCGTGTTCCATAAGTTGTTATTAGTTACATCGCAACTTGTTTTCAACAATACTACAAGCAATTGAAATTTGTTTGTTTATAAAGTAGTTTCAGAAAAGTTTGTTCATGTAATCTACTCAAGTTTGAATTGGTTTAATATTGTTCTTTTGGGTCGTATTTTATTATTTTGAATTGATTTGATGTAATATCAGTTATAGATTTTTTGAGATTGATTACTCTTTTCTAAAGCATCTTATTTGAGAAGAGGGGAGAAAGAAACAATGAAACTTATTGTTGGATTTGATTTGGGCTTGAACGTGGCCAAAATAAAAACTAGTTTTTTAAAATTCAAGTGCCAACCAAAATACACTATTTTAAAACTAAGCTATTCATTTCGGTGCTACCAGGTTTATTCATGGAGACACGTCATTCTTTTATCTAGTTTGAAATGCTTTTGTCCAAACAAGTTTGGTCACTTTGAATTTTGTATGACATCGACCATCAGCAGTTGGGAATATTTTTTACAATTGGAAAAAAATGTTCATCAATTCTCTAGACATTGTGCGTTTGATCTAATATTTTACTGATCTGTTTACGCTTATCTTATTTCAGGGTACAGACGCAGCACATGTAAACGAGGCTATGGATCTTGCAGAAAAATTTGCATCAATAAAATTGAGTTAATGTTGTACTGCACTTTGTGGTGTTAGCATGATACAGGGGGAGTTTAGTTTGATATAATCATACAGAAGAGAAGGGCACTTGGAAGTAATTATTAGATTCGGATGAGTTGAACAAATTTCTAATGTAATGCCTGAATATTCTTTTGTTACACACATTTGTTTTTTTTTTAGACCACAAATTGATCCACAATACAGTAGCAATTGCTCTGATAGGTTATCAAGTTATTATGATGTTTTAAAATGTAATATTTTTGAAAGTATTTATTTGTTTTGATTGTTTCTGTACCTCTAAATTTTGATGATTTCAGCATTTAGTTTCTCGTAAATAGTCTAATACATGTATAATGGGGGGTTTTAGTTTCATTTTTTAAACGAATGAAAGGAAAATAGTTATTTTTCCAAGCTGCATATGAAATATTCCTCAAAGAAACGAAATAAAACATAATCAGAACTTTTGTCTTGAGATGGTATTTGACCACTGATGCTTTGCAAATGAGTCCGCACAAGCATTGAGTTCGTTATTATGCGAGCAATATTACTAATAATCTAATCATAATAATCTTATTATTATTATTATTATTGAGATGTCAAATTGTATTTATAAGAAAGATGTCATGTATTTTTCTTATATTATGTATCTTATTTTAGGTTAGTATTTAACTTTTATTTGTTTTTTCTTGACTACACTTCTATTTATCAGTTTAGACTTAAATATAGATTTAGTCTCTCTAATATATTAATTTTATTATTTTGTTTTTTTTCTCTAATGTAAACTTTAAGTATTTTCCTTTATTCTCATAGTTTTAGTTTAGTATTCTTAACTACTATTATTCAATATTATTATTAATATTTTAAAAATACTTGTAATTTTATATTTGACTTTGGATAATATTCTAATGATTAATATTTAAAAAATATTTATCAACATCATCTGATATATTAGTACAGAACTCTTCATCTATTAACTATTTTAAATTAAGTTTTACTATTATTTAAAACTCTAAACATATATAATTGTAGAACAAGTAATTAAGAAATTTATTTGTATAATTTTGGATTATGTGATATGAAAGTTTTGGATAGTAATTAGAAAAGAAATAATTTAGGATTTCCAATTCAAAAGTTCCTCGAATAACTTAATACATACGGATTATTTTCTATGTTATCCAATCCACAAACTTTTCAAATAAGATAATCTAAAGTGACTATATTTTACACTAGTCATTATCTAAATAACTTATTTTAAAAATTATGTGCATCAATCATCATGGAACATATTATCTTAATCGAAGCAAAACAATATCATCATAATAAATAAGGGTGTTCAGAATCTAATTAATTCAAAAATTCAAAACATCAAAAATGAATTTTTATTAATTTTTTTATTCCCTTTTTCTTAATCCGCACTATTAATTTTGTTTTTTAAATTGAAAATTAAGAACTAAATAAAACTGTTTATTATATTTAAATATACTATTATATTTTTAAAAATAATTATCAATTAATAACACATTCTTTTGTTTTATATTTTACTTGGATTTTATTTATAACATATTTGTATTTTTTAAAAATATGATATAAACTTTAAATTGTAATTTATAAATGAAAATAAATAAAAATTATAAATATAACATTAAATATACATAGAAAAAGCATATTACATCTCTTTGTTTTTTTATAAAAATTAAAAAAAATATAAATTTATTAAAAATATTCATAATAAATAACTAAAATAAATGCGGGTATTTTTTTTCTCCCAAAATCACGAATTTAAGAAGAAACACGTATGAAACAAGAAAAATGCCAAACACTGGGAGGATTCTATTCTACCATCCAATGGTCTATGGGCTAAAAAGAATAAAAATAATAATAAAAGGGTAAAAATAAATTGAGATGATAATTTAAACTCTTTTTTCAACTCACATGTTACACGACACAAGGAATTGGTCAAATAAAAAAAATTAATTATCTTTTTGAAATTTGTAGTAAATATTATTTTAGTTTCTTAACTTAAAAAAAAATCCCTCAGTTTTAATCATTAAAAAATAAATATTTATTTGCTTATCATTTTAAAAATTTTATTTTTTAATTTAAAAAAAATTAATGATTATTTAAAACAGTTCTAAAAATATTTTTATTTTTAATTATTAAAAATTAGAACTGATAGACTTTTTTAATTTATTTTTATTAATGATATTCAAATTTTATTAATAATAATATTAAACAATTTATCTTTATAAAATAATAAAAATTATATTTTAATTATTTTTCATCGCAATCAAACTCATTTTTTAAAAATAATTTTATAAAAATATGTTTTTTAAAACCTATGTAACTCTTTTGAAAATTTAAAAATTAAATTAAATCAAATAAATTTTAAATTTTAAAAATTAAAAATAGTTTTAGAAATCATATTTTAAATATATTATTTAAGGTTAAAATTATTTCATGATTAAAATTATTTTTGATTTAAAAAATAAAACCAAATTTATTAAATTTATAGAAGTAAAAACATAGTTAATCAATGGCTCACGCGTAGATCACATGTGAGATACTTCATCCTAGAAGCTACCAACAGAATCAGAAGCTATAAAAAGGTCAAAAACGCAATTTCAAAACTTTAGGAATAGATAAACGAACCCAAGAAGAGTGTTAAGAGCTTGAAAGGGCCGTCTGAATCCGATGGCAAAAGAAGGAAGAGACATTGATGAAGTAAACGACGCACTCGATCGTACGGGTGAAGAAGAAGAGGAGGAAGAAAATGCACCACAGGAGGAAGATGACAATGACATGGAAGAAGAGGAGGAGTATACTTTTAGGTTCGAAAACGGGATGAATCCTTTGGACTTTGTCGATAACATTGACGATTCTGGCCTTCAACCCTACCAGCGATTCGAGCGTCTTGAACAGGAAGCTCTCGCTGATAAAAAGCGGAAAGCAACTGAACAATGCCACAGGTTCTTTGGTTTCTTTAGCCCTAATTAATTCCGACGCGTTGTTTATTTCCAGCTACTTGCTCCATCTGTTGTATTATCTGCATTTGTGGTCAGTCTAATGAACTTTGAATTTTCTGTTTTTGTTGTCACTGCTGTGAAGATTATTGATTACGAGTTCAGGTGCTAAAAATGTTGAACAAATTTAAAATCACACGAGTTCACGTCGCTGTGAAGATTCTTGATTCTTTGCTCACTTACTTTTTAGATGTTTGTTTGACTGTGTTATTTCATGTCAATAAATGCAGCGAAGAACCACCTTCTAAGATGTCTAGGGAAAGTGATATTTCCGGGGCAAAGATAGCTGAGATAATGGAAGCAATGAATTATGGTGGTGTGCGCAAGAGATCAAGAAAGGTATGCTATGCAATGCATATGACCAGTTTTGTATACAATATATTTTGCTTGCATTTTGTTTGATTGTTTCTATTGATAAGTAAGCTTTAAAAGATAAATTGGTAGTTCATCATCATATCAAATTGTGAAGTATACTTTATTTCTTTTTGTCCAACATAGCAAAGACTACTATGAAAGAAGTTGTTAAGCCTTCCTTTATATGTTGTTAGTCTCCATAGTTTACTTAATCTCCCAATGCATTCTTTTAGCAGTTTGTCAGTTCATAAGAAAAGACTACCCTGAATGAAGTGGATAACTTTCCCTTAATTCTTTTATGTGAATGGTAGATTACAAGTTTTGGTTTCCTGCACTGGAGTGGACACCAGAGGAATACAGTTGGTGTTATGGGTTTGGAGGAAAATTAAGATTTGTTGTCATGCCTAAGATTGTTGCTCATAACTGTTTTCTAAGGTGTTTCTATTTTTTATATGCAGGTTAGCCTTGTTGCATTCTGATAGTTTCCATCTTATTCTGTTTTTCATGAATTTTCTGTTCTACATGATAGCTTCTCACTAGTTTACTTCTACACCATTTTCTTCACATGCTTATGGTCCTTTACTTTCTTATACATATAATACCCATAATCTATAATGGATGTAGATACAAAAAGTAAGCATTCAGTTGCAAGTTAAGTGACTATTTTCTGTTTTATTTTAATCTTAACCTACATGACACCTTTTAAGTATTCTCCATATGTCTGATGCAGCATAAAAAGAGAGGCAGGCGGAAAGGTTCAAAGAATAAAATGGATCCTAAGATAACACGGATGCTGGGTGATGCCACACTTCACTATGCATGTGGTCATTATGACAAGGTATATTCTTCTGTCACATTACAGTCCTTAGCTTCTGTCACTTGAGTTTTCTATTAGTTTCTATCATGGTTATCTAGTATGTTGAGGAAAAAAATATTGGATAAATAAGTCATTTACTCTATTAGTATTTTTTTAAGAATTGTTTTCTGTATTAAGTACCTTAGGAGATAGGATAAATGATAATATTTCGCTTTATCTAGGGTCTTTATGTCTTGAGCATAACAACGAACTCATCAAGGTGATGCTTGTGCGGACTCATTTGCAAAGCATCAATGGTCAAATCTCGAAACAAAAGTTCTGATTATGTTTTATTTCGTTTCTTTGAGGAATATTTCATATGCAGCTTTGAAAAATAACTATTTTCCTTTTCATTCGTTTGAAAAATGAAACAACCCCCCCCCCCCCCATTATACATGTATTAGACTATTTGCGAGAAACAAAGGTGTGAAATAGAAAAGTGATGTGGCAAAGGATGTAATTGTATTAGAAGTAAGTACAAGGGGGTATTTGAGAGAGGGATCGAAGAGAGTAAAGGGTAAAAATATGCTGTTATTGTTCCTGTATGGGTAGAGTGATATTGGGATAGGTTTGGTATAGTTTATAAAAGAATGAAAAAGTAAGGTAGTTTTAGTACAACTGTATCTAAACTATTATATATAGTTCTAGGAGAGTTAGGAGAAGGGACTCTTTTTGAGAAAAGAGAAATTAGAAGGATAGTTGGATTCTCTCAAATAACCTCTGATTGTATTGTGTACTGTAGATATCTTTCTTTTCCTTGATCTATCCCTACTACATTGGTACGGGATTGGAATTAATTAGAGTAATAAAATTCAATATTGTATCTTTTCTTTTTTATTCCAAATTAATGATGTATTCTGTTGAATATAGGGAAAAACTCGTATAGGGTTAACTTCCCTTGTGTATTTACCACACATAGGGCGAGTGTATTTATAATAAAGAAAGGTACTCCTCAAAAGAGTAACAGAATACAAATAGGGTAAATAAAAGATATTATTTGATATTGTGATTAACAATATCTAACAATATCTCAACAATATCAAATAATATCAACTAATATCTAATCATATCTAACACTCCCCTCAAGCTGGAGCATACAAATCGTATGTGCCTAGCTTGGTACAAAGATAATCCATCCTAGGTCCCCGTAAAGACTTAGTGAAAATATCTGCTAATTGATCACACGAGTTAACGAACTCGAGTCTTGATGTCTCCAGACATAATCTTTTCTCGAATAAAATGGCAATCAATCTCAATGTGTTTAGTCCTCTCATGAAAGACAGGATTAGAGCTTATATGGAGAGCGACTGATTGTCACACACTAGTGTCATTTGAGTGACATCTCCAAATTGTAGCTCTTTAAGCAATTGCTTGAGCCAAATAAGTTCACAGGTAGCCGAGGCCATAGCTCTATACTCTGCTTCTGCACTGGATCTTGCCACAACACTTTGTTTCTTACTTTTCCATGAGATCAAGTTACCACCAATGGAAACACAATACCCAGATGTAGATCTTCTATCGAGAGGAGATCCTGCCCAATCGACATCCGAATAGCGAGACAACTCTTGTATGATTATGGGAGTCATACACCAAACCTTTTCCAGGAGACTTTTTGATGTACTTCAATATACGGATGACCGCATTCCAATGATCTTGACAAGGAGAATTGAGGAATTGACTCACCACATCGATCTGCAAAGGAAATGTCGAGGCGAGTAACTGTAAGATAATTTAATTTTCCAACTAATCTTCTATACTTGTTCGGGATCCGACATTGGCTCCCCCGATTTGGCAAGAGTTTGGTATTAGGATCCATGGGTGTGTCAATAGGCTTTGAATTCATCAACCCAGTTTCCTCCAAAATATCCAATGCATACTTTCTTTGAGATATAACAATGCCATCGGTAGATTGTGCTACCTCAATACCTAAGAAATATCCGAGTTTGCCAAGATCTTTGGTTTGAAAATGGTGGCAAAGGTGTTGTTTCATCCGAGAGATGCCATGATGGTCACTACACCGTAAGAACAATGTCATCGACATACACTATCAAATAGATACATCCAGCATTCGAGTGACGGTAAAAGACCGAGTGGTCCGCCTCACTTCTAGTCATGCCAAATTGTTGAACAACGTCGCTAAATTTGCCAAACCAGGCCCTAGGAGACTGTTTTAGGCCATATAAAGATTTGCGAAGACGACATACCAATCCAGAAGACTCCCCTGAGCAACAAATCCGGAGGTTGCTCCATATAAATCTCTTCTTGCAAATCGCCATTCAAGAAAGCATTTTTGACATCCGAGTTGATAAAGAGGCCATTGTTGAATAGCGGCCATGGCAATGAATAAACGAACAAAAGCCATCTTTGCCACTTGGAGAGAAAGTATCACCATAATCCAACCCAAAAATTTGGGTATAGCCTTTGGCTACAAGGCGAGCTTTGAGGCGATCAATAGTACCATCGGGACCAACCTTGATAGCGAAGACCCACCTGCAACCAACAACAGATTTTCTAGATGGTAATGGGACAAGCGTCCGGGTTCCACTAGTCCGAAGAGCACCGAGTTCATCTAGCATGGCCTGACGCCAACCAGGGTGGGCTAAGGCTTCAGAGACAGATTTAGGAATAGACACGGAAGAAATAGACGAGAGACATGTATAAAATGGTGAAGAAATTCGATGATAACTAATAGCAAGTATAATGTGGAGAAGGATTACGAGTAGAACGCGTACCTTTACGAAGGGCAATAGGAAGGTCGGACTCGTGGACGGAACCGGAGGAGGCGAGTATTTGGCACTGGGAGTGAGTCATGTGGCGTCTGTTGTGGGCGAGGTCTCGCGACTATAAACCCGAAGGGGTGGTGGAGGAGGAGGGGCTAATGGTGGATGGTCCTCAACATAAGGATCAATGAGAACAAGAATGAGAACTGTAGCGAGATGGAGACTCGGCAGGTAGGGAAGGGTCCTTAAAGTAAAAGGAAAACTCATTGAAGGTGACATCGGCAGACACAAAATAGCGATTAAGAGAAGGAGAAAACACTTGTATCCTTTTTGGGATCGAGTAAATCCTAAGAAAACACATTTGTGTGATCGAGGAGATAACTTATCATGACCAGGATCAAAATTGTGGACAAAACAGGTAGACCCAAAAACCTTCGGAGGTAAAGGATGGAGAGTGTCATGAGGAAATAAAATAGAATGGGGAATTTTGTTATCTAAAACCGAAGAGGGCATACGATTAATAAGATAACAGCAGGTAAGAACAGACATCACCCCAAAAATGTTGAGGAACCGCACCATGAATTAAAAGAGTACGGGTTGTTTCAATAAGGTGTCTATTCTTGCGCTCGACCACCCCATTTTGTTGAGGGGTATAAGCACAGGAAGTTTGATGAAGAATGCCATGAGAAGCCATAAATTGTTTAAACGAGTTTGAAAGATATTCACGGCCATTATCACTTCAAAAGGTTTGAATAGAGACACCAAATTGATTTTTAATTTCATGATAAAAGTTTTGGAATATAGAAAACACCTCGAAGCGATTTTTCATTAAAAATAACCAAGTACAACGAGAGAAATCATCAATGAAAGTAACAAAATATTGAAAACCTAAATTAGACTTAACACGACTGGGTCCCCAAATGTCGAGTGAACTAAGGCAAAAGGGGATGAAGCACGTCTGGGAAACACTACGAGAAAAGGAAGTACGACTATGTTTGCCTAATTGACAGGACTCACACACCAAACTGGACAACTGGGATAAGCCGGGAACAAGTTGCTTGTAATTTGCGCAGACCGGGGTGACCAAGCTGAGCATGAAGGAGAGAAGGAGACTCCATAACCGTGCCAACATGTGGAGAAGGTTGAAGATAATAAAGTCCATGTGACTCACATCCAGGTGCCAATCACTTTTTGCGAGCTCCAGTCCGTAAGGAAACGAAGTTTTGGTAAAAGAGATAACACAATCAAGAGATCGAGTTAGACGGCTAATGGATAATAAGTTAAAGGGGGACCCGGGTACATACAAAACATTATCAATGGACAACGAGGGAAAAAGAGTAACCGTTCCAACACCATGAGCTAAAGTTGTAGACCCATTAGCCATTGTAACAGAGGGTAAATTATGAGAAGAAGTGAAAGAGGAAAATAAAGATTTGTTACCAGTGATGTGATCGGTGGTGCCTGAGTCAAGAACCCAAGAGCCAATAGAAGAAGAGTGAGTCGGACCAAGCAAAAGATGTACCTGTGTGGGCAATGAAGTAGTGGAACTGGAGGGCTTTCGATCCTCATACCATTGAAGAAAATCATTGAAGATAGCAGATTTGTTCGAAGGTACAGACGAAGGAGGATCCACAGGCAGAGGATTGTGCGGAAGAATCGGTCCGAGCAACTGCAGCAGATCGGCGAGGATAACCATGTAAAGCATAACATTTGTCAATTTTGTGGCCTAGTTTGCCACAATGGTCACACTTGACACGCCCTTTGCCTGGCTTGTGAGAGCGATTACGATCATCACGGTGAGAGGCCAAGGCGAGATGAATCATTAAAAACAGATTGCTCGGACCCACCGGAGTCGACGGAGGTAACTTCGAGACTGGAAGTGGCAGCGGAAGATGCCATGGAGGAAGAGAGAGAAAAACCCTAAAACACCAAAGAGGTCCGATTGGAGCAGCGAGGACAGATCCAGAGAGAGGAGAAGGAGGCGACGCCGGCGCAAAGAGCGGCGGCCTGAACGGCGGCGAGACGCGCCGCCACGCGCGGCGGAACGGGAGAAGGTGGCGCGGCTTCGGGAGGCGCGTGAGGGAGCGTGGCTGCTCCGATGACCGCGAAACTTCCACGGTGGAGGTCGCACGGAGGAGGCGAGCAAAACCCTGTGCTCGGCGGTCCGAACTGCTACTCCGGCGACGGCGGCGGCGGCGGCGGGCGGCGGCGATGGAGGCGGCGACAGCTGCAGGTTCAGTGGCAGAGCCGAAAAAAATCCCAAGAGACCTTAAGCTCTTGATACCATGTTGAATATAGGGAAAAACTGTATAGGGTTAATTTCCCTTGTGTATTTACCACACATAGGGCAGTGTATTTATAATAAAGAAAGGTACTCCTCAAAAGAGTAACAGAATACAAATAGGGTAAATAAAAGATATTATTTGATATTGTGATTAACAATATCTAACAATATCTCAACAATATCAAATAATATCAACTAATATCTAATCATATCTAACATATTCAACCTCACTTGTTTGTTATCTTGCTAATACTGTATGTCTCACTTTTCAGAGAGATATGGTTCCCTTGCCTCCAACAAAAACTCATTAACAGGAAGTTGCATTCATGTTTATTGAAATGCTCTAATAATTTCCAGTTCTAATTATCTCAACTATGCTAGATGCATAAGATCCGGGTGTTTAGTTTTTTATTCTTAATGCTTTTTGCATCTGTCAAAGCTGGATTTATGTTATTGATCTTATCATTGTTTTAGGCTTTTGCAGATTAGTTATGCATTGCTTTGCTCTGTTGGCTTTTTGCAGGCTAAAGCTGTGTTGCTTGAAGTTGTTAAGCTGGCACCGAATTTGCCAGATGCATATCACACCCTTGGACTTGTCTGTAGTTCACTCCAGGATTATAAGAGAGCTATGAGTTTTTACCTGATTGCTGCTCATTTGACTCCAAAAGATTCATCTCTTTGGAAAAGGATTTTTACCTGGTCCATGTGAGATGGCTTCTCAGTTTGTTTTGTGAAGTTATTCTTCTGGAATAATTTGCCTACATGAGATTATACTCCTACACTAATTGTGAAAGTTGATAAAATTGCATCAAGCAATGTATCCTTAAAATAAATGACCCATGTATGCAATGCATATTATTGGACAATATGGTTCACAACTTATTTCATACTCTCTTCCAAAATGCCTCGGCCCTATTTTTTATTCATATGTCCTTGGAGTTTGTTACTGTTTCTATAATTACTAAGTGTATGCATATATAATTTAAAATTGCTGAAAGAAATATAATTACCTAGTTGAGAACCTCTTTCAAATGCAGAGAACAAGGATATATTGATCAAGCCCGTCATTGTCTTTTGAGAGCAATAACAGCAGATCCCAAAGATGTTACTCTTAGAGGTCTACTTGCAAGGCTTTATGTGGAACTTGGAGATTATCAAAAGGCTGCTGTGACATATGAGCAAGTACATCAACTCTGTTATGGGAATGTTGATCCACTGAAAACAGCAGCTAAGGTTGGTCTTTTGCTTTGACATGACATGGACTTGCATTCAATTTTCTGTCAATAATCCTTTACTATTATTATTTTTGGTTAATGATGTTTTCTTATGAAAATCACAGTCACATGGACTGTATCTATATTTTGTCACTAACATCTTTGAAGAGCTGAAAGTATTTTATTTTGATTCAATTAAATATTAAGTGTTTGACATTCAATTTTGAACTGAATTTATATTGCTTTCTATCAGTTATACAAAAGATGTGGTCAAGTTGAATACTCTGTTCGAATTCTTGAAGACTATATTAAGAGTCAACCTGGCGGAGCTAATGCAAGTGTAGTTGATCTGCTGGGTAGCATATTGATGGAAACTAAGGCACATGATCGAGCGCTGCAGTATATTGAACATGCTCAAGCTGTAAATGCATGGAAAGAATTGCCATTGAATTTGAAAATTAAGGCTGGAATTTGTCATGCTCATCTTGGGAAAATAGATATGGCTCAGGTGCGCTGCATGCATACATGTAATTGAGTTAACTGTTTTTTGCTTGATCAAGGCCACTTTTAATATTGCTTGAGCCTCAAATACCAGGTTGGGTTAATTGATATTCAATGATGTCTATGAATGAGTATTTAGTTGAGACTTTCTTAAGTATCTTTAATTTTGTCTCTTCCACTTTGTCTATTCTTTCTTTCTTGTGTCCTGGTCAATTTATGTGTAAAACCTTGTTACCTATCCATCATAATATCTCCATCCATGTACATATCCCTTTTGAAGTTTGGGTTTTGAATGATATTTGTAAGTAACTTCTTGTTGGTTTCCTATTTTATGGAGATTTTTGTTTCTCTCTCTCCTTTTCTAAATAAAGAAAAAAACTTTAAATTGTAGTGCTCTTATTCGTTGTAATTTGTATACAACCCTCTCTCTTCCCCCCCACCCCCTTTCTGAAGCATTGTATATCATTATTGTTAGATATTTTAGATATTATTAGTCACAATATATGTATTTACCATACTTAATTATAAATATATTACCTTATGTGTCTTTTAGACACAAAGAGAATTAATCCTATACCTAGTTTTTCAATATTCAACATGGTATCTAGAGCTTAGGTTCTCTTTTTTTTTTGTCGCCGCTGCACCTGCCGCCTCCACTGCCACCATTGTCGCTACCGTCGTCGGAGTCGTGGTCGTCGTCGTAGCCATCGTCGCCGCTCGAGTCACATTTTAGATTGGCGACCACATCGTTCTGATCATCTCGACTAGGCAACCATCGTGTCATTGAGATCGCTGCAATCAAAGTCTCCACACGCTATTTAAAGTTTTTAAGGTTTTTTCTCTTCTTCCATGGCTTCTTTCGCTGTCCCACAATCATCTACTATGGATCCTATGTCATCTTTTACCGCAAACAAATATGTTATTTTCAATGAATTTTTCACATGGTATGAGACTCGTTAGAATTCTAGTTCCATTACTTCTGTTGCACTCACAGGTATATCTTTTGTTAACCTAACTCAATCTCCTTCTATTGGGGACCTTGGATTCTTAACTCAGGCGCCACAAATCATATTACTGGGAACAAATCTTTGTTTTCTTCTTTATCCTCTCCAAATAATTTACCTTCGATTACAATGACTAATGAATTTAGGTTTTTGCCTTATGGTATTGGTACTATTAAAAATTTTCCATCTTTATCCACTGATAATATTCTTTTATGTCCCTTGGTCTCCCTTTAACTAATTATTCATTAGTTGTCTAACTTGTTCTCTTGATTGTGTTATTTCTATTACCATAGATTTTGTTTGTTTACAGAACTGGAGTTCGAGATATATGATTGACACCAAATGTGAGTCTCATGGTGTTTATCATCTCCGCCCTTCTACACATGTTGATACAGTTATGAAGTCTCTATCTCTCCTTCAAGCTCAACTATGTTACCCCAATCTTGCCAGATTGCAACAACTTGTTCCCAGTTTGTCCAATTTATCTAATTTATTAGGTGAGTCATGCTAATTAGGGAAACATAGTCGTAGTTCATTTCTTCGTAGTATCTCACAACGTGTTTCGTCCCCTTTTGCATGTCACTCTGGCATTTGGGGACCCAGTCGTGTTAAATCTAATTTAGGTTTTCAGTATTTTGTTATCTTTATTAATGATTATTCTAGAAGTACTTGGTTGTTTTTAATGAAAATCGATCTGAGTTGTTTTCTATATTTCAATCCTTTTTTTAATGAAATTAAAACTTTGTTTGAGATTTTTGTTCAAATTTTGTGAAGTGATAATGACTGTGAATACCTTTCTCATTCTTTTAAAAATTTTATGGTTTCTCATGACATTCTTCATCAAACTTCATGTGCCTATACACCTCAGCAAAATGTGAGTTGTTTCAACAAGAACAAACATCTTGTTGAAACAACTCACTCTTTTAATTCATGGTGAGGTTCCTAAACATTTTTGGGGTGATTTTGTTCTTACTGCATGTTATCTTATCAATCGCATGCCATCTTCGGTTCTAAATAATAAAATTCTTCATTCTCTTTTATTTCCTCATGAACCTTTACATCCCTTACCTCATAAAGTTTTTTAGTCTACATGTTTTGTCCATAATTTTAGTCCTGATCTTGATAAGTTATCTCCTAAATCATACAAATGTCTTTTTTTAGGATTTACTCAATCACAAAAAGGATATAAGTGTTTCTCTTCTTTTCTTAACTGTTATTTTATTTTTAAAGATGTCACCTTTAATGAGTTTTCCATTTATTTCAAGTGTTTTTCTTCTCCATGTGTGTTGTCATATGTTACTGTCAATATTCCTATTGTGTGTGACTCTCCTGTTAGCCCACCTTTGGATTCTCCTCCGCCACCACCACTTCAGGTTTATAATCAAAGACAACAATCCCAACAACCACCAAATGACTCACATCTAGTGCCAACTCGTTTGTCTCCTCCGGCTTCGACAACTGAGTTTGACCTTCCAATTGCCCTCTATAAAGGTATACGTTTTACTCGTAATCCCTTTTCTCATTATATTGCTTTAAGTTACCATAGATTATCTCCACCTTTTTATAGCTACCTTCCGTCCATTTCTTTTGTGTCAATTCCCAAATCCGTTGGTGATGTCTTAGTCCATCCTGGTTGGCATCAAACCATGCTTGATGAAATGATTATTTTTCAAAATAGTGAAACTTGGGAACTCGTCCCGTTACCGGTTGGAAAATCTGTTGTTGGTTGCAGGTAGGTGTTTGTTATCAAAATTGGTCCTGATGGTAATTTTGATTATCTCAAAGCTCGTCTTGTGGCCAAAGGTTATACAAATTTTTTGTGTGGACTATGGTGACACCTTTCTCCAGTGGCAAAGATGACTTATGTTCGCTTATTCATAGCCACGATTGCTCTTCATTAATGACCTCTTTACCAACTAGATGTCAAAAATATTTTTCTTAACGGAAATTTGCATGAAAAAATTTATATGGAGCAACCTTCAGGCTTTGGTGCTCAAGGGGAGTCTTTTGGATTGGTTTGTCGTCTTTACAAATCTTTATATGGTCTAAAACAATCTCCTAGGGCTTGGTTTGGAAAATTTAACATTGTTGTTCAGCAGTTTGATATGACTTGCAATGAGACACCCATAGATCCCAATACCAAACTCCTGCCTAATCATGGGGAGCCTCTCTCAGATCTTAAGAAGTACAAAAGATTAGTTGAAAAATTAAACTATCTTATTGTTGCTTTTTTTTATATTTCCTCTACAGTTAGTTTGGGGAGTCAATTTCTTAATTTCCTATGTGCAGATCAGTGGAGTGTAGTCATTCGTATAAAGTACATTATAGATTCTCCTAGAAAAGGTTTATTATATGATCACAATAATCAGGCTAAAGTTGTCTTTTATTCAGATATTGATTGAGCAAGATCTCCTTCTGATAGTAGATCTACTTCCGGATACTGTGTTTCTATTGGAGGTAACTTGATCTCTTGGAAGAACAAAAAAAAAGTGTTGTAGCAAGATCTAGTGTACAAGCAAAATATAGAGCTATGGCCTCAGTCACTTGTGAACTTGTTTGACTTAAACAATTACTTAAAAAATTGCAATTTTGAGATATCACTCAAATAACACTTATATGTGACAATCAGGTTGTTCTTTATATTAGCTCTAATCCTGTCTTTTATGAAAGGACTAAACACATTGAAGTTGACTATCATTTTATTCGAGAAAAGATTGTATCTGAAGACATTAAGACCACATTTGTTAACTTAAGTGAACAGTTAGTAGATATTTTCACCAAGTATTTACAGAGACCTAGAATTGATTATATTTGTAGCAAACTTGGTACATATGATTTATATACATCAGCTTAAAGGGGAGTTTTAGATATTCTAAATATTATTAGTCACAATATATGTATTTACCATATTTATGACTCTTAATTATAAATATATTACCCTATGTGTATTTTAGACACAAGAAGAATTAATCCTATATTTAATTTTTCACTATATTCAACAATTATTTTTCCGTAACATTTTCCATGTTTCTCGTTAGCTTAATTTTATACTATGTTGGTGTGCTAGTAGATGTGCCTGTGACATGCAATGGCCGTGTATGAATCATTCTTTTGACTTGTGTTCATTTGTATCTATTACTTAACATTTTCATTTTGTTACTAGGATCTCTTTGATGATTTGAAACCAGAGAATGCAAGCGAGCATATTGATTTGGTTTATGAGGTTGCTGACTCGTTAATGGGTCTTGAACACTATAACCCTGCATTGAATTATTATTTAATGTTGGAAGGAAATATTGGAAACGAAAATGTATGGTAACTCAACTTCCCATTTATAACAATTATCTGTTTAGCTTTTTACCAGTAATTTGCTGGAATATTTGATGTTGTTATCTTACAATCTGCATAGCTGTATATATTGGAATCCTTATAATCATTCTCGTCTTTTTAACTAATAATGTATGCTTTTAGGATTGTTGTTCCATGAGTGGTCTAGAGTTTGATCCTTATTGCCCCATCTAGGAGGCACTAATACAAGATATGGGTATGATACAATATGGACACAAGAATCCAACAAAATGTAAAAATATAATACAACCCTACCATAATATAATACATAAATTTAATCTAAAGCTAACATAAAATAAAAATTTTAAATTACAAAAGAGAATTCATGTTTCAAAAATGAGTACAAGTTATCATAAACACAATAAAATACAAGAAGTTATCTCAATTTTATGCTATCTAATCGGTATTGGTAATGAGTACTTGAGTTTTTTCAATACATTTTATCAAGTTGAACATTATTGGGTTTTTTGTGTAGATAATTGTTAGGTGTATTTTATATATGGGTCCTGGGCCCATCTCTATGTAATCCTTTGTATATTATATAAATTTTCCTTTGTTGTGCATGAGACATGCAAGGGATTCCATTACATGACTCTCTGCCATTTACTTCTACATGATATTTAGAGCTAATCCAAATCCTTGCCTCCTCGGTGGACCAAGTGTTCATTTATTGGTGCCAAATTTTTCTTAAAATCATGTCTCATTTTGATTTTCGGCTTTTCCCCTTTGCCAAGCCCATTTTTTTGGTCATTTTCTCTCTTTTTGTTGTTGTTGGCCATCAACGCTACCTTTCACATTGATGACCACATTGTCAGAGTCATGTTATCCAGGTCAACATAGTTTTGTTGCAATTGTGACCATCAGAGCTCTAATGACCCCACGCATGCCATTTCCTTAGCACTCTCTCTTTTGTTACCAGTCGCTGCACATGACAGTGCATCTAGCCCCTTTTTGGCTGATCTTAACAACGCCAGAATTGCGTCTCCTTATCTCGATAATGTCAAAATTGGCTCTCTCTTGTTGCTATGTTTTCTCTTTTGCAGGGATCAATGACTTCTTCTAGTGTTGCTAGGTCTGATTTCTCTATTTTTAGGTTAATGTCCCACTCTCCATCCACAAGTTGGATAATAGTAACTATGACACTGGGGCCTTTGATATTAGGAACTTGCAAAGGAAAAAATTATGTCAACTAGCTTACCTAGAGGCAACCCTTATTGATGAAAACGAGGGTCCTCGTTGGTCCAAAGTTGATACAAATATTCCCTTTATTGGAGCGTTTGAAGTCATTCATCCTACCCTGAAGCAAATATTCCAAGCCCATGAGACTTGTGCAGGGGTTTGGGAATAGGCTTGATTGTTGTACACCAATGATACTCAATGTCTCTATGCCATTTGCCAAAATCTCTTGAGTATCATTGCGTCTTGATGCCTTAATGGCTATATGCCAGAGTATTTAAGTGATGTTCATGGTCTTTGACTAGGAACTAGAGCAACAACAAACCTTCTTTGTGTTGATAAAACTTTTTTGATATGTTATGGTGATTGTACCATTAGATACTTATTGGGAAATGATGTAGAACAATTCAACAATGGAATTATGATTTTCTCAAAGGAAGTTTGCATTGGGTATTTTAGAGAAGACTAGACTAATTAATTCCAAGCCTCTTGACACACCTATGGGTCCTGATGCCAAACTTCTAACGAGTCAAGAAGAGCTTGAGAGATACAAGAGATTAGTTGGAAAACTAAACTACATTAAGGTCACTCATCTTGCCATCTCCTTTTTATAAATGTGGTAAGTTAGTTTCTTAATTCTCCATGTATCAGACATTGGACTATAGTCATTTGCATTCTAAAGTGCATTAATGGAGCCCCAAGAAAAGGTTTATTATGTAAAAACAATAATCATACTCAGGTTGTAGGATACTCATGTAGATTGGATAGGCTTTCCCACTTATAAAAGATTCACCTTTGGATATTATATTTTTATCAGTAATAACTTGATTTTTGAAAAAGTAAGAAGCAAAATATAGTGACAAGATCTAGAGAAAAACTAGTGTATAGAGTTATAACTTCAATTACTTGTGAACTTATTCAGCTAAACATATTGAGATAACATATTTGCCCTTCATATTGCCTTAAATCCACTTTTCCACAAAAGACCAAACATATTGAGATAGATTGTCACTTCATCCATGAATAGATTTTTTTGGAGATATCACTACTCTGTATGTTAGGTCCAATGATTAGTTGTTAGATGTCATTACCATATTGCAAAAATGTTTATTCCATATTAAAAAATGTGTGATACGGATGACATAAATAGCCTTTAGGTACATGATGAACAACAATCTTGTCGCTTATGTGTCATCAAAGAATTTGCAATAAAAGTAATGCAGTAGCAGGGCTGACCTAGGTTGTGTACTTAGAGAGAATCAATCAATGTTGCTTAAATCTTAATTTTCACTTGTCAAATGCTAAGAAATAGGGGGAATTTGAAGTAAAAACAATATAATAAAATTGAAAACCTATAGTCCTAAGAAAAGTAAACTAATCTAACAAAGCAGTCAATGAAAGCATTTAAAAAAGCGATAAATCTAATTATGAAAACATGTAAAAAAAGCTATAAAGTTATTAAAATGTAAAGGAAAGCAGTAAAGAAAAGTTGTAAATGAAAGCGGTAAATAAAAACTTGTAAATCTAATCTTATGAAAGCCTTTAAATGAAAGGCGGCAAATCTAATTTTATGAAAGTGTTTAAAGAAAAACACGGAAATCTACTCTATAATAAAACTATAGTAAAAACAAAATTAAAAGTAAACAATGATTGAATCTTCAATCATCAACTTGTTCATATGATTATCATAGATTTTTAGAATTTTTCTTGTAATCATAATAACAACTTCACAACAGTTTCAAACAATTACAATCCAATTAAAGTAAGAAAATGTAACTCAATTTCCAAATCAAGTAATCACTTAAATCTAGAAATTGAATTATGATGTAAACGATACATTCAATCAAATAACTTTAATTACATTGGTTGTAATGAATTATAATAGGTTAGAATCATTAGGAATCAAATCTAAATCATTGAAGACAGGTTTCAATAGGTGAATTAACCTTAAATTGAATTGAAATCGTGCAAAAATTGTAAAGAACACAAAACAGTAGAAAACATGCAGAAATAGTAAAGAGAAGAAGTAAATACGAAAAATTAAAAGAAGAGAAGAAGAAAAGAAGAATGGGAACAAACTTCTCTCAAGTCTCTGAAATTGATCAACTTCAAAGCATAATTTATACAAGAAGTTCAACAATTGAAAAAGAAGAATTACACTAAGAACATGAAGTGGAAAAGAGAGAAAAGTAGAAAGAAAATCTAGATAATACTCCTAAGTGAAGCAATCTTAAGGATAACTTATGTCTTTTGGTTTTCTGAAGCCTATTTATACAACAACAATTGTGAAGAAGAGAAGAAGAATGGGAACAAACTTCTCTGAAGCCTCTGAATTAATCAACTTTGAAGCATAATTTGTACAAGAAGTTCATGAATTGGAAAAGAAGAACTACACTAGGAACATGAAGTGGAAAAGAAAGAAAAGGAGAAAGAAAATCTAGATTGTACTCCTAAGTAAAGTAATCTTAAGGATAACTTATGTCTTTTGGCTTTTATACAACAACAATTGTGTACAAGATGTATAAGGTTCATAATTAATCAATTACATAACATGGAAATTGAATCGCTCTTATGCATAATTGAGGTTTTGTGACAAATTCACTAAGTATATTAGAATTTGCTGAGCGGATTGAACAAATAAATAGTTGACCAAAAAAGACATTTTCGCTCAACAGATAGTTCCTTCACTAAGTGGATTGGCAATGTCAAGATTGATGCATCTAGATGAAATTTGTTGAGGGAAATTGCTAGGCGTTGAGCGGATTCTTCAAGGTAAAACTTTATATTTTCATTAAGTTATTACTCTTGTAAAAATAAACAAATAATTAATTAAAATGTACAATTTAAGAAATAAATTAAATTTAGAAATATTTATTTCTTTTTTATAAGAACTATGTTAAAAATTATTAATTAAAGAAATGTACTAAACATAGATAAAATATAATAATAAATTTATTGATAAAATGTGTTCATCAGAACAATATATCAGGATGCCAACTATAGATAGTAAATATTCTACGTTACAGAATTGGAAAACAATAACAAACTTGCCATATACAATTGGGGATATTACTCCCTTAATTTTAGTTGTCCAATAAATTAGAGCATTTGTTCCACTAATTTAGAAAACAACCAAATATGTGCTTTTCTATTCTTGGCAATATCCAACACTCCCCTTAAGTTGGGTTAGAGCGGTTAATCATACCCAACTTGCACCTTAAGTTTTCATATTAAGCTTTGACAGTGCCTTGGTCAGAATATCTGAAGTTTGGGAGCTTATAGTTATGTGTTTCGACTTCACCATCCCACCATCCACCCTTTTCTTGTTGAAGTGACAAATTAATTTCTACATGTTTGGTTCTATCATGATGAACAAGATTCTTAGCAATGTTTATGACAACCTTATTGTCACATAACAATCTCATAGGAAGTTGATAAGAGACTTTGAGTTCTTGCAACAACCGTTGTAACCATATTCCTTCACAAATTCCTTGAGTCATGGATATAAATTGTTTTTGCACTACTCCTTGCTACCACTGACTGTTTTTACTTCTCCAGGTGACTAGATTTCCCCAAACAAATGAGCAATATCCACTTGTTGATTTTCTATCTCATATGGATCCAGCCTAATCTAAATCTCTAAAGATTTCAACATTTCTTTCTATGTTCTTTTTAAAGTAGAGCCCCCTACTTGGAGTTTTCTTCAAATACTATAATATACAGTTAACTATTTTCATGTGAGTTTCTCGGGAATCATTCATGGATCGACTTACTAAACTGACAATGTAAACAATGTCTTAGCGATTATGAGTAAGATAAATCAGCCTTCTATCGTTGATATCTCTCCTTGTTAGTTTTCAGACTATCTTCCTCAAAACCAAGTTTAACATTAGATCCATAGGTGTATCAACTGGTTTACACCCTAACATTCCAGTTTCTTGTAGTAAAATCAAGGACATACTTCCTTTGAGATATGGATATCCCATGTTTAGATCTAGTCACTTCCATCCCAAAAAAATACTTCAAGAGACCTAGATCTTTAACCACAAATTCTTCAGCTAAGAACTTCTTTAAATTCCTAATTTCCTCATGATCAACCCCAGTGATGTTGATATCATCAACATAGACGATGAAAGTAGCAAGTTAGCCCTCTTTCGAATGTTTTACAAACATGGTGTAGTCTATCTGGCATTGAAAAAATCCATGCCTCTTCACCTCCTTAGTTAACCTATCATACAATGATTTTCTTAATTTGCAGACCTTCCTTGAGTTATTAGATGATCTAGTCCTGGAGGGATCTTTATCTAAAGGTCAGGTTCTCCACTCAACCTAATTTTTCTTTTACTTTCCTTTTTTCTAACCTCTACAAACACCTCACGAATACTAAGGAGTGGTTTAGTCCCAAGAATTCTCCCTCTGACTTCATCCAAATTCTTGTTCAGCCCCAACAAGAATTGGTATATACGGATTTTTCTCCACTAGGGTCTTGTACTGCTGGCCATCTTCAAGACACTTCCACTCCATTTCTTCATAAATATCCAATTGCTACCACTGCCATGTGAGAGAGTGGTATTATTCAGTGACAGAAGCATCACCTTGTCGCAGTTTATGTAAGAGACTCTTGATCTCAAAAATGGTTAAGGTGTTATCTACATTTGAGTAGGTGTTAGGGATATAAGGGGGTTGAAGGTTTATGTTAGTAGACTATATATATAGGGAGGTAACCTTGTGGGCTGGGGTATGTTTTTGTATTCTGAAGTGTAGAACCAGGATTGTGAAATCCCGTAGGGGAAGTCATTGGAAACGTATTGTTGAACATTTTCCATTCTTTTGAAATAACACCAGGTATAAGGCCTGTTTCTTAGTGAGTATTAGTTCTTTTCCTACTTTTCTGTTGCACGAGGTGTAACAATTGGCCTGACCTGCCAGATCCATTGAGGGAGAGAGAGATGGAGGGAAGGATTACAGCGTTAGAGAAGATGACCAGTGAGCAGGGCAGAGTGATTGCGGAAATGCAAGAAACTCTACAAGAAGTTAAAGATTGACTGCGACAATTAAAAAAAAATGATGGAGGATCTTAAGGAAGTGAAAATTCCATTAATGGAGGTAAAAGAGGAGAGAAAACCTTAAAGAAAGGAGATTCCAATTCAGAATCTGATGAGGAAGAGGAAGTGCAGCGACATTGGATGAAAAGGGTGGAGCTACCAACATTTGAAGGGAACGACCCCATGGGGTGGGTTTCTAGGGCTGAAAATTTTTTTGAGATACAAAATATATTATCCGGAGAAAAAATCATATTGGCTTTCATCAGTATGGAAGGGAATGCAAATCACTAGTTTAGGTTATGGAAACAAAAGACAAGGAACCCTTCGTGGGAGGATCTTGTGGAAGCTCTTATTCGCAGATTTGGGGGAAAAGAAAGGAGTACTGTGTTTGAAAGATTGGCAGCTATTAAACAAGGTGAAGGGGTGGACGATTACATTCAAGAATTTGAGATGTTGGCTTCACAGGTGCCACAATTGAAGGAAGAACAATTACTGGGATATTTTTTTGTGGGTATGCAAAGCAAAATTCGCAATCAAATTAGACCCCATGACCCAAAAGACTTGATGCGCTCTATGGAGATTGCTAGGGATGTGGAAGATTCGCTGAAGGAACCAAGATTTAGTGGAGGAGGCAACCAACGCAATAACAATTTCTAGGTTCAATATGCAGGGGGAACAAGTACAATTACATGCACAGAAACGTTTAAGGGTCCAGGAGTATCTCAAGGACCAACCAGCAACCAGGGTACATCCAGAAAGGAGAGTAGTGGTTCAGTTATGGGACCCAAAACAGGAGGCAGCTTGTGGAGGAATCAGGGGGTAAGAAATCTGTCATACCCTGAGTATATTAGACGACGAGAAGAGGGCAGATGTTTTCACTGTGGAGGAGCATATAATCCAGGTCATAAATGCCCTGAAAAGAACCTACGGGTGGTGATCTTGGCTGAAGACGAGGGGGAGGAAGAAATGGAGGAACAGGTCAAGGAGGAACCCAAGCAGCAGCTGGAAATTCAGAGTTTGGAATTGTCTTTGTTCTCAACAGGAGAATTAACCCAGAATAATACAATGAGACTCCAAGGCCAGTTGAAGGGGAGGCCTGTGTTGATCTTAATTGATAGTGGGGCTAGTCATAAATTCATAGCAACAAAATTAGTGACTGATTTGAACCTGCAAGTGACTCCTACACCACCATACTGTGTTAAATTGGGAGATGGACACAGGAAGGAAACAAGGGGATGCTGTGAAAATGTGGTGGTGCGATTAAAGGACCACGAAGTCAGGGAGAAGTTCTTTCTCTGTCAATTAGGAGGGGTGGATGTTATTCTGGGGGTTGCTTGGCTAGCATCCCTGGGCGAAATTAAAGTCAATTGGAAGAAGCTAACTATGGAGTTTTCTGTGGAGGGGAGGCAGGTTCAGATACAAGGGGACCATTCCCTTACCAAGAAGGTGGTGTCTCCTCAGGCACTGCTGAAAGAAACAGAGATTGAAGCAGTATCAGTGGTTTGGGAAATGGGGATGGCCAATTATCAAAGTCAACAAGAAGTTAAAGGGGAATTATTGCCCGAATAGCAGAAGGAATTAGAAGGAGTTTTGGAGGATTGCAAGGAGGTTTTCAGTGAGATTGGAGAGCTGCCACCGTCCAGAGAAGTGGATCACAAAATTCCTATAAGAGCAGGGGTGGATCCAGTGAATGTCAAGCCTTATAGGTACCCTTACAAGTTGAAAACGGAGATTGAAAAGTAGGTGAATGAGATGCTGGAGACAGGAATCATCAGGCCCAGTACTAGTCCTTATTCAAGCCCAGTGATTTTGGTAAAAAAGAAGGATGGAGCTGAAGATTTTGCATTGATTATAGAGCTTTAAATAAAGCCACTATACCGGATAAATTTCCCATACCCGTAATTGAGGAGTTGTTGGATGAATTACATAGGGCAAAATTCTTTTCCAAGATAGATCTTCGAGCAAGGTATCATTAGATTAGAATGGCTGAAGCAGACATACCGAAAACTACGTTTCGTATACACCAAGGGCATTACGAGTTCTTGGTCATGCCCTTTGGCCTCACAAATGGTCCTGCATCTTTCCAAAGAGCTATGAACACAACTCTGCGAGAGTATTTAAGGAGGTCAGTTTTGGTTTTCTTTGATGACATACTGGTGTACAACCATTCTTGGGAAGAGCATTTGTTATATCTGAAACAAGTATTGAATACGTTGAGACAACAACAGTTTTTCGCCAATAGGAAGAAGTGTGATTTTGGGAGAAAGGAAGTGAGATATCTGGGGCATATAATTTCTCATAAAGGAGTTGATTTGGATACGGAAAAAATAGAGGCTATACTTCGATGGCTTGTTCCCAAATCTGTCAAATCGTGGAGGGGTTTTTTGGGATTAACAGGATATTACAAGCGTTTTATACAAGATTATGGTAAGCTGGCTTAGCCATTGACGACCCTTTTGAAGAAAGGACAGTTTGAGTGGAATAAGGAGAGTGACGCAGCGTTAGCACAACTTAAGCAAGCCATGACATTTGCCCCAGTTCTGACGCTGCTAGATTTCAACCAGACATTCATTATTGAGTGTGACGCATTAGGAAATGGGATAGGAGCTGTGTTGTCCCAGAATTTGAAACCTATAGCCTTTTTTAGTAAGGCTTTGTCTGATTCTAACCTGTCAAAGTCCATGAATTAATGGCCTTAGTCCTATCTATTCAACATTGGAGACTTTATTTGGTTGGTCAGAAATTTACAGTATTTACTGACCAGAGGAGTTTAAAATACTTGCTGGAGCAGAGGATAACAACACAAAACCAACAAAATTGATTGGCCAAGTTACTCGGATATGATTTCAAAATTGTGTATAAGTTGGGTGCTTCCAACAAAGTAGTCGATGCGCTGTCTAGGCGATTAGAAGAAGAGTTCATCGAGGAATTGCAACTTTTGTCTAAACTCTTTTGGCAAGATTTTAAAATAGTGACTGAAGAGGTGGATGCACATCCAGTGCTGCAGAAGATTAAAGAGGCGATAGAACAAAATCCTGAGGCTCACAAGAAATATACGTTGGAGCATGACAGACTGCATCACAAAGGTAGACTGGTTTTCCTACTTTTCTGTTACACCTCACGAGGTGTAACAGTAGGTTTCCTTTGCTGCATTCCAAACATTTGCAACAATCTCATAATACAAGAAGTTCTCACCTGTATTTGTTATGGGGTTGAGTAGTCAGGACATGACCAAGCTACTCTCAAGCTTCCATTTTTTATGGGTTGGGTTATGCTTTTTCGATTCCTTTACCTCACTAGTAATGTTATCTTCCTTCTCTTTTCCTTGAGAAAGAGGTGGACAAATCTTGCTCAGGGAATGTAGTTTTGACCATTGAGTTTGTGATCAGTGATTGGTAGATGATTTGTATCAGTCTGATTGAGTATTTCATGGAGACTCACTTCAGAAACCAAACTCTTATACAATATAAAAATGTTTATTCCATATTAAAAAATGTGTGATACTGATGGTGTAAATTGCCTTTAGGGTACAATAAATCAGGATCCCAAATAGGGATACTAAATATTCTATGTCACAGAATCAAAAAATAATAATAAACTGCCATATACAATCAGGGGTATTACTTTCTTAATTTTAGCTGTCCAAGAAATTGGATTATTTGTTCCGCTGATTTTGGAAACAGACAAATATGTACTTTTCTATTCTTGGCAATATCCAACACAAATCATTACAGGGTCTTAGTGATTATATTTACCTAATTTATTGGGTGTAAGAAGAAACTCCTTAATGGTAGATGACCATTTAATAGATCTAGGACAGGGTTAGGTTTTGATTTAATTCAACCCCACAAGCTAGCTTGAGAGGCCCAGTGAACTAACTAATGAGGTGAGAATTGCTTCCTACTCATGTAGTCTTTGTAGGTTCTATCTCTAGTAAATGTGGGCAACTTGGGTTCTTCCCATAAAGATGGTTCGAAGGAAATAATAGAGGAAAAGTATTGCCTATCTGAATCAATTATCAGATGTAATTGTTTTATTTTCCGTTTTATTTTATTTTACTTTGGCTCTTTTTGGCTGCCTGATATTATGCAGTTTAGAAATATAATTTCAATGTATGCCTTTTGGCATCATAACTATGTTATTAGAATAATCTATATTCTTATTGAACTTTTTTCTTGCAGGGTCTTCTATATCTGAAACTTGCTAGATGTTACATGTCCTTGAAAGAAAGTTCACAAGCAATTCTCTATTTTTACAAAGGCAAGGTTTTACTTTTAATGAGAACGGTATTCAGTTAGATGATACCTTGTGAAAATTACTTCCTGGTTTTCCAATATATATGAAATATTCTATCAGTCATTCCTTTTGATGATCAAGCTTCTGAAATGATCTTTTTGGTCAAAATTTTGGTTCCTAATTTTTTTCTTAGGGGAGTAGGAATTTAACTTCAGCATCGTAGAATCAAGGCTGTTCTCAAATGTATTTTGGATTACTTTTGAGTAAAAAAAAATTCCATCATAACATATCTGCATATCTTGTAGCATGCACTTTTCATGTATAGATCAATACACAAAATTAATTTCTTTTAAGTATAGCTTCTTCATTGAAGGCAACTACATTTATTTTTTATGAACTTTTTGTTTTGATTATTGGGTGGTGTGCTTCTATACTAATGGAGAAACATTTAATTGTTGGTTTTCATATTCTATTGGCTTTTGAAGAAACACGAGGCTAGAGTTTGGTGCCGTTAATATATGTAATTTTTTGGTGGTGCATTTGTTGTCTTTCACTCTATATTTGCTTTGGAATAAGATTTTTTTTAGCTTCTCTCTACTAGTTTGCTCATGGATGTTACAATGAGTTTCTGTTTCAGGTTTTACAAAGAAGTTAAGCATGCTTTTCTTGAGTTTATACATTCGTTGTCCCATTTTTTCCACTTTGAGGATATCTTATCTCCTTCCCTATATTCCACTTTTTAATTTCTTTTTCCTATTTAATTATTAGAATTATTATTACCAATGTTTTGAAAACTTGATCGGACCGACTGGTTTAACTGAGAACCGAACTAGAAACTAGAAACTGGTTCGTTGTTTCTAAATAATCGGGTTTTAATTAAACCACCGGAAAAACTAGGACAAAACCAGAAAAACCAACTGAGTTTTTGGGTCAAACCGGTTTTAGTAAAAAAAAAAATAGGATCAATTTTTTTTATAAAAGATATATATATATATATATATATATATATATATATATTATAGTTCTTTTTTTATCTCATATTAGTTATGTCAACTTTAAAGAATAATAATTTTATTGTATACTCTAATATATTTTATATATGTAACCTTCATTGTAACTTACTATAACCATTACAGTAACCTTTATTATTTTTCTTTATTTTGTAAAAAATATTCTTACTAATAAACTTGTTATATATTTATTATATTATAAAAATATCATTTTATTAAATTCTGTTGGATCCCGGTTGAACCTTTAAACCCTGAATTCATGCCTTCACAAGGTTCAACCCTGAATTCATGCCTTCACAAGTTCAATGACCGGTCCGGTTTTAAAAACATTGATTATTACTGTCAAGAAAAGTCTCACATCGTCTACCTTAATTAATTTTTCAAGTAGAACTTATATATGTGTTGGTCACTTCGTCTAATGTCAATTGGTTTTAGGTTTAAATCTAATATGGTATCAGAGTCGTCTTAGTCTTGCCTATTATAGCAAACATCTTCTTAGTCGAGGGGGAATGTCAAGAAAAATCGCACATCACCTACCTCAATTCTTCAAGTATGACTTATATATATTTGTTAGTTATTTCGCCTAATATCAATTGGTTTTAGGTTGAAATCTAATAATTACTTAATGTTTAAAAGCCCTCTTTCGAATTTATATATTGTTTAGATAAGGGAGAAAAAAGGAAGTGTGTTAAAATTAAAAAATGCTACTACTTATGTATAACATCCCTTCTGACTTTGAGACTTCAGAATTGATTTCAGTTATCAGAACATATTTTATTTAGGCTTGTATTGTTGCACTATAGTGCATATGTAGATCCAATGAAGCCGTACTCTCTGTTGTTGCTTCCTGATGATTGTTCTGCTGTAAAATATTCGTACTCCTTGGTTGGTGAACAATATTTTTGTTTCAGCCCTTGAAATACTACAAGATGATGTTGATGCACGTATAACTCTATCTTCTCTTCTGCTTGAAGAGGGAAAAGAAGATGAAGCAATTTCCTTGCTGTCTCCTCCAAAAGATTCTGGTATTTCCAACATGTTTTATTTCTTTGTGATTGAAGTTTTTTGATAGAGATTTTAATGTGAAAAAACTCGCAGACTCAGGAGAAGCACATTCTGAAAAGTCAAATAGATGGTGGGTTGATATAAGAATAAAGCTGAAGCTCTGCAACATTTATTGGAATAGAGGGACACTTGGTGATTTTGTGGAAATAATTTTCCCTTTGATTCGTGAATCATTATATGTTGCAACTCTTCGACAGAAGGTAATATTTGAGAAGCTAAAATTTGACCTCTTTGAAGACAGTCAAATAGAGATATGTAGATGTTCACTAACACCCTTTGTGGGCATGCATGGTACTTGCTTGCAGATTGTTAACATGTTCATAAACTACATTATTTCAATTAGATCTTAAGATTGATTTTGAATGTTAGAAAGGCGTAATTGAGGACTTTTCAAACCATAACAGTTTTTGGATGAGGCTGGCAATTCCACAACCCAAAACAACAACAAAGTATGTTCGATCTTGCAATTCGTGGATTTAGAACAACTATTAGGGCTATCCTTGCATTTAGTGGAATAACAACCAACTATGAGGGCTTAATTTTTGAACTTTTTTCTTGAGAATATTATAGTGGGTTTGTTGGATTTTGAAGATAAGGTCATTCCAAGGAAGGGGTTTTTATTGAAGTAAAAGAATGAACAACGGACTTGGACACTGGACATGATACAGATATCAACATGTTTAACTTTTAAACGTGATTCCAGGTTACAGCATTCACCCACAGACATATACAGAGAGATAAACTCTAATGAAATGGGAGTAGTGTAACAAAAATAGAATTAGGTAATCAAATTTTGTATATATACCTTTTTATTATGTCTGTGGCTCGCAAAAGAATATTATGGTACACTATTTGCATAGAAGGGACTTGGTTTCTTTACACAAAGTTCCAAAGACTGAAGTTATGTATTTTAAAAAGGTATATTCACAAGCTTAAACTCTATGTTTTCTCTATGAATAAAAAATGTATTTTTTTAATATACAATGTTAAGGTTCCAACATAAAACCAATTGACAATATGTGGAGTAGCCTAACATGTATTTAAACCATATCAAATGATATGAGGTAGGCGATGTGGGACTTTCAACACACCCCCTCCAACGAAGCCTGCCGGACCAGGCAAATGGTACTTTTGACCCAACTAAAGGGCAACTTTTGGCCCATGACAATAACCGGAAAGATGTTAGGCTTTGGCTCTGATACCATGTTAAGGTTCTAACATAAAACCAATTGGCAATATGTGGAGTAGCCTAACATGTATTTAAACCATACCAAATGATATGAGGTAGGCGATGTGGGACTTTCAATATACAATAATATGGAAGTGTCAGCAAATAGTACAAGTACAGACTGACATTAAATTATTTTTAACTGGACACTAAACGAGAAGTGACACACATGTAGTGTGTTAGTGCAGAAATGTGTCCGATTCGACACTTCAAATAAAAGAAGTGTATGTGTTTCATTGGGAATCAATATTGTTAATATTTGCTATAGGAATTGGGTTAGAAATAAGTTGTTTCCATTTGGATATGTTGTGGCTTCTTTCCTTTCGTCAGGTTTAAGTAAGCTATTCTTTGAACTGTTAGGTCATATGAAAATATCCTGCATGTTCTTGATCATTGCTCGGATTATCCTTTAGTATTAGTTCCATTATCTCTTTGTCTTTTATGATTAATTAACTTCTTTCCTTATCTCATGACTCGTTTCCTTATTTAGTTTATGATTATGATTTGTATAAGGAAATAGTTTTCGGTTTTTAAAGTAGAAAACTAAAAATCAACATTGATAAAATGTGTTCTTTGTTTTAATTTTCTATTTTCATTAATATGTGTGTGGTTGCACTATATTACTCAGATTTTATTGTCATGAAATTATCAAATTCATCCTCCAACTTATGTGGTGACTCTTTATCAAAATTAATTTCTAAACCTGTTTTCAAAAACAAAAAAATAAAAATAAACCAAACAAGCTTTTTTTTATCATATAATCAATGTTATAAGACAATTCATCAATCATGTCATATCAATCTTATAGTATTCAGTCTCTTTCCTCTCTTTTTTCTCCATCTATCTATATCTAAACTCCATCATTTTAACAGATTTCATGTAGGACGTGGTTCATTTTGTTTTACAGTGTTTGGTTGGATAAGAATGGCCATAATGCCAAGGGTATCTCTTTCCCCTTACATTTCTTATTGTGCCAAAGGCCAGTCTTCCTTTTTGAGGTTTATTCAAGGGAGTTTCTTATGATATGTTCGAGGATCAATTTTGTTGAAAGTCCCACATCGCCTACCTCATATCATTTGGTATGGTTTAAATACATGTTAGGCTACTCCACATATTGTCAATTGGTTTTATGTTGGAACCTTAACATGGTATCAGAGCCAAAGCCTAACATCTTTCTGGTTATTGTCATGGGCCAAAAGTTGCCCTTTAGTTGGGTCAAAAGTACCCTTTGCCTGGTCTGGCAGGCTTCGTTGGAGGGGGTGTGTTGAAAGTCCCACATCGCCTATCTCATATCATTTGGTATGGTTTAAATACATGTTAGGCTACTCCACATATTGCCAATTGGTTTTATGTTGGAACCTTAACAAATTTGATTCTTTCATATGAAAGCTTTTAGTTCTAAGCATGGTCAAAGAACACAGCATTCTAAAATCCATGCTCTGGGCCTCTAATATTATTAGAAGAATGAGTGTAATATAGAGGCTCTAATAACATATCATGGGCAGATTCATTCTGAGAGTTTAAGCTTTTTGCTCAAGGCTCTTAAATATTTTATACCTAAAAATGTGTGAAAGATTGGTCTTCTTATTTTCATTTTAGCTCTATGAACTTGTTTTGTTAATTCATTGAGGAATTTATGGTCCTAGGTGATCTTTTTTTTTTTTACTCTCTCCCTTTTCATAATTACTTATTGTTTTGCATTAAAAGCAAGTCAATACATGTCATGGTTGGGTCTTGCTGTAGGGTAAATCAAAACGGCGACTCACCAAAAGAGATCTGATTGAAAGGGTTAGGATATTGGATGGTCCGGAAAAGGATAATGTATTTCGAGGATTCAGGCCAGTAGCTGCACCATCTGATCGGTAAGTGTTGTTTCTCACATACCGCATTCATATTTCTAACTCGACTATGACATGTTCAATCAGATGCATTAACATTATGGCGGTCTGTCTTATAATTCTGATGAGAATCATTAAAAAACGTTTTTAGTGCTGATTCATGTGGATGGAATGTTGTTGATTTAATTGGTGGTTAATTGATGGATAAACATTCGTCTTTATATCCCCTTACGTAGATTTCCCCTAACTTTTCATCTGATGCTCTGGTTAATATAATTTTTTCAGCACAAAACTTATCTTTATTTCCATGGAGTTTGGTGTTGTGCAATGTTGGGAAGCCGTTTATGTGATCACCTTCACCATTTTCTGAGCCACTGTCAGTGTCATGTGTCAAGGACTTCAAAATTGAAATTAGTATGGACAAAGATTTTATTGCAGACCACTCAAGCAAATTCCTACTACTATTTCCAAGAGAACAATTAAAATATCACTTCCTAAAACAGTTGAACTCAGCTAATCACTACTAAGCTACCACTTGGAAGAGTAATAATCATTAAATTTTCCTATTTCCCACAGCTCCTATGCCGCAGATGGATTTAGGTATTGGGTTTGTGTTTCAACAGATGACTTTTAGATACTAAGTGAATAAAATGTCTCTTGTTTTCTGAAAATTAGGTTGAAAGCTTCCAGGGCAAAAAAGTTGCTTCAGAAGATGGCAATTGAAAAGGAGAAAAGAAAAGCTGAGGCACTGGCCTCCGGAATTGACTGGCTAAGTGATGATTCAGATGATGAGCCTCAGGTATTCAGTTTGTTGTTGTCTACTCACTTCAAGAACAAATGTCCTGATGATTATGTCTTAATCTTAACTATGTTTTGTGTTTATTGCGTGAAATATTGTCAGAAAGAAAACAGAGAACCTCCCTTGTGCAATCTTCTTAAAGATGAAGAACATCACCAGCTAATAATCGATGTTAGTGCTTTAATCTATTTTTCTTCTGCTTCCCCTTTCCTCAGCTGTTATTTCTGACCCGTTAATATTATTTTACAGTTGTGCAAAGCATTAGCATCCTTGCAAAGGTATTGGGAAGCACTGGAGATTATTAATCTCTCTCTAAGATTGGCCAGCACATCTCTGTCTACTGACAAGAAAGAAGAGCTTCGATCTCTTGGAGCTCGTAAGTTGTGAACCCTGACAGGCTTGCACAGATAGATTTATTCTTTGCTTTCAGGTTCCAAGAAATCAAAATAAAAATTGAAGAATTTCCACTTCTTGTTTAATGTTTATGCTTGTTTCTTTCCCTTTTTTAGCTTTACATATTTCTGTTAGCACAACTCAACACATGAATGTTCTTTTAATAGAGAAAGAAAATTAATTTGTTTTGGGGAGGGAAAATCCATATCTTGTTGATAAAACTAATTTATGTTCTCCACAGAAATGGCATACAACACCACGGATCCTAAACATGGGTTTGATTGCGTAAAATACATTGTTCAGCAACATCCACACAGTGTTGCAGCTTGGAATTGCTACTACAAGGTTATCTCAAGGTAATTTTGGGGATAAAAGGAACTGGCTTTGTAATTTGCTGATTTATGACCTAAAGATAAAAAAGACCTGGCTTTGTAAAATTTCATTTACTTGTTTTCACCTGTTTAATAGATTGGAAAACCGAGATACCAGACATTACAAATTTGTACGTGCTATGCAAGGAAAGTTTGTGGATTGTGTGCCTCCTATACTCATTTCTGGGCATCAATTTACCATATTTAGCCATCATCAAGACGCAGCAAGGAAATATCTTGAAGCTTATAAACTACTGCCGGAGAATCCCTTGGTTAATCTTTGCGTTGGTATGTTTTTCATTTCATGCTTGTATGTGTACCGCTTTCCTAACAAGAACTATCAGTAATTGATTTGTTAATTTATCAATGTCTTTCAGGAACAGCCTTGATCAACTTAGCATTGGGTTTCAGACTTCAAAACAAGCATCAATGTCTTGTACAAGGTTTAGCATTCCTCTACAATAACTTGAGAATCTGTGAGAACAGCCAGGTTTGTCTGCTGAGCATTTCGTGCATGTTTTTTTTTTTTTGAGCCCTTTTAAGAAAGAAATGTTTTATTAAATATTAATAATAGATACGGTAATAAGAAAAAGATATCACCTCTACTTATACATGGTAAAGTGAAATAGGCTCCGCGGCGGTTAGCCGCCACCTTGTTACTTCATCTTAAATTAACGAAATGGTAGATTTAACTTATTAATTTATTTTGACCTGTTAATCCGATTTTTAAAAGATATTTATATATTAAAATTAAAATTAAATAAATAATAATTTAAAATATTATATTGATGAAATATGTAAATATATTTTAATATTATAATTTGAAACATAAATATTAAAAATTATTTTAACATAAATATAATAATTTTTTAAAATTATTCAATATAAAATTTTAATTAATGAATAAACATATAAAAATATTCATGTAATTAAAATGTGTTTTGTAAAAAATATATTAAAGTTTTTATTAAAAAAAAAGGTAACGTCAGTTCGTTATAAAGGTAGATCACGGTTTGTAGTATGATCTGATTATCACAGGGGTTCTGTCCCGTTTTTAGCTCCCTCCTGAACTACCACCCCAAAATTTATGAATTTATCATTCGTTGGTTAATACGTGAGACTGAAGTAAGCAATTAATCTTTGCAGGAATCCTTGTACAACATAGCTCGGGCATTTCATCATGTTGGCCTTGTAACTCTAGCGGTTGTTTATTACGAGAAAGTGATTGGTATTCGCGAGAAAGACTATCCAATTCCTAAACTTCCCAATGAGAATCAAGATGTCATGGAAAATCATAAACCTGGTTACTGCGACCTTCGCAGAGAGGCAGCTTACAATTTGCATTTAATCTACAAAAAAAGTGGTGCTGTTGATCTTGCTAGGCAAGTTCTCAAAGATCATTGTACGTTATGAGTTCACATAAGTGTTAAAAAAGAGATATTTGAAAATAAACTTGTTAGTTAAAGATGTGAAAAATAACATTCAGAAATTAGTTTAGATAACTGTTAAAATTATGGATGAGTTGCAAAAATTGGAAAATAAATTTCAAAAACAATTATTTAATCATCCTTACAATGAGCAGCATAATTCGATGCAATATCTTGTTTAAACTAGATTTTGTAAATCTCAAAGATTAAACTAAAATTTTATATTTCTAATTTGTACTAAATTTTGATGCAAAATGCTCACTTTTTATAAAATCACTTCTTCCTAAACGTTCTTAACATGATTACTATAAAAAAATCATTGTTATTGAATATTTCATGAAAATAATGCAAAATTGAAGGAACTTCATATAAATGAAAAGTTTTATTTATTAGTAATTTAAACGAAAGTTTTAGATTAAATATTTTTTTGTTAGTCGTTAGTGTATCTTATATGATTGTGTTAGATATCTACCTATATTTCATATTTATGTAATACATCATTAATAATATATTAAGTCTAATATAAATAGGTCATAATATTTAACTTTACATTAATGTTACAATGGCAAAGTGAATGTCACATTACACTTTTAATTAAATAACTTAATAAAAAAATATCATTGACTTTCTTTTAAAAAAAATTGATATTATATATGAGTAAGATAAAATAAAAAATAATAATAAAAGAAAAAGAAACTATTCAACCAAAATATTAACAATCTTTAATATAATATTAAAGTTAAGTATTTTTTAAAATTATTATAACTTAAATATTATATTTAGTTAAAAGATAAAAAATAAGATTATCCTCAATTTTAAAAATTAAAATTATATTAAAAAAATTCATTTACATTTTTTTTAAGGTAAGATAAAATAAGTTAAGCTAAATATAAAATAAATGTTTGGTGATTGTGAAACAAGATAAACTAATTTTAAAAATAATAAAAGTGTGGTATTATTTTTTTCTTTTAATATCTTGAACAAAACACAATTATCTTTTATTTCAACCCTACATACTTATTTTCATATTCTTTAATTCTTTATTTTTTTAAAATAAACTCTTGAACTAAAATAACTTTATTTAAACTTAATATTATTTTAACGTTATATAATATCATGCCAACGACGTCAAGATATATATTTTATTAAATGATTTCACAAACTAGAAAAACGAAATGGGTCAATTAGAAAAAAAATGATTTAAAATTAATAATAGGAAAAAAAAAATGTAAAAAAAATAATAATAACTATTTAAACGAAAATATACTCCCCTCGACATTGTGAGGCATATTAGTTGGTTGAACCAGATGAGATCAGTGTGATTTTCTCGCAGGCTTTAAGCTTCATTGGCATACCATGTCACTGTGGGTTGCAGGAGGGAATCAATGTGCGAATGCTTTACCAAAACTTGGATCTTCTTTACAAATCGTGTTTATGCGTTAACAATTTGATAAAATGGATTTTTTTTTCTGTTGCACACTATCTGTTTGATTAAATTAAATGCATTTCTCCTTGTTCCAACACTTCGTTTTTTTTTTTTCGAAGTCATTGCTAACTGGAAACAAGTGTTTTCAAGTTCAACATTAGCTTGGTGATTACTATTACATGGCTAATATGTTGAATTTGTACTGATATTGCAGCTGAATACTGAAGCATTATGACGAGTGGATGAGACATTTGAACTCGCGCGCGAGATTATTTGGTGTAAACAGCATTTAGATCTCAACATTAAACAAGTTTCTTTGGAGAATATTGCTCAGGAAGATCTCAACATCATCATGGTATGTAATGTGTATCATTTTTTCCCTTTCTGAGTTTTAACTCCCATTTTAGCTATTAACTACAAATGGGAAATTTTGGTGACTAAGGCAGCGTAGGGTACTGTATTGGTACTTGGTACAGTTTCGGTACGGGGTATGAATATGGGTGTAGATATGGTATTAGTACAGGCATGGAGCTGTGTGTTTGTGTATCTGTAAACACATTTCTACGTTCACACTGACTAATTGGACACTAAGCTTTATCTCCTTTTGCTACACATTAAGCATTAGTAATGGGTAATGGTGAAACGAATAGCAAAGTGCATGTGTGCTTATAGAAACCAAATAGCATTCATAGAGAACGTTGGTGGTCTGCTGTAGAAGGTGACAATACCTGGCTGTTGCTGATCTGGTACGCTGTGACATAAAGGATGCAGAGGAACAAACACACGTGACCAGGTGCAGATCAGAAATAGACCACCAGAGTAGACTAGGACACACTGTCACTGATGCAAAGCAAATGCTGTCACAGCTGGAGATGGAGATGTCAAAATGCAACTGCCATTCCCTCATCGTTGGCAGCTGTATTTCTTTTCCTTTCCTATTAGACGAGGGAAAGTAAACTGAAGAAGCTACAAATGAATTACAGATCATAATTTACAAAGAAGGAGACAAGTGATGACCCAAAGCAGAAGAATCCCTTCTGCAAAATAATGTTTAGTCAAAGTGTGCTAGCTGTACCTTAGCTGGACTCAGTCTTTTGATTATTTTGATAGTTATCCATTATGTACCCTCATGTGCCAGTGTTCCTCTACCTTATACTAGCATGCCTCCGATTTTGGAGTACACATGCTTCAAAGCATATGTCCTGATGGTCCCTTTGGGTGAGGTTGACTTTGGTCTAGTTGAAAATGAGAGTGATGATCAGGGGGTTGCATTGTTGGGGTGGTAGGTTGAGAGATTACTTTCTTTTACTTGCTCTTTTGAACTGAATTGTGTGGCTGTACGAGTTAAAATGTGATTATTAGCATGTTTTGCTTCAACTTATTAGTTCTTGGAGTTGATTTCATAATAGTTTTATGAATGTCTAGCTAAGCGAGTTACTGAAGGACACTATTTTTTTGTTAGGTTTTTTTGTGGGATTTAGGATTACTTTATTGAGTAAGAGTAAGGACTTTTGGGGATTATTATTTTTGTATTTTGTTCTGACCAGCCACCATCTATCTTAGCTTTAGCATAATAGGATTGTATTGCTTAGTGGTTGATCCATGGGGATGTCAAATAGTCTTTCTTGCACCCTATTACTTCTTTTGGTGTTTCCATTGAGATGTATTTGGAGTTCTGCCTACAACATAATTGCACAAATTTAAGGAATATCAACCATGCCTTGTTATAGACTATAGTACTCGTTTTCTTTAGTTTCCAGCCTATTGTCATTAAGAATTGTTGTGAAAATCACCAGTAAACTCACAAACTCGTACAATCCTATGAGTTTTGGGTGGGTCCATATGTTAAAGTTAACTTGAACATTGGATCACTAGTTTCACAAATTCCTTTGGAATTATGAGTTTCAACCGAAAGTCACTAAATCTAAATCGTTGATAATTGACTCTGCATGTTCTGATCTTGTGACTTTTGATGTTAGACAAATTAAAAATCTTAAACCTTCCTCACAAAAAAGTATATTCACAGCCAATAGTAGTAAATTCACTATTATTGGAGAAGGAACTGTTTCTATTTCAAACAATTTGAATCTTGATACTGTCCTTGTTGTTCCTTCTCTTAAATATAACCTATTGTCAGTCTCGCAAATAACCAAAGCTCTGATACCAAATTGAAAAACATAGAATTCATTCTATAATTTTTATTCATATTATTTTTGTACACATATACTATGATCTTATAGTATTTTACTCTAACAAATCACAACTAAATATAGGAAGTTCTGATTATACAATATTTTGTACCGCTATACAAACCTATAATTTAGCTAATCAAATATCTTTATCCCAACAATATCAACCCAACGACGTCAGGATATATATTTTATTAAATGATTTCACAAACTAGAAAAACGAAATGAAATGGGTCAATTAGAAAAACAAAATGATTTAAAATTAATAATAGGAAAAAAAATGTAAACAAAAATAATAATAACTATTTAAACGCAAATATACTCCTCTCGACAAGAGGGAATCAATGTGCGGATGCTTTACCAAAACTTGGACATTCTTTACAAATCGTGTTTATGCGTTAACAATATGATTAAATGGATTTGTTTTTCTGTTGCACACTATCTGTTTGATTAAATTAAATGCA